GGCTAGAACCAACTGAAGAATTAGTACATTTACGTTTACCAGTGATTAAGAAAGGAATTGAAGTTTACAAGGCGATGCCGGGACGAGATTCTGCTGTGTAATGTTTTGAAGTATAAAGCATAGTCATTGATCCTCTGTTTAAATATGACGAGAAAAAGAAATTTGACATCAATAACATAACTTTTCTTTTTTGTATCACTTTTCTTGTATTACAAGTCTTACAAGGATCAGGTAAAAAAAAATGTTTTTGTCGGCTTGCCTGTATGAATGTAAAAAAAGAAAATGTCGAATAAAAATTAATTTGTCTGTCCCCCTAAAAATGAAAATGTCCTCCAAAATTTTTGCTAAGGGGACAAATTGTCCCCCAGTGATCAAATACTAGCTCAAACCCTGATACATGACTGTTCAGCAGTGTCTAAATCAGGAAGTACTGAGTATGCAAACTGCAGCAAGGATAAGGAAGCAATGATGATCCATTTGAATTTCATGGCTAAATTGTTTCTCACTGGCCATTACCAATATCAAAAATTGTTATTCTGCAGGGAAATTTGACTACAGGTAAACTTGAAAAAAAGTGATGAGGATGAGAATTAAGAAGAAGTGCTTGTATCATTATGGAAAGTATTTAAGAGTGAGTCCTTTCCGCCAACCATTTCAATTAATTCATGCGAACACCGAAAAGGTAATGAAACGATTAATATCGGTTAATCAACATAATCATTTAGAGAAGAATACTTTTGGCCGCAGCTTACTAAGAATGGTTGTAAAATTTGCTGATCAATCGATTAAAATTGGCGCAACTTCCAAGGTTTGTGGCGCACGGAGAGAGCGCTGGTGTTTGCGCATGTTCCTGTCCTAGAATAATAAATAATGTTTTGAACTTGCAAAGAGCGAACATGGAGAAAGAACTGTGAGCTGAAGACAGCAAATGCAGAAAAAATAAGCCTGAACAAGCAGTTTTCCCTTGAATGAAGCACCAAAGATTGAAATAATTCATGATAACTACATATGTATAAAACCAAGTAAGCTAATAATTTTAAGGAAGTACGTTATCAGAATACTAGACAAAAAATTCGACCGAAGGCCAAAACCAGAGAAGATAAAATTACTCGATGAAAACAATGAAGCAAACTTACTTTGTCGTGTGAAGTCAGATACTTGTCAACAAGAACTTAACCTAGCCAGTTTTCGCCTTCTCGTAAGCTTGGTTCTACACCATGCAGTTTTAAAAACTTTCCTGAGATCTTATTCTATAATTGCACAAGACTGGAAAAATTTCGCGTTGCATAATTGCGTCATGGTGTATTTCGGAGAACATTTGTTAACGGAAGAGATCGATAGACTAGCCTCTTTCTCTAAGGTTTTCGGTTTTAGTTTCAAAGAACTGTTGTTTTTAATACAATATACTAAAATAGACATGTTATTGGACTGCGTGGAAGGAAGCATTAAATCGAACAGAAGATTAAGTAGTCTGAATATTCTGTTTACGCATCGCTTCCTGTAAGGAAAAACACTGCGGTCAAACAAGAGGAAATAATTATTTTCTTTTGGGTCAAATTAAATGTAAAGTGAATGTCAATAGACATATCTTCGTTTATTGTTTTTTGAAAAATGTTAATATTACTTGATGTATAGAGTCTTTGTGTTAAGCTGGGCAAAACACTCTCAAAACTGGATTTCCTTTCTTTTAAATATCGAAGTCTCTACGATTTTGAATAAAGATGAAGCAGCACGTTCACAATGCAAATTGTGAATTTGAATATCTGCACAATTAAGGTCACGACTGAAAGCAGACATAAGAGTTGGTCTTCAACCCTTTCATATCAGTTTTATTACCGTATTTAAGACAAAGATTGGGCTAATAAATGTTGATATTCACTTTCTGTCTCTGATATCATGCACAGTTAGCATCGCAAGAAAAAGTTTTTGTGATTGAAAAATTCAACCGGAAATTAAATATAATGTATTTTGCTATTTTTTGCAATCTTTCGTTTTTCTTTTTCTACATTGAAAACTGATGGCAGACAAAAATATGAAGCGATTTTTAATAATTCCAACGAATTTCCGTGCTATATTGAGGTAAGAAAATCTCTATTGTATCAGACCCATGCAGACCCATTCTGCAATTCGATGCACCCCTGCCCCCCCCCCGTCCCCTCCTCATTCACGCTTGTTCCCCTCATCGACGTCTAGTATTCAAAAGTTATGTTATTATCAGCTGGTTAGGAAGTTAATGTGTAAAAGTAATACGTATTTCAGTCTCGATGTCTCAATAATACAAATTTTGGCCTGAGGCTCTCTGCAGATGTTTATAAGTAAAACACTTCAGCCGAAACGCAACAAATTCCAAAAGAAAAACTAAAAATTTAGGGCATGAAAAGAGCGAGAAATTTAGGCGTGGAATTCATAAAGTTGTTAGCGAAATCAACGCGAGAGAGGCAAAGCTATCGGAAAGAATGTCCGACTACTCTGACAAAAAAAAAAAGTTCTTGCTTCTTAACACTGACCTTTAAGATGTGTTGTCTTCCCTCTTCACGGAGAAGAGAGATTAGTGTAGAAAATCTTTGATTTTAAACGTTTTGGCTTCATCCGGTCTAATTATGAGCACACCATATGCATAAAAATGTTTTAAAAGAAAAAAAAAAAAGGCGATATAAATGTGCATTTCTCCATGCCGCGACTGTTAAGTAATGATCCCACTGATGTGTCAAGATAATCTTTAAACTAGATAAATGTTGAACTCTCGTTGGTCTAAAGTGCAGTACAAATATTAGATCACCCAAAAAATGTCTGAAAATGATGGAGAAAAAGAGTTACACTCACGTTAAATTTGTAAGATCCAGAGTAAAGTTTTTCAAAATGCGACCTCGGTTACTAATCAGCAATATTTTGTCTTGTGTTTATGGCCTGTCTGAGCTTTCTTCTTAAACCCGCACAGCGACAATTTAATACCGCCGTTAAATTCATCAAGAGAGCTGGATATAGGTGTTATTTACATAAATCGTTCGGTATAATTTTTGTGTCCAAATGCCCGGCGGCCGGGCACGGTCTTAAATGGATCAAATGCCCAGCAGTCAGAAATTTCCATATAATTTCCACTGAAGGTTATTTAGTTAGATCCTTGTTCAAAAATGTCACGCGACTTCAAAAATTGTTTTGGGTTTTATGTAGACGAATCTTTCGAGATTGTGTATTCCGTGAAATATCTTAGGCATGCTGAAAAAACTCAGTGATGTGTAGGACAATTTTAATCGAAGCAGTTTCAGTCTAACTCATTGGAAATGAGAACGCGAGACAATCGCTTAAAGAAATCTAAACACTGTGCTGTTCACAACAAATAAAGCTTTCTCTGCAGGAATAGCGATCATTTCAACAATACACCCACTGAGAGACTACATTGCTATTGTAAATAACAGCGAAGCAAATAGAACCGAACTGTTTATTCAAAAGGCTCTTTCTTCATCTAATTAAACTTTCATCTGATGATAAACATTTAGATTGAAAGCGCGGGAATAACTTATTTGTGTAAAAAAAAAAAAAATACCCAAATCATCCGAGAACTCGACAACGTGTCAGTGGGTCACAGGTTTTGTGTCTTTCAGAAGCCTTTTGAACATCGACTACGTTACAGCCGCCAAACGTCAAGGGAGAATAGCTAATCTTGTCTCTTCGGATGTAGATAGAGCATAAATTAAACAACTGACGCAAATACTTCACAATTATTTTTATATTCGACATTAAGTGACCGGCTTCTCATTGGCACCAGCAGGTATCCTCCATTAGGTTTAAAAAATCTCTCTGATGATAAAACTAGCCAAGGTTTTTTTTTAATACACCACTGTCTTAAACAGCACTGAATGCTGGGCGCTTCCGTGGTCTGGTCTAACAGCGTGAACATTCAAAGAGAAAGGTAGCGTGAAAACAAATGAAAAAATTCATTTGGTCGTTAAAGCGGCTAAAACTTTAGACGCACAGTCACCAACCTGCAAGGAAAATACCAAAACATAATTTTTACCATCGCCTGGGCGGAGGTTAGAGAAGCGAATCCTTAGAAATTCGGGCGGAGACGCGCTTGTTCTTTTTGCAAATGGTCGATGCTATTTGTTAGAAACTACGCAACTACGAGATGTTACTCCGCCGCGAAAAAGGGAAAATCGTAAATAAAAAATAAATACGGGGCTTTCCCTCGTAAACCTCTCTTCTGATACACAACACCAACTCTTTAGACCACTAGAAAATCGAATAAATAAGGATAAATCGTAATCAACTCTGTTTCAAAATTAGTTCATCTTACCGATGGCCACGTACTTCCTAGGAACTCTTAACCCTAAGTTTTACCTTTTACCGTTAACATTCGCTCACATTTATACTTCATTACAATCCTAAGCATGTATATCAAGATGGATTGAAGGTTTGGCTACCAGAAACCCTATCGTAGAGTCTTCTGCTCGCCGCTAGAAAACTAACGCTTGCTTGCAAGCTATTCCAACAAAAATACCCCTAACGCAGACCGTGAACTTTTTCCATTCTTCGGTAACATACATGATATTCAAAGACAATTAAAAAATGTATAAATTTTATATAGAAAGAGCTTGGGGAAGTTGTTTTGTATTTGATAGTGGCACTCAACCAGTATCTCACAGGAACAGATTTGTTCATCAATTCCCTTCGAAACTTGGCTAATTTTTTCAGACATTTTTTTTTTAAGCTGTGACTTTCATTGGAGCTACCCCGTGGAATCAATTTGCCACTCGTTACCTCAACCAAGGTCACCGTATTATTGATCTTCAATAAGTTATTTGTGGTCAGCTTCCTTTATAGAGGAACAAAGAACCTTAAAAAAAGATACAAAGCTCCCAGCACGAAGCTTCGTAGCTCAGTTGATAATGGCGGAGTTCGATTTCCCGTAAAAGAAAGAATTGGTTCACACTAACAAATCTATGAAGTTCATTTCTTCACTTTAGGGAAAGTGGTGCTATCTTATTGAACTAATAATAAGGCTATATGTCATATTTATCATTTGGAAGCCGTGATGTACGACCTACCTTGGGTGGATCACTGACGGACGACAAGATCTTCAATGAATTTTCAATTCCCAACGACTGAGCCAAGGAAAGAGCTTCGGAATCACCCCATATCTGTTTAAGAGAAAAAAACGCGATCGCACATGTTCAATTTGACGATTTTTAGATGGAAAACTAAAAGAGTTGTCCTAAGTCAACTTGATTCAATTACCGTTCACTTACCAAAGTTCCAACTGCAACAAGAGATCTGAACCTGGCTTCATTGTCTGTTTCACTTTCTAGGATCTACAGAGATCGCTGTATTAAAGATCATACATTGCCGCAGTATGTTGAGGAACTAAGCACTAATATATGTAAAATTTTATTAAAAATTCGAATATGAAACTTACGTCTGCAAGGGTTGATAGACATTGAGTCTTTGCTTCAAAATCATGATGCTTCCGTAAAAGAACAGAATAACTATAAAAGATACAAGAAATACAACTCAAAACACATTCCCTCTAATTGCCCGTTTGAGTCCGTTTTGTTTGGCACAAAATCAACTCGGGTATTTTGAAAGGAGGTATCATTAAAAAACACACAGTTACCATGCATCCTTAGTTACACAACTCTGAAGACCTTTGAAAATTCACGGACTTCATAGATAACGCCAAAAGAAGGTATTCGTTTGGATTGTAAAGAACCTACCGAGCGGAAACTCCTTGTTCCCTTGCTGAGATTATGGTTAACCTTCAGCCATTCTCTCAATTGGTTTGCACGTAAGAGGTTTCCCTACCCACTGTGACCAAGTTTTGTCTCTCTTATATTGCATAGACCTATCCTTCTTTCTTCTCTCCGTCACTTGGATTAAACAGACTTTGTGCTAAATGCGGCTCCCAACACTGTATTTTAATGATTATGTACAAGATATAACACTTACTTGAGTAAAATGGTACATACGGACACCCTGATGTTCTTGTTAGAGCATTTACACCACGATATTGTATGTTCTACTATCTGAAAAAAAAAAATAGAACATAATTTTATGAAGAGTGGAATTACCGACAAGCAATTTTCCAGCAAGAATGTCCGGTGAACCCCTATACTCTAACATCAGTGTGCACATTCTCCATACTCATCTCTTTATTTACAAAGCTGTTGACAAGGAGAATTTGTTTAACAATCAAGAGCTTCTCAAGTTGGTGATTATTTCCTTTATTCTAATGATCTTGATATTTTATTCGCCGGTGATATTATAAGGAGAAATTAAAGGCTAGTCACTCTTAGTGGACAAAGGGTAAAGACGTGTCTTAAGAAAGAGTTTGCATGGGAGTGCTGACGGCGTTTGTTCCGGCAGTTCTAGTGACAGCCACTCACGAGATTGCTTAGATTTATTATATGACTGGCTTGGAGGGAAAAGATGAAGTAAATCCAGTTTTCTGATTGGCTATCTATGCATTTCGTGCACTGTCTGTTGGCTTTGAATTGGACAATAAGAACGTCAGATAAAACTTTCTCAATTGGACAAATTTCTAAGGACCTTGATCTCATACTTAGTCGTTGATACATCATGGCATGTAGTACCCGGCCCTAGATTTACGTACTTACCTTCTCTCTGTGTTTCAGAACTAAAGCTGAACCGTCAAGAGACAAAAATAGATTCGATATTATTCTAAATGACAGGAGCACATTGGATGGTGGATTATCGTCCCTGCGGAGGAAAATTATTTGTTAAAATCACCAAGAAAGAACTAAATCAATTTTGATAAGCCGGTTTTTGAGCAGTTTTCCTACACTCTGAACAGCTGTCTTCAGAGCGCTCAAAAATTAACTTCCCCCCTACAAGCATAATAATACCGATAGCCATGCCAAGCCCACTATTTCAAATTTCAATGACTGACTGCCGTTGACTAATTGATTTTTGAGCGCTTTCGGCCACCTTAGATAACAAACTTATCAAATATTACATTTCCTTGCAAGACTTAAGGAACAGAAAAGTTTTTCCTTATTCTCAGCTGTGGTATTACTGTATAGTAATAAAATACATCTCACAGTTAAGACTGACAATATGTCTGTACCTTGTACAAGCAAGTAAATGAGCAGTCAGGTTATCTCCCTCAGACCCACTACAACAAATGTTGGCAATGGATGGAAAACGTACAGCCAGACGCAGAATATCCAGAGCTATTTGAAAGACAACAACAAGCATGATTATTACCTACTTAGCTCCAAGTACACCACCTTCAATTTGTGAGGAGGTACGGGCGGGAACAAGTAGGCCAACAAACCCTCGGTCATCCTGCTTTCGAGAAAAAATCCCTCATACCTTTCTGCTGAAGATGCTCTCATCGAATCATTTCATTAATTATGATTCTAAAACTCAAACATGTTGGTTGAAACGCTTTAAAACGCCAGGAGAGGGGTTTTAAAGACAAAAGCCAAGAAATAGAAATTAATTCCAAATTGCGTTCACTTATATAATTAGTCATTTAAGATTTCAAATTTCGAAGAGCCGCCAATTGGGTAATATACCTCTCACGACTATCAAGGATAAACGACTGTGAAACCGTTATGTAAACCCAAAACAACAAATAAATTTAAAAAATAACAACCACTTAAACTCCAATCAGAAAGCAGCAAATGTAAGAGTAGAAAAGAGCGACCAAATGAAACTAAAAGAGAGTTTATGATAACTTAGTATTCAATCATCTTACGCACCTGGAAATAGCTGATTTTGTGGCCACTTTAGCGCTCTCACGAGTAAAGACATGTGTGAAATCTTTGGTGATTTACACTTATCCGCAGCGGCTCCCACGTCGTTTAATAGTTCTATGAATAAAATTAAGGGACTTTGCTCGAGTTTGTGCGCTGCCTTGACCAATATCAAGAGAGGATAAAGTGCTCTCTCGCCGATATAATATGTTCGTAAGACCGTGTTAAGTCCAATTCGGTCTTCGATCAACAATCGCGGACGACCGCGAACAGAAGTTTAATTTTGTTCATCTGCAGCATAATGACAAATTACATATTACCAACTATTAAAAATTATGAAATATTTTGAGAAGCGAAGTACCATCGATTAAAAATATCCATTACTTAATAAAGGCACATGAAGTGGAATTTTTTTCACGAGGAAATTAACACCTTACGAGAAAGCTATATCTAAAATTTCCAATTTTCAGTGAAATGCGAACGTTGTCTCTTCAGAATTCTGAAATCAGACGCCTGATAACCCATCAAGTACTAAACTTTTGTCATATTCTTAATAAGTGCAGGTAACTAATCACAAATGGAGGCTACAAATACGCTACGCTTAAAGCAAGTCGCAATATCCTGGGGCTCACCTATTAAGTTTTTAAGTTCATCTTCTGATAACTTTTGATCCTGAAGAGAAAAATCGGAAACAAAATGACACACGAAGCTAATAACTAGCTCAAGAACTATAACTGTTGAGAAAACAGTTTATATAAGAATTGATCATATAATAATTGACGCAGTCTCAGTGGGTAGAATTGCAAACCGATTTCAGCTCGACGCAGACGGCCTTGGCTTAAATTTAATAGGTTGCAATTTCAGATTCCTCATACCTTCCCAAGGCTTTTGCATTAGCTAAAATTCCCGGGTCTAAAAAAAGCTTTACTAACCTCTTCTAAACTTTCATTAAATTCCTTCAGTTTCCCAGCGATCGCATTGACGTTTGCGTAATCAAACGACACACATGATGTCTTAAAAAAAAAAATGAACAATTACGTCGAATTAGTTCACCAGTAAAATCAAACATTGCAATGATTAAAATAATGGGGGCCAACGGCGGTTTAAGAAATATTTCTTTGGTTAAGATGATAGCACTTAGCGGTCTGAATCTTGACCCTTCAACTCCCTAAAAAGATTAGCATGTAACTTCCCTTAGCCAATCCAATAATTATACTATTCCGCAAACAGGCGGAAGAACAGACATACAAATCGATTGGAGGGTGCTACCTTAATGTAACATCAAATTGTTTTGTCTGATCCTGAAGGAAATGTATGAGGAATCAGAAGGAAAAACTACGAATTGAATCTTTCGGGTTCAAAGATTGAAGAGGCCAGGTCACAATTCATGCATCTTGAAGCATGAAGCTTTACTTTTTCAAGAGCGTCATTAGCAAAAAAGTGTCAACCATCTCATTATCCCACAAACCACATTCATTTCGAAGTTTTCTTTCTTACGACACTCATTTGATTCCCCTTGTGTAAAAGACGAACCCAAATGACGGGGGAAATAGAAAATTGCGCATCGCATAAACTGCAGCATAAAGTTAAATAGAGTGCTCAACAATCTTGATTTGCACGAGTTCAGTGATACGATCTTTTACGCAAAAATAATTAACAAACAACAGGTAATAGTTCGGCTCCAGTTTTACCTTAGGAAAGTAAGGGTTGGATGTTCCTGTGGAACTTTCATTAGCTGGACTGACTTGACTACCAGCCTGTCCTGATCTATAACTACTGGAACCTGAAAAAATAAAAAAATTCCACAAAAAAATGAAGTAAACGAGGAACCGTAAACATTGAATCGTGCATCTGCCTGCTCTTCACGTCCCTCTCTCTTCAATATGTTTAAGATCATACTTTTAAGAAGAAAAGCTGTGAAATCTTCGAGTGCGGTTGAGCATAAAAACTTTCGTAAACTTGTGATGGGAACCTTAATTCAATTTAGCAGCTAATTTTCAGCTTTTTAATCGTAAATGCATTGACAACGCTCGCAGGGTTGTTTTTCGTTGGTTCCCGTCCTTGCTCTAGGGGTTTTAATCCATTTTTCCAACTAAAATCAGTAAAAACAAACTACAAACAATCGTCGAGAAGAGCCACTTTGCTTACGGCTACCGCTGAATCCCATATTAATTGATTAGTTACCTGTTTTTACCGCGTACTGACCTGTAAATGGATCCAACCCATCCGTGTTAGTCTGCGGAGATGTGTACGACGGTCTGTAGCTACCACTTCCTAAAGTATAAAGAAATAACTTTAAGTACGATGCCGGCATCAAGTTTAACCTTTCAACCCACAGCACGAGGTACATAATCTCTGAAAAAATCACCTCAAGTTTACTTAAACGTGCTAGAGATGAGTAAAATTTGTTTCCATTCTTAATTATGCCAAGGCGAAATTTATTTTAATCTATCTGTTTTTCCCAACACAATTTCCATTCCAAAAAGACAATAACAAAGCTGAAACTGTGGGATAAAATGAAGGTAGGGACAGTCAAATACCTGTAAAGGGATCGACACCTCCTCCTCCCAAATTGAAATCCGTAACTGCCTGAGAGGGCGTTGCAGATGGAACATACCTACCTGCTCCTGCAATGCAACATCAAACATAAAAAGGTAACATATTTGTACTCAGACTGATCAGAAGATTAAAAAGTGACCAATTACATGTATTAGACTAATTTAAGGCGAGCAATTAGTCATATCCCCAACATCGCAAGAATCGAGAGGATAACATCAGAGAATGGACGAGCGATTCACCGAAGTTGTAAGAGAATCACAACAAAGGGAAGGTACTTGTTGAAAAATTATTAATGTCGCCCTGATTATCAGCCGAATTATGGAAAAAGAGTAGTAAATTCGATGAAGCGAAACGATAAAAGTTGACATTAATTAAAAACTGTAGTTTCAAATACAGAAGCAGTAACATGTCCTGTAATTTTCAAGGATAAGTGTTTATTTCTCAAAAAGTGATGGGCGCGTTTTGGAAATATCCAAGAATTTATGAAAACAATTAGAAGTGCGGTGTAGGAGAGAGATCACACCAGAACCTCGGTTTTCTTTGCTTACGACTGCTCTGCAACTCACCAGTAAACGGATCAGACGCAGATGAACTCTGCTGGCCTATCGTGACTCCTTTGGTGTTCTTTAGTATAAAATCAACCACTTGGTCCAAGAACATCTGACTGAGATCATTCCGCTCTAGAAACTGATGCGCAGCCATCCAAGGATCATCTACAGACAGTAATGAGGACTCATGATTGACACACTGAGTGGCACGTTCAAAGGAAGCATTTCATATCCTCTTTCACTCCTCACAACCTGTCACAACTCAGTCAGAACTTTTGCGTAATTCTCATATTAATATCAAGCGGTAAGTCAAATTTGTTTCAAGTGCTTTCTCTCCATTGCAAGTTCGCCTCAACCGCCTTTGCGAGTTCACTCCCCAACGTAAAACAAGTTCGCCCAACCTTTACCAGTTTGTCCCCAAAACGTTCGACTCGTTCCCTCGCCTCCTCACCACAGAACGTATTCATTTCTTGTCGAAATTTCCCTGATATGTTTCGACCAACTTGCAATTTATGTACTGCTATAAAAAACCGTTAGGGGGCAAACTCACAAAGGCAAAACGGAAGCGAACTTGCAATCGGGCGAAGTCATTAGTTACCATAAAATTACATCAATGGTAACGTACCAGTCAGGTTGTAAGGCAACTTCCTCCGAGGGCTCCCCTCTTGAATTTCAACATCAAATACAAAATCGTATTCCTATGAGACCAGAAAAACAAGATGTCACCAAAAGACGTTCTAGTCATAACCTGTCATCTTACATGGAGTCGACCATACAGCACAGGAAGAATACAAACACATTTAGAGGATTTTTTATCAGTAATCTGCGAGACATTCACTCCGATACTTAACCAAAACCCTCTAAAACTCCAGTTTGAGAGCTAAACTGCTTTTTAACCGTCGAATCATACCTTTCCATTATACATTGTTTTGTTGGTTTGTCTTGCTGTGCCTTCTGTTCCAGCTGACCCTACTACCTCACCGACCTGATTATAAAAAGAAAAGGAACTTAAAGGATCATCAAGCAGAAACAATGGCACAAACAGAAACCTCAAGCAACCTTACTTGCGTAGATCATTAATAAATCAATAATTATTATTTTCAACCAAAGAGCTGTTACCTTCTCCCATCTTGTTTCCATGCCATTCCACTAAAAATAGAAATAATTACTCCATAAGAACTTGAAGTTATTTCCAGTGGTGCGCTATAATTCATGGAGTACATGACGTAAAGTAGATAGATCACGCAATTTAAAACTCGTTTTGGTCTTTGGATTTAGTCTGCTGTGTACATTCATGAAAGAAAAAAATTATATCTGCAGCATGATCCCAAGTTTCTGATTATGGGAACATATTCAAAGTCTCTCTCTGAACAACGAATAAATTTAGCCAATACCACAGGAATATCACTAAGAGAGGTTGTAAAACAATTACAAAACAGACAAACAAACACAAAGCTTAAGAGATTTCTATTTACCTGGTGACATTCAATGACATTTCCTCTTCTTATTAGCTTTGTTTGAGCACTTTTGTCACCTGAGCAGAGAATTGTATTGTGTCATTTTATAAACAATGCAAAATAAGCATTATGGATGATTTAATTCAAAACTATTTGGCTGGGAAAACTAAACTGACAATGTACAGTACATGTTATCACCCACAGTGTATAGCATTGGCAACTACATGTACATGTATGTCATACTTGGCACACTGAATCCATCTTTTTCAGCATGATTACCTGGTCTAAGAAGAGCTTCTGGTCCTGGAAGATCTTCAAGTTTGACATCACCTAACATGCCACTGAACAGAAAAAAAAATACAAAGTAGTAAACCCTGTGGAAGAGGACATCTGATTTAAGGTTTGGTGAGTTTCTTATCACTAATGGTAGGTAGTTGCTTGCAAGAGAAAAGATCCCATATGCATCAATAATGTGAATTGAACTGAAATTTACTTATGTGTTGCGCAAAGTCTTGTACAGCCAGTAAAATAGTTTGAGAGTTTAATGTTCAATAAAAAGGGATGTGTAGGCATAGAACAAAAGAGCAAGTGACCACTGCTAAGAATCCACTGTACCTTGCAGCTTCTGCTGGTATAGCATGACTTGCAACTTCAGTGTCAAATAGCTGTAGACATGAAAAGGAAGGCAGTTAAAAACAAGAAAAGCCTGACACCAATAAGGTAAATGTCAGCCAAAAGGCCTATATAACCAGAGCTTTCTGTGGCTTGAACCAATCAGTGGTATTGCCACATGAGATGCCAGTCCATTGCAGGTTACTACCCAGTTACCTTTTCTTAATATAGCAAATAATATGTCACTGAAAGCCACTATGGATAAGATGAAGAGAATCCTGTTTTCTGATTGGCTACCTGAGCAAGCAAGATGGGTCCATCTTATCCTATCAGGATTGCCCACTTTGATCCTGCACAAACCTGTAATTCTTCTTCTGATGCCACTCTGTCATCTGCAGCAGTGAAAACACGCACAATACCATCACTAGAGAGGAGAAAGTACATTTACATAATTCATGTAATTCTAATTGTACTAAAATGTGATTAGTTTTCCTTTAATAACAACAAAATTGAGAAGCCTAATGAGTATATGAACAGTGTAAATTACATAAGCCTTATACAGGGTGTTCACTCAATCATAAAATCTGAAAAACTACAGATAGGTCTAAAAAGAAAAAGTGAAATCTCAACTAAATTGAAAGCAAAAAACAAAAACTTGTATCAAATGTTACTTGATTAAGAAAGTCATAGCCTTTATCTAACCTTGAGCCAGTTACAATGTCTCCATTGTTCAAACATGTAACACTCCAAACTGACTGAGCAGGAAGGGTGATTGTTTGAGCACATTCTCCTCCTGACATAAAGGAGAAAAACAAAGCTCAGTTTGACACAATCCTAAATTTAACTTAATTTATTTAACTTGATTTTGTGTATATCAGCATTATTGACCAAGTGTGAGGTCAAGATGGCTGGATATTGGCCAAGTTCTTTTTCTTATTACTTATGCACCAAGACAAAGTCCAGGTCCATAAAAAAGAACAAAAAACAAGAAGCTGGTGTGTTAGTTGCACAATAAAACCATGAGAATCATTTATGATTTCTTTGTTTTGACTGTTTTGACTTCTTCCGCTTTTTTGTAACTGCAATTGCTGACATCGTCTAAAATCTACAACTCCAGGCAATCTTTTACTAGCCCAAGTCTACATGTACGGGGGGTAAACCTGAGCAGGCAAGATAAGTCCATCTGTCTGCTCAGGTAGCCAAGCAAACACAGGATAATGCCCACAAGCACTGCCAATGATAGAATAAACCAGAGCTAATCTTTAAGTAGACATCTACACCTATTATTAACATTAATTTGTATAAATACCTCTTATTACCTCTACAAGAATTTGGTGATGGGAAAACCAAGTAAGGAGAATTACCGCCGAGATCTTGGGATTGAGTAAAAGGGTTAACCTAGTCTGAGGTCTACACTATCAGACTAAGTTTTCCCCCCTTCAGTGCATGTCGAAAGAGCCAGTAATAATTAGATAATATCAATTGACAGTTTAATGCATTAAACCTGATAAAAACTACATAAATGGAGCCTACCTTTCCATATTCGAAGTGACCTGTCTTCCCCGACAGAAACAAAGCTTCCATCCTCACTTGTAAGAGCTGAAATGCTGTCAAAATAAGTAACACAATGACAATGAAGACAACCATATTACTTTTGAAAATGCCACAGGAACATAAAACTTTTATTATATTTTAAGTTTGAGTACTGTATTTATTTCAATTGGCTGACTTAGAACAGGAAATTACCAAAATTATCTTAACGCTTAAACTCCCATGATCTCAAACAGTTTCCATAACTTTCTGACATATACACCTTCTAATTTAGATAGAGTATACATGCATGAAAATTTTGTGTTAATTAAAATCATTCTGTATCTCCTTAAAATGTATTTCCTCTCGTCATTTCTATGCTTTACTGTGCATTGTTACCATATGGATAAATTATATGTTAGTAAATCCTGATAGTTAGACTTGGTTAAAAGAAATTTCACAGTCCATAATCTTCCAGGTCTCAAGCTTACTGACCTGTAGATGAAACTTGTGTGTCCTGTATAAACCTGAAGGCATTCACCAGTGCTCATCCATCTTCTAATGGTGCTGGTGAAGGAAAGTAAACCTTTTCACTCAAACCACAGAAATTGATATAAATACTAAGATCATGAAGTAACTCAAAACCAATTCTTTTTTTTTTTTTTTACCAGTCATTTGAACAGGACACAAACTCCAGAGCTGAGAGAACAGCCAGACCTCTAACACAGTCACTATGCCCAGTAAATGTCATTTGACATGTCCCTGCTTTCCACATCTTGATGGTCTTATCAGCCGAACCTGTAGAGTTATAGACAATAATTTGTCAATTACTGTACAGTGTACAGATAAGTGGAGATGGAATCCCTATCAAGGCTTCCCCTAAACTAATAAAAAGTTCTCAGTTGAATAACAGCAACTTCAATCAATACCTACAACATACTCAGGAATATCTCAGAGTTGGCCATAATTAGAGAAAAATAAAAATCACTCTGATTTGGACAAATTCAAGCAAGGAAACACTTCATTTTACCAAGAACAAACAGAGAACACATCAAAAAAATGTAAAATCATTTTGACCTGTAATTCATCTTAACCTTTGAACCCCTTAGAGTGAATTGCTTCAAATTCGTTCCAGCAGCATCACCCTTGAATTGAACATTGAGATCAGGAGACTAAAGGAAATGATCACCAACTAAAGATGCTCTTCATTGCATACAAATTCTCTTTGTCCACACCTTACAAAATGTATAAAGAACCGTATAGAGAATATGCATACTGATGTTAAGGTGTAAAGGTTAAAGTACATTATTACTCCACAGTGTTCGTAGATATACCTGTTAGCATGAGCCCATGATCTGGCATTAGTTGGACTGCCCATACTGCTGCTTCATGGCCTTGTAGTTTCATCATACACTTGCTTCCAATCCACACTCGTGCTGTGCTGTAAATCATTTTAGATATAAAGGAGAAAATCATTTCTGACAAAAAAAATATTGAGAGTGGCTGACATGAAAGCCTAAAGGTTACCATTACTACAATCTGAATTTTAGGGTCTGGGGTCAAGTCATGCTGAATCAGTTTGAGGTGCTTTTCCATGAAAAAGATCAACTTTACTGTAGCAGAGCATCTCTCATCCCATGAGTATAAATGGGTACCTGAAAATTGACTGGGAAACCTTAGAAAAATATTGAGATTGAGATGGATCCCCTCTCTCCTACCACATTTGGAAAGAATGGATAGTGTACATGTAGCAACACTACATACAGTCAGGTTCTCCAGTGTAAACTAGGAAAAGCTCCTGTGCCTTAATCAGAGGGCAATTGACCTTGAACACACAGCATGTGAAGGATGCCAGTTAGATTTATTGTACTCACTTGTCCCATGATCCAGAAAGAAGTGTCCCAAACTTTCCAGCAATTAATGAACACACTGCTCCACTGTGACCCTCCAGTTTGTGGAGAGGCTCTGAAGGGAGGGAATAAATTCAAGATGACAACAACAATTAAAAAAGGTTGTGATAAATTTAGACTGAAGAGGAGAGGTAGACAGACTTTTGCATTTCAATACAGCACTTCAATATCAAGACTTCTTCCAATGTGATTGAAAAATCTAGATGTAAACTGTGAAATATAGTCCAGCAAAAGAAGAAAAGTAGAAAATCATAGGCTAGGTGATGTGGCAATGATTTAAGAACAACTTATCATTGCTACAGTAGTCAACAATAAAGGCTGACTAAGGGTTGACACTTGAAACGTCAGCTTACGGGGGCTAATTGACTTAATCAACACAGTTCATAAAACCAAATTAACAAAACAGATAGTATCAGTCACAAGAGTCAACTTTCAGATCTGAAAGGAGTAAAAGGGTTAACCCTTCACCTCCTATGAATGTGCAGCATCTACAGTTATAACTCCCTTGTGATGGTATAATCCCTGAATGAAACATTAAGGTCACAAGAACAAAGGAAGTGATCACCAACTAAAGAAGCTCTTAATTGGCAAACAAATTCTCTTTGTCAGCACCAAAGGGAATGTATAGAGAACAGTATGGAGAATATACAGACTGATGTTAGGGTGTAAAGGGTTAAGAGAGAAGATGTGGTAATTCTAAAAGACTGTTATTTACCCACCAAGAGAATCCAGAGTCCACACAAGAATCACACTATCATGACCACCAGTGACAACAAGACCTGGCAAATGAAGTAAAGTGGAATCTCCATTTAACACATCTCTACATGTATGTAAAGACATTCTAGGTATAATGAAAGATTCTCTTCAGCCTGGCCAAAATTACAGTCAAATGTATGAGAAAGAACCTCATTATAACAAACACAATCTCAAAATGCTGAGCAGCATGACATCTCACAACACATAAAAAAAAGACAATAAAAATAAAAAAATAACTGTTAACCAGCCCTCAATATGACAAACAATTTGGTTGTTTTTCAGCAAATTCTTTATATTGAGAGTTTGCTATATCATAACAAACCCTCTATATTACAAACTAATTTCCTCTGTCCCTTGGCACTTTGTTAAATTGAAGTTCCATTGTACAAAAGATTTTTACACCATAAAATTTAATTCATTCAAACTTATCACTTTCAATTATTTTGTTTATTTTTAAAGCTACATACTGTATATTCAGTACTTCTTGTACCAAAGAAGATACTGCTCTCAGTCAGTTCAGGCACACAACTTTCTTATAATTCAAAGACAACGCGCAAAATAATTCTTTAGGATTATGTTGTGAAGAAATCTCACAATTTCAATTTTATCACAGTAACCATTAAAATGGCGATAAGCTAAGGCAAAGGAGAGGTTTGCCACAGTAATTGACACCACCGTTAAATGGATGTTGCTATTTATATGGTCTAATAACTACAGGTCAAGTCGGCCTAATTCAAAAGATTAGAAATAAAACAACTGGTAACTTACAATGAATCAACAGCTGATGTACGTCAGCTTTTTTCAGTTTTTATATCAACTTAAACGATTCTAACAATCAATCAGTGTCTATCTATGAAGGTTGGGAAACCGATCTCCATCTATGTGATATAAAAAAATGAGAAAAGAGAAGATACCGTGAGGGTATTTGTCTGTAGGAGGAATTGTACAAACGGCAGAGATAAAGTTGGAGTGTCCGCTAAGAACGTGACCTTCTTCAAAACCAACTTTCCCTTCACTGGGAATCCACAATCGAGCTGTTCTATCCCGTGACGCTGAAACGATTCCTCCTTCAGGGAAAACAGCGGGGCAAACAGCTCTAACATCCAGTTCATGGCCTCGCAGTACACTACTTAATTTGTAGGACATATCGAAATTCCTTTCCTCACGAATTAAGTTGCTAAAACTTTTGGTGCCAAATACATGACATAAATTTCTGTCATGAAATACACCACTGATCAAGGAAAGGCTACCAAGTTAAAGCAACAGCGCGAACACCGCGCGAGGTCCCGCGTGACTCAACCGCTCCGAACCGTCCACTCGAGAAAAGGGTTCGCGCACGACCTTACCTCCAGGTTATTGCTGTCAATCAGAGCCTGAACTACTGATCGAGGCTAAGAAGGAAATATTGCAAAGGAGTTAACTACACTGATCGACTCTACAGTACAAAACTGAGAACAAGGATTTATTCACAGTTCATATTCTCTTGAATTAGAACTCCTTTGTGAATCCGTCACCTCGTTCTAGTTTTCCTTTTCGTTCGCAGATCGAGTTCGGGGCTTTACTGAAGTTCGTTTCAAATTTGAATAACGTAACTAGAGCAAAACTTTATGCAAGAAAAAAATTGTTTAACACTAGTGAAAAAATTACTCCGTGACTGGTATAACGCGGTGTTTCGTCTCGGCCACGAGACTCATAATGTCTTTGAGAAGAAAAATCTTAAGGGTAAAATATTCCTTTTATGGCACAAGTCTCAAGTCTTCAAGTCTCACGCAAACATTAGTTTTGTCTACTTAAAATTCCGGGCCCTAAAGAAGACAATTTCGCAATCAGAAATACAAAACGGGTCCATAATCACTGAGAATTATTCTACACTTCAAATTTGTATACTATTTTTCGTCTATTAACTATTGCTACCATTTATGGCGACAAAAGAATGTTAGGTAAACAAAAAAACTGATGTGATCAAATTTAAAAAATTACTTAGCGGCTGGGAGCGCAAAAGGCGGGAAGTGGTTCCTTTGAGCAAAGGTGCGCTACATCTATATTCAGTGACGGTTCAAGTTCATGCTTTTATTTTAACAAACAAACAACCCGTCATGAGTATTTCGGTTATACTGATTTCCGACAAAAAGAAAAAAAACTGTGAAGAGCTGTTAATCAATATCGTGTTCAACGAACCTGCAGTCCAATGCCTAAGGCTTAACTCGCCGCCAAAATGCTTTCAATTGTCTTTTATACCTTTTTTTAAATCCGTATTTCAAAAATAACGTTTCTTCTGTTAGGGACATGAAACCTTAGCCATAGAACTTATCGATCAGATAGTACATTTTAGGAAGAAAATATCAAATCCGAGCAAGTTGCGACCCTGATACTCAAATATTGACATCTCATCATCACCTGAGATGGGTTTTCGTCCTTGCGTGCGCTTAAGTAAATTAACACTGCTGACATAAGTGTTGAAAAGATTGCCTTCAATAATTTGCTTTTTTAATACTGATCCTAACTGGCTCATCAGATCAGTTTTCAACCAAAATAGATTCATAATAATTCTCTGCGGCACTTTGTATCGACCGCTTAATATAAGTTATGTAACATATTTTTGAAGGCCCGCTCAAACCTTTATTGTTCAGTGGTGCATGTCACTTAGTCAAACACAAAGGACTAAATGAATAAATGATCTAAACAAAAGCAGTAGTGGTTCCTTAAACGAAATATCATATATTTTAAATCCAATCAAGCGAGAAAGATTGCCCTGAGAACTCAAACAACACCGCGTCCTTACGTGCAAATACCTTTCCCGGCTGGACATCTAACGGTCAAATCTGTCTGTAAATAAATAAAGCAACTAAACTGAGCAATCTAACTCATTTGAGACTTGCTTCTTACAAGGGAAGGTTTGACTCGCACAACGAAACATCTGAAATGAAACGCACTAAGTTACCGTTGACGCTGATAGTAATTTTTAGCTCCTTGTCTATGTACATCGAGCTCTCGTGTGCAAGGTCTTACAAGGTAAACAAAGTTTTCTGAATGTAATCTGTGTTGCAGTCCCTGATTACAATTTTGATGTCATTTTTTGCAATATACTATTTTTTTCGCAAAATTTTAAGGACATTCACCATCTACTAACTGATGACGAAAGGGAAATGATTTTTGGACATCCATTTGTAGAATATGGTGGGTACCATTGCATGAAAGCAGTTTTAAAGTAATATCTTTTTTTTGTGATATATGTATGTAGTTATTGCAATTGACCGTTGAACCAACTGAAAGAGCCGTAATTCAAAATTCAAAATTTGATCCCGGCTGCCCCTTTAAAATTGCAATTTTCAAAGTGAGAAAAAAATATGATGTTCTTTGCCTTCTAGTGTTTCAATTACTAGGTGACTGATACTTTATATTTAAACCGTAGACTAAATATTTATGCATAATTCACGATAGGTCAGGTAGAATGCTGTGTCAATTATTTTTGGCAGAATCCTAGTCCTCTTCCGGAACCCACCAACATAACGCCAGTTTCCGTTGGGAACTTTTTTTGTATAATATGGTATAATATAACACCTTGAAGAAGAAAAATGCAAATTCATTGTGTTCTCCAACACCATCGATCCTTAGCAGAACTAGCATTCATGTTTAATTCAATATAACAACGACTTAGTCGCTTCATCAACGATGAAGTTCATTTCCAATGTTTGTTTTCTTTTCTGAGGACTTTGCAAGTTTAATTTGATTCAATTCTAGTAAGCTTTAATTGAAAAAGCCCCAGCATTCCGCGTTACATCTGGTGGCAGAAGACGTTACTCGCCCGTGGGTACTCTCAATAGTTTTTGAGTCGTTTTGGTATAGCTACAGGCAAACTGTTTGATCATTTACGTCTTCAATCAGTTACGATTTTCAAAGAAAACATATAAACGGGTTTTTGAATTTAACCGCGAATGACTATAAGTAAAAGAAATGAAAAAGAGAAATGGTATTTTTTGGTTTGAAACAGAGTCAGGATTTGGAACGGTTGGCGACACATTTTCACAAGAATTCCGATGAACAACCCCCCCCTCTCCCCTGCAGGGAATTTCGAACGCCAAGCCATATGTCGTCCACCAAAACCGTTAACTTCTTGACATTCCGTGACAATTGTTCCGCCTATGAATTCAAATTTAGGTAGTCATGCATTAACTTCATCCAGGGGTCTAATGAGTCGTGTCAGGAGCCCATTAAGTAATGGGCTCCTGGTCGTGTGTCTTAATTGTAACTGAAACAAAAGTGATTGATTGCTAATTTTTAATGATAGATCGATTTATGCTCAGAAGCGGCAAAAATGGAACATAATCATAAAATGCACAGTACGATGCTATTAATTGCTCTGCTTGGGAAAAAAAAGAAAAAAGGTTGTGCAAAAAGAAAACAAAAAGTTAACCGAAAGCCAATCAGGCTGTAATTCGTTAGTTCTAGACTCTAATAAATTTACGCATCATTCAATTTATTTACTATCACACTTTCGAAAAATCAAGAATTTAATTTAATTCCTAGCTCTTTGCTATTATCGATTTAATGTTTTTGTTACGTAGCGAATCAAGATAGGAAGGCTAGTCAACCCATGCGTGACGTTTTTTACTATTTTCCAAAAATGCCGACGCAAGATAAAAACCAGAAAACTGTTTAGAAAAGCAGTTAAACATCTTGCATTTTTAACTTCACCCACAGTTCCAGAGTTCGACGTCTCCCATCCTGTTCAAGTTGATGAGCGAGGTAGATTTTTATCACGTGACTTGGCAAATGGGAACGCTCGGCGAAAGAGAGACCTTGACGGTACTAAGTCGAAAGAACCCGTCTTCTTTAAGATCTCAGCGTTTGGTCAAGATCTTCACCTGAACGTCACAATTAATGATGAGCTTTTTTCGCCCAATTTTGAGATCGAAATTCGTAGTAACGGCACGTCGGAATTTCATTACAAGATTGATCATTGTCATTACACTGGACAGGTGGTTCCCATAGGAGGAACTGGGAACAAAGTGGCCATCAGCAACTGCGAAGGACTGGTACGTAGTGCCGTTCAAACACATTTTTTGGCACCAGAGGCGGTCGCTTTTCAATAGACAAGTGTAGTAATTGACAAAGTCTGTATAAGCCGCAAAAATAATTTCAAAATGGGAGAAATTTATGTTGACATGGAGAACACAACTGACGATAATATACGTTGCATTGATGCGATTCGAGTTTTGCACGAGAACGTTTTCATTCACGGTTATGCAAAGCATAAGAACAAGTTAGATCGGGGTTCGATGAGCATATTCCGTCGCGTTTGCCCGGCTTCAACAATCCTGGGAGAGATATCGACAGGAAAAAGGCACTTTTCAATTCAAAAACTGGTGATAACCCCTCCTAATCTTGTACCCAGATCCTACCACGTTACTGCTCCACTGTGGAAGGACTGGGTACGAGACTAAACCCTTTCAAATTCCAGGGATGAAATTGTTTTCAACCTAACTTCTAAACGCGCAGTCAGTTAATTTGTTCAATTCTATTCCTTGTACAGCATGGTATGATTCGCACGCCACAAGACGTTTTTATGGTACATCCTCTGCCCGATCGACTTAAACTGGGAAAGAATAACACTCGAGCCCACGTAATCCACAGGAGGTCTTTATCACCCGCGCATGCACAGTCACTGGCACAGGCTCTCGAGGATGAGAAAAGATCTGATAGCTGGTGTGGAGTGGAAGGTATTAATAGAGACCATGGGTTTCTTTTTTCGCCCTCAGCATTGGCTGCACTTTTTCTTTCCCTTGAAGGGGGCTCTCCCAGTTTCGCGTTTCCCTCGTCTTCCCTCCCACGCAGAATATTTCCCTCGAGGAATACAGGCTATGTATTCCCTCCCATCTTTTACAACAGTTGTATGGTTATCGTTTATTATCATGAAATAATGGGAGGGTACCTACGCGGCTGTCGTGTCGAAATCCATGCTGTGTTCTATTAAAAAGTAACATCTTGTGAGATGAGCATTAAGTGAGATATGCCCGACAAATTCTTCGGATTCATGTTTTTTCGCTAACTGGGTTATAAGTGAATTACGGTGAGTCGAACAGTCAAGAAAAAAAATCATCTCAGAAAGGAAACGTCTCGGTTACCCAACCCCCAGCCCCTCAAACGCATCGGTATCAAACTAGCAAACACTTTTTGATAACCTGATTTTCTAGGCGGAGCAGCTGTTCAGCAGTCTGACGAAGATGATGACACCCATACTAACTCCGAACGCTCTTTTCAACCGAGTGTAAAAAGAACCATCGAGTCCATGCTAGTGGTAGAGAAAGAGATGACAAGATTTTACGGTGTTCCTCAGATAAAGAAATATGTGCCCACCATGGCAAATATGGTATGTTGCAAAAAAAAAAAAAAGGCCATTCGAGTTGTTCTACGTAATCATACCTGTTTTCGTGGAAAGTACAATTGTCGTGAGGAATTGTTCCTTCGAAATTTCCTTTTTTCTCTACGGAGGTAAGTTTGAAGTACAAATACAGAGACTTGTTTCCGCTACATTGCGAATCACTCGGTTCGATCGACTCCGCCCTTTTCTCTTTTATCACAGCACGACAGGCTACCCAGTCTTTTTTTGTGTGTTTGTTCGTTCCCAGCTTAGCGCCCTTCACGCATAACTGGTGCACCCAGTGAACAAAGACCTCTCAAACCTTCGTTTAAACGGGCCCTCAGTTCCATTTTCACCTGTTAGAGAGAACTTGCCACTACATACAAAACAATAATAATCACTAACAACATTCATATTTTAGGCTCACGGTCTCTTAGACGATGCTTCCATTGGGGCTAACGTCAAATATGTGGTAACCAAACTGTTGATTCTGCAAAATGACGAGGTAAGTTTTAGATTTCACAGTCGTTGTGGTTAACTTCTGCCAGACTTCACGAGTGACTTTACTCTGATTCTTCTTATCCTGGTGTCATCGACTTTCATGACAGATAAGCGTTTAAAAATGTTTCCTCGCTAGTGTAACCGTTCCGTGCGGGGACGCAAGACGTTAACTTAATTTTCTAAGAAAAAAAACCCTTTACTCTCATGAGTAAGCTGCTACCCGAGAGAAGAAGATAGTCAGAGGGAAAACTGAACAAACTGTGGTTTGTGCCGTTTTCAGTGAATTTTCAATTAATATTTGTTCTTTCCTCCTTCGCTTCTGCTATCAAGAGAGGTTTGGTTATCAGCACACATGCCGCCAGTACTCTGGATAGTTTCTGTAAATGGACAACAGGACAAAATAACGCTGACGACAAAAGTCCGGACCATTTTGACCATGCAGCACTGTTTTCGAAGTAAGAAAAGTCCACTATAATGATAATATCGTCCTAGGTGTGCTTTGATAAATTCAAATGGGAAAAATTTCAAGATAATTGCATATAAAGCTACGTTATTTTGAAGGCGGTAGAACTACGAAAACTGACTACATTATTGTAGCGTTTGCCGGCATAGATTTATAAGTCGGTTTTGACCCTTGATTCAAAACTTGAAACTGAGCAAGTTTAAGTGCAGATGAAACCAAACACCAGAGAAAATCTTTTCTTTAAACTAACAATACCTTATACCCTCCAAGTGCGACAAACTGGTAATGATGCAAAGTATTTTGCAGGTACAATTTTTGCAGAAACAAAGGAAATGTACAAGACCAGGGTTGCGGAACGATTTTAGGTAACTCAATCCATATCTTTATTCTTTAACTCCCAGAAGTGATAAACATGTAACTTCTTTCAGCAATATCCGCACATTATCCAACAAACAGGTAATAAGAATATTTAAACTTATCAGGTAGTAGTCGTTATCTTGATCTAACATCAAATTCTCGAAACTTATTTAAATGGAAATGTGTAACAGCAAACGAGGAAAATTAACAATCAGATCTTGGAAGTGAAAGGGTCAATCAAAATTCTGTGCAAAAGAGAGGAGTTAACAGACTTTTCTGTTCAATCAATTTTTTAATGGCTAAGAATCTTGAAACATTGACATTTGTTATTCTCTTTAAGGTTTGGCGCAATTGAAGGGAATGTGTAGACCAGACGTCAGCTGTACTCTAAACAAGGACACAGGACTAGGAACTGCGTTTACATTGGCTCATGAAACAGCTCACAAGTAAGTCAATTAACATTATATTGCTTTAAGCACGCGATAACCGCGATATGGATTACTTGTTGACGCATGCGCACTTCAAAAGCCACTCCTCTGAAAATTAACAAATATTCTTTAATATTTTGCTTTTATTGAGCATTATTTATTTGCCTTTTATCTTATAAGAGGTCAATTTTTCAAAAAATCGCGGAATCGCACAATAAGGGAAAACAGCACCTTGCATTGACCTTAATTGACCTATCATAGCGATTTTATCCACTGGTAATCAGATAATTCAAATGTACGTTAACCATTCCTCTTCTTTTGCTGAGTTGGTCCATATTCATCAACAAACAAAAAAATCGATACCATACTCGCTCAAGAGAAAACGATGCGCGATGAAAATGCTTATTCAATTGCAATAAATAACCAAAGAGCGCAGCCCTGATCAGTTGTGTCTTCCTGTTTTTCCTTTGTCAGTCTCGGCTCTGAACACGACGGAGAGGGGAACAAATGCAACGATGGCGTCTACATTATGGCGACTAGGGCAAGTGGAAAAGTGACAGCGTTTGATTGGTCGCCGTGCAGTAGGAATTACGTGACAAAATTTTTACAGTAAGAGGGGTTCAATTTATATTCAACTCTACCATGTCTACGGTTTGCAATGGCTGTTTTCTGCGCTTTTCTAAGTGTGCACGACATGATATAATCTCGATGTCAGAGGTATCCCCAGCATTATATCACCGTCAGTGAAAAAATAAAATGGGAAAAGAAAACTAGCAATGCTTTCAAGCTGACTAAGACAAAACCACGTAGCAGTTCGTAAGCCTCTATCGTTTTGGTAGATTATGAACGTGTGAACCACAGGATAACCATTGTCATGATTCCGAGGCACGAATCTGTGAAAATTCCTCTGTGATAAAATCATTCAGAGTTTTACGGCTCCGTAATAGGCAGGTTAATTAGCTATGGCTATTTCCTCTAATTATATTCTTTTTCTGTCCCTGTTTACTGAAATGTTGCAAATGGCGAATAATTTGTTTCTTTTTTTAAGAACGCAGCAAGCTAAATGTTTGAACGATGACGAACCCAAGAGCAAATTTGTTATGCCACAAGGCTTACCAGGAAAGATTTACGACGGAGATGCTCAGTGTGTGCGCATGTTCGGAGCAGGTGCCAAAGTCTGCGATATTCCGGATTTAAAAGCGGTAACTATAAAATTTGCGTTAAACAATCTCTTTCTCGTTTTAAACAGAATATTTTCTTAAATTACTTCAATAGTAAACAGTGAGGGATATTGAAGCTTCGAATTGAGAGGTGCAGTTTTTGAGCTGAAGTTTAAAGCTAAGTCCCTCGTTTGAAACGCTGCCAAAAAAGGAATTTTCGTATTTTTATTCGACTTTCAGTTTGGCGAGGAGAAAACCTGCTCTTGTTTTGCCTAATCGAACTTTTCTTTGAAGGTTGGGAGTGACAGAGAGTACTTGTATATGTTACAAGAACCGAAATTATTAGATATGACATTGATGGATTATAAATACCGCTAATAAATACTAGTTTTGTGTAACTTACAACTTAAATCTTTGTATCCTTCTATAGAAAATGTGCGTCAATTTACACTGCGAAAAGCCTGATGGGTACTGCTCGTCAAACGATGAACCAGCCGCTGATGGAACCAAATGCGGAAATAAAAAGGTTACATATAACAAACACAAAAGCTTATCTTGAATTAATCTGAATTAGTAGAATCATAAAAAGCTTATCTTGATTTATTCTGATGATCTTTTTCTGTCTCTTTATCTTTCTCTCTCCCGTGTTTTCTTTTTTGTTGTGATTGATTCCTCAGTGGTGCATGCATGGTCGCTGTGTATCTATAAAAAACAAGCCGGGATACCAAGACGTGGATGGCAATTGGGGAGCCTGGAAACCATGGAGTAACTGCTATCCCCAATGTGGCCAAGGTCTTAGCACGAGGGAGCGTGCTTGCGACAATCCAGCGTGAGTAACATGAAGTCACCTTGGCCTTATTTGAGAAAAGATTGCTATTATCATCAAAGATTTTTTCAACCTGATTTAGTTTAAACTGTTTATTCGTGATCGTAAACAACCCCTTCTCGATCAGTGCAGAGTTGAAGAAGAAGCTTCGCCAGCTTAACTGCGATTTCCTTTAATTGTGCGATCAAAATAATCATATGATAGTTTCACAGATAATATGAACCTTCTAATCTGCCCCAGATTTCTGTTGAAAAGAGAGAATTTTCACTAACTTTTTGGATAAACCTTAACCTTGATGGAGCGAAAATCTCCTCGGTCCTCTGTTACTTCCTCATCAACAACAAGAAGGGTAATAAAATTACCTTAATTTCTATTTTGGAAAGAAGCATCTGGTTATGAAACATAGCAAATGAGTACTGTGGAAAAGTAACCACTGAACGGTAAGGCAGCCTTCATAAGGTAAAATTAAAAATAACAAATTAATTATTTTCAGGCCGAAGCGTGGAGGGAAACTATGCCAAGGAAAAGCTAAGGAATACAAGATTTGTAACAACCCGGTAATTACTTTTGAACATTTTTGTCTGAACTTTTTTCACTCGCGTGCATTTCATCATCGGTATTTTGTCTTGTATATGCAGTTTTTGAAGTCATGACTGCGGTTTATTATTCCACTAATATGTCGTTTTACCAAATAAGATGAATGAGAACGCGTATAATATACCACAATATTACGCTGGAGAACAGGGGAAAAACACGGAGCAACAAAATGGCCGCACTGAACGATCCGAACTTTGATTGAGGCTGATTTTTTTCATTGATGATTACGAGAACATTTTAATGCTTTCGTTCCTATTGTTTTCGCCTTTCGTATACGATGCACAGGTAAGGCCAAAGGTTGCTATCGCAAATTAAAAATACTAAAGGTAAAATAATAGTGAAATAACAAATCCTCTACTCGATGATTTAGCAAATAATTCGAGGAGACATTTTGCACGTTGCTCGTGCGTATTATATGTTAAACCAGGGAATAAGGTGTATATATTAAATGTCCTAAAACAGATAACAACAGATTACTGTTGGGCAGACAAAAAGCCTGTACATACAATCCTCCTGAAAAAAAAAATGGAGTCTTTGTCCCGCTCAATATCTCAACGCTATATTGAGGAAGTAATTTAGTAGATGGTACGATTTTTTTCATTTTTAGAAATGTCCATCAAGCTTCGAAAATCCAAGGATGAAACAGTGTAAGGATCACAGACATGTACAGTTTCAAGGAGGCCCTTTTAACTGGATCTACGATCCATACTATGCACAAGGTTGGTCATTCAGAGTCGTCACCAGATTCACTCTTACTTTGATACCAGTCACAGATGATGTACACCTCTGCATATTTTGGTTAAGGACATTTGAAATCAATTTCTACTGAATCTGCAGCGAAAGATGAGCTTCAGTTTCACAATGAGGGAAATAAACAAGAATTACACAAAGAAACATAATTTATTGAGACAAAAGAAACAGAAAAGCAAAATGTAACATTAAGTATAAAAATGTGCAACCCAAACAATGTTCGTGGAATTAACCCTTACTGCAAGGGAAGGAATCAAGTCACCCTGACAGATTAATACTATCTTGTTATTGTTTCAAAGTTGTCAAAAAATTAGACTAATTGTATGGAGATTTTAAATTTGCGAAGTATTGAAATTTAACCTGCCACTTGCTAAATGAAGTGTAGATTAAAGCTAACAAAAATTAGCGCCTCTTGGACCAGCGCGTGATGGTTTTCACGAAGTATCAATTTCCTAAAAAAAAATAGGTATATTTAGAATGGCTTTCCGTTTTCTGTTTAATCAGGAAGTCCTAAGTGCGTTCTAAGTTGCGCCACAACTAACGGAGATACCACATCCTTTGGAAACGTCAAGGACGGAACACCTTGCACTGACCAGCCTAACAGTGGTGTCTGTATCAATGGAAAATGCCAGGTAAGGAACGAGGCTTGAGAAGATCATACACTCAAGGAATGAATTGGAGAAGAAGGCGCCTTTCCTTTAGCCCGTTCACTGAACAGATGAAATGTGTGCGCTTTGGCTGTCAAGTTATACTGTGATTAGCATGGCGAGAGTGCATTTTGAAAGACTGTTGTCAATACTCTCCCTTCATACTGCATAAACGGAAATTAATATAGAATGGGCATTAGATCTGACGGAAACCTTGCGATCTTTATATCGAAAAAGAGTCTGCATAGTTTTCGTAAGATTGAATGCACTAGAGATATGCGCATACACCGGTACAAGAAACTATGAAATATTTTAGCCATTGTTTATAGAAAAACCATCATCTAAACCACCTTCAATTCAACGAAACGTTTTAACTTATAGTTTAACTTTAAACTTAAAGTTAAGTTTGTTACCCGTGTGAAGACAGCTTATCGCTTACCATGAAAAATTAGAAAACGATCATTTTACTTCAAGAGGTCAATTTATTACGAATAATCTTCCGATCCACTGATTATTCCAAACCGTAGCCTAAGCTGGAATGCTGATTATTAAAAAACTGGGCTTAAGATCTATTTATAATGCGTATCTCGCTTTGAAAATTTTCTCTCAAGAAACCAAAGCCCAACAAGAGTAAGCCCAACAAAAGTAAACCCAACAAAAGTAAACCCAACAAAAGTAAGCCCAATCCCAGCGGTGCTGCGAAGAAGACAACTTTTACATACAGCAAAGTTCCACCAGCAGGTAAGTTCTGATTATGTAATAAGCTCAGTTATGCACGCATTCTGATTGCTTCTCACTTATGATCTAATGGAGGACAGACGTATAGATGACGTCATCGTTAAGACTTTTTTCCTTACATTTTAATTCTTTATTATATAAAACAAATAGTTCCACCAGCGTCTGTTCAAATTCTGAATAAAGTAGAAAACAAAAAAGTATAGAAAGACGCACGGCAACTTGGAATCTATTTATTAAATAGTAGAAAACAAAACTATAGAAAGCGGTGACCAAGGTCTGTGTATCCTCTCTCTAGTTAAACATATTATGTCATATTTCGGATACTTAAAAATAAAAAGATGAAAAGTCCTTATTCCACACTTGAACACTAGAGTTCCTTGTTCCAGTCACTGCGCGAAAGGGAGTCGGGGGGGGTGGTGAAAGACCGGAGCATATAGTTACTTTGGCGCTTGACAATTGAGTGATCAGTCTTTCACAAATCACTATGAGATGAGAGGGGGTTTGGTATCATGCAACCGTGTTTTATTTAGTTTCATTTCAGGGCTTTCCTTAATTGAAAAATTGACATTTTTTGTTGATAAATACTAAGGCTTACCGCTATAGGCGTTTCATTACTTTTAGTAATGATATAAAACACTGAACACTGGAGAAGTGAGAGGGAAGGAGGGAGGGGGTAGTCTTGCACTACTGCCACACATTTCTTCTGCTTAATCTTTTGGCATTTAACAAATCTGCCCAAGCACTTGCAATTGCGTCTAAAAGATTTCCTAAACATCTATATCATAACTCTCTCAGAATTATTGATTGCTCTTGCGTTTCAGATGAATGGTATGTCCCCATCGCAACAATTCCAGCTGGAGCAAGGAATGTCAAAATCGAAGAGGCGACAGCTTCTGAAAACAACTTAGGTAAGTATGGCAAAAGAATTAAACAGAATATTATTCATTTCACCTTCCTTTGCGTGACAGCGAGCATGAGAAAAAATACTTACGTGCTTTTGACCTCAACGAATCTCAAAATTTATCGGGCATTTTGGCTTTTGAAGTTACGACATGATGTGTGTGACACAATTTTGAATTCTGATTGGTTCCTTGCGATTTCTTTTATAGTCGCAAAATCACGTGACAATGGGTCTACGCCTATTTCTTCATTCATAACTTCATGTAATTTCTAAAGGATCCCATTGTGCCATTTGCCAGCGTGTCACATACAGACGTACTCACTTGGCTCGAACTTAATACACTACTACTTCTTGTTAGGCGTTTCGAATGTACCTCTCAAAACTTTTCTCTGAACGTCTTCGAGAGTTTGAATCGAACATTCTTACCAAAACAATTTTTCAGTTACTTCACCTTGTATTTTACAATTCATGGGTAAAGCTGCATCAGTTAAGTTACCTGCCACTTCTTTGTCTTAAGCAAATCGGAGCGGTGGAAAATTATGGTAAAACAAATTATGTAAGTGTCGGGCTCAAAATAATCTCTAAAAGACATGAATGGAAACTACTTGCTGAATTATACAATGTTTCGCCGCTTCAGTTTTAGAGGACGCTGACTACAACCCTGTTCTTGATTACGACTCGTACCTTGCTGATTTTGGTCCAAAGACATTCACAGCGGATGGAAATAAGTTTAAGTTCCGGAAAAGAAATCAAAAAGAACTCGTCGAGGCTAAAGGCCCACTGACAAAGAGCTTTGCATTACTGGTAAGTAAAAATTGTTTAAAAAAAATGTGCTGAATGTGAGTAGGTAATTCAGTATTGCTGGCATAACGGGAACAGCTGTTTCTTTCGAGAGTTTTTTTACGAAATGGCATTTCAATGTACTTTCGAATTTTCTTGACCATTAGCAAGCGGAAGTTATTGATTTGCAAGGAGGGACTTATAGACTTTACTGAAATTAGCTGAGAACAGGTCGTTATCACGGGCTATGAACTGATAACGTTGATAACGTAAATGATCAATTCAAAACAAACTTCGTCAATCAATTGATTTGATAGTTAAGTAATTGATTTATCATAATTTTATAACTTTTTGCTCATTATAATCCTGAAAGAGAAGAACACGCAATTAGCAAAGTAATTGGGACAAGAACTTTCGGCGTTAAATTTGAGGGTTGTGTGAATGTTCCTGTGCTTTATTCCATTAATTTAAGCTTTGATTTATTTTTCCAGTATGAGAAAGTGGACGAATATTCGAAATATACGGTGAAATACGAATACATTAAACCTGATGCCCAGTCCACAAGGAGTCTCGGCCTCGGTAGCGATTTTCCTGAACTCGTCCGGGAGATTTACGAGTTAGATGAGGAGCTTGGGCAGGACGACGAGGGCTCAGGTGAAGCGAGGTGAGGCTGAAGGTGTTTATGCACATGCGTTGTTGTTCTATTTGCATTTCATATTTTAAGTACCCTGACAGGTTTGTATTGGTCTGGAAAATGGCTTTTAACCTCGCTAAACATCTGATTAGCATTCATCGGCTTTCTAAAATAAACTTGTCAGAAAACGAGATGTACCAAAACTTTGGCAAAGTGAATGTTTTTCAGTGTTTTTCCGCTGGTATATGCATTCTAAGCAGTCGATGATCACTAAATATTATCCTGGAATCACCCCAAGCTAGTCGATTATGATACTGAAGCACTAATTATAATATTCATGACATCCGCGCGAGTTTTCGATCGTTCTAAAAATGCAGTTGCTCTTGTAGGTTACCTGACTAATTATACTAAACGAGATTAAATTCAGATCTCTTCAGCAAAGGCTGTACAATGATCTCTCAGACTTCGTCTCGAGAATTATTCGACGAAATTCACTGTGTCATATATATAGGTGAAAATTTTTTTTGGTAAATGAAGCGTTGGGCGGTTGAAAAGAAAATCCATGTGACAGTTTATTGTTTTGAACTGGAATTTAGTAAACATCAGTTATTGAATCTGATTAATGCTCCGGACGTTCTACCACTGAGCTTGTGGCAGTTAGACTATGATACCCTCAAAAAGGTGAACAATTAATAAACAAATCCACTTTAATTATTTTAACCTTCTAATGGTTTCATTTTCCATCTAGGTGGGAGATAGGAATATGGACTGATTGTACAAAGAGCTGCAATGACGGCGAGCACGGAATGAGAACACGAGAAGTTTTCTGTGTGATAGATTCACAAGGTGTTGAGCTGGAAGTTGACGATAGCAATTGTAATGAACCTAAACCAGCCAGCGAAGAAGCTTGTGGAAATCAGCCGTGCCCGGCAGAGTGGTACACAGCGCATACTGGACAGGTAAACCGCCGTCAGTTGATCTTCTCGGTAGTTAGAAACCATGATTCATTTTGATTTTATTATAAAGGTTTCGTTTGTTTAGGAGAGCTATTCAAAGCATCCTACTGAGCCAATCAAAGTGATGGCTTTCAGTCTTTCCTTCGCATACAATACAAACGAAGCCTGATCCCAATTTTAGCTTCCCAGTTTCTTTTAACTGACATCGTTGACTAATTTTCACACGCTCGTAACAAATTTCATTGAAATTCTCGCACTGACAGGTCATATTCCCTTGAGCTCTGCACGGATGCCTTCTCAGCTCTCAGCTGTCCACCTCTTTCTCGCCAGCCGCCCTAATTTCCGCGTTAATGTTTACTTGTGATGTTTTTTTCTGGGGCTTTTATTTTGCCAATTTTTTCTATTCCCTTTGCATTAGCCATATCTTGTCTGCATTCATCACTAACCGCTTTCCTTTGCACTTTTGAAAATAGTTGTATCCGCATGTTACTGAAACGTTTCGTATTTCATCTCTGGTACTTCTTACCAGAACAACATCCCTAACGCTAATTCAAAGCTGCAGGACCTCCCCCCTTTTCTTGCAGCACATTCAAAAGAAAGTTGTATCAGTCCGTTTATTAGTTGCTTTTACGGTGTTCCTGTAGTGTTCAACCTCGTGTGGCCCTGGTGTCCGACCCTTGGAGGTGGAATGTGTGAAAATAAACTCTTCAGGTGAAACAAACTCTGTGGATCCAAAGGAATGCACTGACATTAAACCACCTACACATGTGGCGTGTAATGTTGAGAATCCTTGTGATGGTCAGTCGGATGACGAGGAATAAATCAGGTAACAAGAGCTTTTACTTTGGAGCTGATTTACAGCGGATGACAGAAATTGCATACGAAACAAATGCAATGCTGTTACTGATTTTATATTTGTGACGTAAGAATTTTCTTTTTCTTCTCAGAAGCAGACACAACGATAGGATGATGGATCGAAGAAGATTAATGTAAATAATGAAACCTCCTGTGTTAGAATTACCCTGATTTATTGAACTACATAACGAAGTTTTAATATTTTCGTAGGATATTGGATTAGTTTATTAGAACAACACAAGTATAGGAGAAAGGAACATTTATTGTTAGCAGAGGTGAACCTCTAAGGATGATCATGATCATTGTTAGCATTCGTACGGCTGATTCTGCTGAAGCTTTCGTTGCATGATGCTTAAGATTTTTTCTTTTTTTTTTTCCACGCATGTGCAATGCCACCTATTGTCACGTGGTTCTTTTGATTTCTCTGGCTTCTGCAACTTGGATTGTGATTGGCTATCAAGTTAACAAGTAGTTTTTGTCGCGTCTAGTAAACTTCACATAATCTGTATTCTGTCGCCCATTGGTCTTGACGTCTGAAGGAAATTTCGTGTTTCTAATGTGGCAAATTGGAAAAAATGAAGGAACATGAGGTTCCACAAGTTTTATCAATTAAAAGCAAATCTAAGATGTTGATAATTGAATCTGGAGTATTTCCGTATAGAGTTTCTGGTAGATTCTAGGCTAATCGATTGATGAATTCATAGATGGCTATCCTGGGAAACAGTTTAATTTGTTGATAGAAATCCTCTGACAAGTGATTGAATTCAATAGAATTTAACGTTTAGAAGTATTTATTGACTTTCTTTGTTGCCAGTAATAACAACTTAGTCATTTGTACAATGTAAATAGCAAAGAGTTTGTAGAAGGCTATCCTCAAAATTGACTAACTTTAAAGGTGACTCCTCCGGTGATTGTGTATTTAGTAGTACCTTTTCAATAAAATTTCCGCCTTTTTCAGTCGCTAAATGTGTGAGTTTATCGTTGTCATTTGAAACTAAAACAGTTCTATCCTTAAGCCCAATGGTGATTTAAAGAGGTTAAATATTATTCCTATGAAATGGGGAAAGGACAAAGGATTGATGCGGTAAATTAGACAGTACAACAAATGGAGCACAAGATGATCTTCTTCTCACTATTAAAAATGAAAAAAGAGCCGCGAGAACTCCAACATTGTCTATAAGTTTACATTCTAGACTTGTTTGTTGAGGCAGTTTTGCTTTCAATCGGGTTCTCCCCTTATAAAAAGACGTCGTTTACCAAGAAACGAGACTGGGAAACCGTTTTCAGAGTCGTATTTTAGTACGTCTCGACCCGAAAGTATCGATTGTAAAGGAAATTAGCGAGCCACGTTTCTTCACGGAACAGATAACCTTTTAAGATGGGTAACGGGAATTGATTTTACTATTAAGCCAGTCAGAATTTTAGATCTGTTAAATTATATCTAAATTATCGGGTCTCATTCATCGAATTAAGACAAATAAATAATATTGAAACCTGAAGTTAAATGCCTTATAAGTCTTTCAAATAGTTTTAACTTATTTCCAACAATAGAACAGCTATAAGAGTTTTTTTTCTCTAGATACTCCTTATTTTATATTTTAAATTAAATATGTTAAAAAATGTTCGTGATTCCGTGACAAAGAGTGATTAGGGTTTTATTTTTTCGTTAATGGAAGTATCTTTTGTACTTCCTTTGTCGCAGTAGGTGACGCTTAGCTTCAGGCAATGTATTTGAACGTGATGTATCACCCTAGAATCTCCCGTGAAAATCGCGTCGGTGAGAAATGTGTGGAACTTTCGGGCATGTAGAGATAAGCGCAACTTGAAAGTAGTTTACTGAGAACATTTGAGGAAGTGTTAAGGCCGATTGAAACGTAACAAATGTGGCTTATAATCATCCGGAATGAACTATACTTTGGTCTAGTTTCATCATTGATCGTAGCCACAGCTTGATGTCAGTATTTAAACACTTTGGTGTTTTGAAAAATCCTGTAAAGTTATCGGGGATGTGACTCATTTGACATGATTCTTGTTGTCTTCGTATCGTAAGCGTTGATCGAAAGCAGCTAAACTCTACAGGACTCGGAATCAAATTGAATTCGACAGCTTGGATTAAACGAAACAATGCACAAGCTACAATGCTCCAAATGGAAAGAATACATTAATGAGGAAAAGAAAGAAAAGAAAAAACCCATACAGTAATTAAATGACAATCTTACTGTAGGTGAACAAAGGTCTTTCGCTCACGAATATATATAAATGATCATGGAACCAAGTCAAATTAAAATCATGGTTTTGCTTTCATGAATAATTTCCTGAGTGATCAAATTCACTCTTGTATTTCAAAACGTAATCAAAATTTTAAGACTTCGCAGACCTCACCGGTGTGGGTAAACTCTATTCTTAGCCTCTAACATGTATTTTTGGCTGTTATTTGAATTTTCGCCCACGCGAAAGAAACTGTGAACTATTTTTGTCTCAGAGTCCAAATGCAATCGTGGGATGACTAAGACGCTTAGACGTGCGGCCAAGTTAAGCATGCACTCTCATAAGCTTGTAATCAAAAGGTGTAGGCCGTAACATGATATGTCACTGAGAAAGCTTTGCATTTAAAGGTCGACGTCAGGGATATATTGAATTATGATAGCCTATTCGACTTTTATCGCATAAGTTTGGAAAGGCTACATATAATCGAACTTTATGTAGAAATTGACACATATGCTGTAAATTGTAACTTATACGTCACTGCATATGAATCTATGGCCTAGTATATGCCGCATTTTGTGAGTAATCCCCGGAGTAGAAACACAAACATTTAGTCATTTGAATTCACTTTCGCCTCTTCACTCAAAGAGTGTCATATCACTTCCTCAACGGCGAATGTACTATCGATAAAATTAAGAAAGAATGATATTGTTCGTTTGTCACTGGCGTGGTGAAGAGAAAAGATCTGATTCCCTCCGTATATCTGGACCTTGATTTTCTTTAAAATCAGGTTAGAGGCGAAAGAAAATCATGAGCGAATTAAAAATCTTCTCTTTTCATTTCTTCACCCAGGGGCCAAGTTATTCTTAAAATTTTGATTAACACCACACGGAAGTAACGGCAAAAATTGAAGAAGATGGATTCTCTGAATGCTGAAAGCTACCTCTGGTGTCCTTCATTGATAAATGTCATAGTTTTTATCAAATTCAGTCAATTTATATTGCACACAATAAATTGGTCATTCCGAATTTATAATTCAACGATTCCTACCGAATTTCCTAATACTGTCCTTCATGCTTATTTTCGAGTTAATTTCACTTAAAATCAGTTGATATTATGTGTCCTCGATAAAGAAATTTATTCGGAAAAATTAGAGATTTTCCAGAGATCTTCTGATATTAAGTTCAGCCCACTTTGAGTGCCTCAGGCGCCGGAAAGACCGTAAACGTAATTGATCGACGGAACGGTGGTTACGAGACCTCAGATGTTTACTTACTGCTGCCTTTATTGAAAATAATGGAAAATTGTCGTGTTGTGTCCCTTTTTAATCGGAATACACCACACAGCAAATAACAATTAAATAGTTGATTACTTTTAATGCCATTGAGAAATTCCGCCTAGGATTCATTCAGACCTTTAGCAGAACAGACTATGCTTTTCAAAACATAAACTTAAATGAAAAGCCAAGTTCGGCCAAGAAGGGCGTTCACTTTTGTGGGCGTAACCTGCAGCAATCCGGAAAGAAAAATCCTGAGTGTATGGCGGCTGTATATTTTTTTAAAGAAAAATTGTATTCTGCAGTTTCCGCGAGAAAGTTTTAAATGTTGCATGAAAAGAAAGACTTTTTCTTTTAAATTTAATATGAAGTGAATCCAAAACAATTACTACAATAAATTCACAACGGTTTTTTTTTCCTTAAAGGTCCAAAGATCCCGTACCATTCAAATTTTGTTGGAAATAAAACTTCCTTTTCCATACAGATGTTTATCTGATTAGCTCCTTTTTTTCATTTATCTCTCTTTCAATTCCTTTTGCCATGTCTTGTATCAGAACGATAATTAATAACAGACAAGAAATATAAATAGAGTAAACAAGAATCAGAAGCTTTCATGCATTCGTTCTCGCTCTGCGGTGAAAAAAAAACACATAACTTATGCCCTAGCTACCTTCATAATCGAGCGTACTTCATTTTTTCCTCCACAGAAATTATGTTACTTATAACCAAAATCTGATCTTCGTCAATCGCGAAAGGAATAAGTAAGTTTATCTGTGACTTCCTCGGTAAAATACTGTGAAGCGAAACCCTTGCTAGCGTTGGGAACATTTCGAAAACATGGAAGTTGCAATTAAGAATTGGTGAGTCAACCTGTTGAAGTAAAATTACTACAGTCAACACGCCAATTTTGCCATTTTAAGGCCAAATTATTGCTGAGATGGCTTGGTGTACTGCGGTTAACCCGAATTTTTCGAAGAAACAGCGGGAATTCTTTTAACTTTTATTTTTATCCATTACACCATTTACTGTCCTACAGATGTGAGAGCATAATAATTTGAACTATTAGGGACGTTCTGTTGGGTATTCCTACTACAGGAAATAAGACAATTTTAAATATTTTTTTGAAGCAAGCGAGGTGGAAAAGATGTTATCGACATTAGAAAGTGTCATATCGAAAAGAACTCCATGACACCTTCAGAAGCTTTAAAAGGAGGCAGGTTGTGCCTTCTAATTGTATGTCTTTGTTTATTTAGGTCTTTAATGGGCAGAAGTTTGGAGAGGAACCGACTGAGACAAAATCATTGAGGAGCTGCCAGCAATATTCCATCAATATCGAATAAAAACATCAAAACAACAGCGAAATTTTTGCTCATTTGAAAGTATAATTATGTCAGGAAATACACACATACTCACTGAGGTGCACCTCAATACGACTTCATTTAGTCAAGGGTTGTCGGCTGGCAAGTAACTTGTGGCTTTCATGGGAAGATGATCTTGTATTCTCTTACACCGTTTTTCGTTTTAATTTTTATTCCGCGGGCTACAGCAAACCCTTACAAGGTAGGAGAGGTTAAATGTGAGAAACAAAACAATTTCAAATATGAATTAATTTAATTTTCACTCGGATTCAATGCGTAAAACTGTGCTTATATGTTACTGCTTTGTTTCGAATCGAGAATGTGCACACTTTGTTGACACCAGACGAAAGGGAGAAGATATTCGGGGAACCTTTTTCACAAAGTGGTGAGTACAGTGAAATGTTCTTTTGAGATCAGCTCAGGTTTCTTTTTGTCTTGTATCCAATTTTTGAACAGGGAGGAGTGGCAATATATCATTCAGATTTGTAATTGTAACGATCGTAGTTAATCTAGGAAGCCAACTCATCATACAAATTCTCACACACAAGATAAAAATTAATTCAGTTATTCGTGTTGCATTGTAAAAAGCTTTAAGAATTCAATTTAAATCTTGCGAAAAAACGGGAGTTATTTTTTAGGTTATATCAAGATATAAATCACATCAAGTTACATCTGGCAATTTTATCAACTTAGCTACTCAGTTTCCTCAGATCTTTTCTCTTCCGCCACCAGATGTACAAATGGCGATAAACCTTTTTATTTAAAAAACATATGATTGAATTCTATTCTTTTTGTTCATGTTTTGAACTGTCGCGAAGCTAAGAACAAAGGTTTTGTTTTGCAAAAGACAGGAAAGGAAATGTATCAGTGTGCAAAACCGTTACAACCACGTGTGAGATCATGCGTTCGATCAGAAAGCCTCTTTTATTTGGCAGAGCTGTTGCGATCTTCTGAACTTTTTCCTCGCACAGCCGATAGTAGTAAAACATTTAACACTGAAATGTTTCAATTTTGTGACTTTTAAGCGCAAATTGCCATAATCTAATGGTATCAGTAGATGTAAAGCTAATTTCAAGGATTATTGAATAGGAGTATTTTATCAAAGGTTTCAAAGACTGGAAAGATTACGGCTTAATTAGAACCCTTTGTTTGGAGCTCAAAAAAGCTATGGATCTTCGTGTCTGATTCCTGCCGACACGATCTGAGAAAAAGATACAGGCAAGGATTATTTAGATTAACTTGGCTGGAAGACATATGTTAAAAGTGGTTTCGAATAATCTGACCACAATCTAAGCTGAGGAAAATTAAAACTGATTTAAGTCGCATGTTTTTTGGCAGGAACCCTTTCTATTTCCTCTGAAATGCTGGCTATCGCATTTCTTAATCAATTCAGTCTGATAAAAGCTTTAATCAAATGAAATTTGAAATTTTATGTGATTACTGACAGAGGTAGGAATTCTAAGTCGTTCCACCTTAGTTGATGAAACAGTTAAAAAATACGAGTAGGTCCAAGTATAATTTCGGAATCGAAGAGGGAATACTTCTGACGAATTGATCAGATTGAATCATTCAACACATGCAAATCGAAAATTCTTAAAATGCTATTTAATCGAATAGTGCAATTATATTATTGAGAAAAATTATTGACTTGAAATTACTCTGCAAAATTACTGCGGTCACAGGTCTGTCATTTTTATTTCATCGGATTACTTTTTTTTTGAAAAAAGAGTCTCCAAATACTTCAAGTCGACATAATACCACTTTCTGGTTTTACTACGCAATAAATATCTGCATAATTGCCACTTAAATCTCACAGTACGTACTGATCATAGAATGGATATTTCAATGGTAAAAGCATTGTCGGGGATTTGGTTTTCAATCGCGCGGGCCGCATAAAGACTCGCCAATCAATAAGTGAGTCCTATGCAGGTAGATAAATATCTGCTGGCGACATATTGTCCTCCGATCATGTCTGTTATCTTAAACAAAGAACGATCGAGCCATGACTAATGTGATCTTTTCCGGTTAAGACTGTCTATATCTACAATGTATCTACATATTGAGATAGAAACATTAGTTCTTGGAAAATGTTCTACGAAATTATAACTGAACTTTAAAACATAAGCAAACAATCGATTTTTTTAAAAATATTTACCTCATATCTCCATTCAGAATCAGCTACACTTTTACCTTTTATCTCTATTCACACTTCAAAACGCTATCTTACAATGCTCTAAGTACTAATGGTTGCATTACTCCAGTTAGCCGCGACAAGAGTCATCAATTCTGCATAAATGCGTGCGGTATAAAATTAGGGCTAACTAAAACTGTAAAAATCCAGTGAAGTATCATTAACGGCTCAGACTAAAATAAAGAAATTGTTAAGTTCAAAAGATTATTCAACCATAATTATAGCATAATGAGAGGGAACATTTATTAGGTCAATGCAACATGTAACAACTTCAGCATGGGTAGAAAAGCAAGGAATATTCTCCTGGCTGACGTTTAAATGCAAACTGTGATATACGCCTTTTTAACTCGTGAATTGCGCGCATGCGCAAGAGCGAGTTATAGATACGATGTGGGGAATAGCATTCGCTCGCTCGATTGGTCGATTCCTGTAAACTTTTTTTCGATTTTAGGCTTTTGAGTGCATTTGATAGTTTTTGGCGAGCAATAAACAAACGAAATGGCGACCTTTGTTGCTAAGAATAGTGGTGGGGGTGAAAAAGAAGCCAATGATAATCTTAAAAGAGTGTTTTTTTTTCGTTTTAGTTTCAACAAGCGGCGCCAGCGACTGGCAGGCATGCTAGGATTCACACTGAAATAACAGAACAACCTTCGTTTTTCATAAAATTGTAATTCACAGTCCTTGAACTTGAAAACAATCCAAAGATTCATTGAAAATATCACTTACTGCAAAGCGCACGGAGTTTACAGATGTTCAAAAGCTTTTCTTGTTATGGCGTGAGATTGAGGACAAAATCGATCATTACGTTTCGTATCGTGTGTTTTTCCTGTGTGAAGCAATAAAAGATGCCGACGACTGACGAAATTACAAGTAAGAGATCAATACATGAATTTTTACAATGATAGACTCTGTCCATCAGAAAACCAAAAACAAAAATGATATACGTATTTCAAATGTTTCCATTGCTCAAAAACACTGAACTTTTTCTTCTTCTTACGACAATAAATATTTATTTGAACAAATGCAAAAATCATGAAAATTCACGGTTTGCATATGAGATCAAATGGTCCATCAGAAAAGTAGCATTTTGTTCCTAATATAAAGTGTAGTTCGTTTGAATCTATACATCTATACTAGTCTTTGTGAGAAAGAGGTAAAGATCATGATAATATCAATTTTTTTAGGAATCTTTTTTTACTGTTTTACTGAATTTTTGATATAACTTCTTACGCCTATGCCGTCCCTCCATGAAATATTTCTTGGATGATGAGCTCAAATCGTGCACCATTTCATTACATTTTCATTTCTCCTGAGAAAACATTTCGTGATCTTAAGAACTCTAAGAAGTGTTACAACCCATGCTTTTAAGGGTAAAATCTAGCTTCTATCTCACTACGCATTAATTTAGTTCCAGATTATCACGTTACCCATCCCGTTCAAGTTGACGAAAGTGCCAACTTCTTGACTCGTGACCTTTCAAATGGAAATCACAGAAAGCGCCGAGATTTAGCAGGAGCAAAAGGAGAACCAATGTACTTCCACTTATCAGCGTTTGGCCAAAACTTTCACTTGAACGTAACTTTAAATGATGAACTACTCTCACCCAACTTTGTGGTCGAGATTCGAGGAAATCAGAGTTCTCGATTTCATTTGGATTTTGAATATTGCCATTATACCGGCCAAGTAGTATCTTCAAAAGGATTGGGAACTAGAGTGGCCGTGAGTAACTGTGATGGACTGGTGAGTAATGTTTTGATACTGCTGAATTCCTTGCAATGACAAAATGTCTTGATACTCACTTTCACCGATCAACAATTCTCTTTCTAGCGAGGTTTGATTCGTACTCCTGAGGACGTTTTTACAATAAATCCATTACCCGACCGATTAGGACTGGACAAGAACAAAACGCGAGCTCACGTGATCCACAGAAGGTCTACCACACCTCTGGAGAGTGTTGGGAAGGCTCTCAGAGTTGAGAAACGATCCGAAAACTGGTGTGGAGTTCAAGGTAGTAGTTAACGTAAAAAGAATACTTATATAAAATGTAATTTTCTGGCAGTTTTTCACTATTGTGGAACAATTCATTACTAAGCCAAACACAATGTAGACTCGATGTTCACCTTTTTTACCTCCAATTTCCGATTCTCTCAAGAAGAAAGAGGAGCGCAGGTTCAATTCCCGAAAAACAACTAGAGATCTAACCTAGATACAGAGAAACTGCGGGGTTCTTGGAACAGTCCGTTTAGTGCAGCGTATCAGATTAATTTGTGTTCAGCAAATGCCGAGCGAGTAATTGACAAAGTATCAAATGTGGCCGTTTTAGGAAGATGAAACTCTAATTCATTGCAATAACCGTTTTAATTTCAAACAAAATATTTTCAGCAGGATATGCTCATGTTCCCCTGGAATGAGTTCCTTTACCCTTTAGCAGGCCAGTGGGGACGATCGAAATTTAGCAGGCGGACGAGCGTCCATTTTCGTCCGAAGACCCGCGCTGCTTTCGTTCGCCCGCATTTTCGATTGTCGCCACTGATGATCAATACCCCCAGTCTTGGCCAATAGACTTCGCTTGAGGTCGGTTTTCTTCTTGAGCATTCATTCCGGAAAAAGCTATTTATCAGTACGAAAATAAATATCATTAGGAGTCAACAAGAAATCGAACTGAATACACATAAGAGTCGCAAGTAGCCACGGTTTTAGGCTTGCACTTGATTGGTTGAAAATATAGTATAAGTCAATTTCTAGATCAATCACAGAGCCAGTTGCATAAAACTTTCACAGCCCCGGATAACTTTAGAAACTCAAGAGGCAATAATTCTAAAGTTCGCCACAAAGGTTCATAACTATTCCACTGAACTTTAAACAAGTTAGGGTCGACCGTGATGAATATCTTTTTTTTTGCCGTTGTAGACGAACCAAGCCCTAGAATGAAACGCGCAATATTTGATCTGCCCACCTCAGCGGATTATAGCCGGGACTTCACAATAGAAACGCTCGTCGTTGTCGACAAAAAGATGACAGATTTTCATGGAATTGAAGAGCTCAAAGTTTATGTGCCAAGTCTTATAAATATTGTAAGTTTACCTCTCGTTCTAGAAACATACGTTTAAAAACATATATTTTACGTTTGGGAAAAAAGGGAAATGCAAGAGAAGAATACGATCCATGATTTACACCAATTTGCTATTATGTGTAATTAAAAAAACGTATTTTGTACAGACGGCATGGAAGGTTTTTTCTTTCTTTATTAATCGATAGCATTGCACGTTAGGTTTACAATCTTTTAGGCGACACTTCCATTGGAGCGAACGTAAAATACGTCTTACAGAAGCTGCTGATTCTGGAGCATGATCAGGTAAGCGGATTGTGTATGATCCTTTGTTAACATGATTCACATTTCTACAAACACACAAAAAAATGGGCATAAAGTTATTGCCTACCCCTTTTTTGAAATTCCAAAGAATAATCCAACATTTCGAAGATGGACGCCGCCATTTTGAACACAACTGAGTAACCTGGCCGCAGTTTGCAAACAGCTGATGCTCAGCTTCTCGCCTTTCTCTCTCTGAAGGTTTCCCTTCGAGATCTCCTTCTACTACAAAAACCAACACGCCAGACTTCAATCCACTAAAAAGAAGTGGATGAGAAAATTCGCTACATGGATGATTACAGTTAAATCCGTTTTTATTACTACGTTTAGCTGTTGCTTTCCAATTTCAAAAATTATCCACCCTTGATCGAGATGTAAAACACACGTTTTCGACTCTTCGTAAGCATTCTTTCGATTTTCTCCAGCCCTGGTAGCAGTTAGAGGGAACTCTCAATGAACTTATTTACTTCAAATGATTTCTCGTTACCATACAGCGGCGCATAGTGTACTAAGCGCGTATCAACATGGCCATGTATATTCATATCACTTGTTCGGATATTTTTAGGAAGGTCTTGTGATAAGCCCACATGCTGGTAACACCATGGCAAGCTTCTGTGAGTGGACTAAAAGACAAAACATTCAGGATGATAACAATCCTGATCACTTTGATCATGCAGCTCTCATCTCCAGGTAGGCATGAACTTAAGTTAAAGCAGCAAGACTCGCAGATCATCTCGCCTTTGCCCAAAATTTCTATGCAACAACAATCTGTCGACAAATTACTAATCCCAACGAAAAATCATATCATATCTTCTCATCGTGATCGCAAAGCGCTTCATACGTGTTTTTCAGTTTAAGAGGTTCACTAGCACGTGTCGGCCCATTTCATTGCAGGTACGACTTCTGCCGAAATTCAGATCACCAAGAGAGCCAGAGCTGCGAGAAAGTATTAGGTGAGGCCTTGATCAATGCTTAAGAAGCAATATGGAGCTATATTTTATCCACCTACGCTAACAACTTTCGTCGCTGTTGTAGCCGTCGTTTTTACTGTTTTTATGACTATTACTGCTTAATCTTTCGCAAAGGTCTGGCACAAGTCGAAGGAATGTGCAGTTTAACAGGAAGCTGTACTTTGAGCAAGGATGGAGGTTTGGGTACGGCTTATACCATTGCACACGAGACAGGACACAAGTGAGTGCAGTCGTGAGGTTTGGGTTCGAGACCTAGTCGAGTTGTTGTTTTGTCTTCTTCTGCAAGACATTTAGTCTAGTCTGCAAGGGAAACCTGATGAAATATTGGGAGGGGAGGGGGTGGGGTTAGTAACCTGCGGAGGACTGGCATCCACTTCAGGCGGGAGTGGTAACATTCGTTTCATGCTACGGAGATTAGGATACGCTCCGGAACTTGGTGATCCACTTGAATCGAGTGGAAATTTACCTTTTATATTACGCAAGTCAGTGGTAGAGTTGGGTAGCATAGAGACGCAATGCTTGTACTCTAAACAATGAGACACGTGAACTGGGCTCCAGGGTAACAGTTATGATTATGAGCGAATTGCATTTGACTCTACATCCCGGGGTCTACGAGGGTTAAAGTGAATTGTTAACGTTCTTCGTCGTTACTTCTCACGTTTTGACCAAGGTAAGTATTTTATTTCTTCATTTTTTTATGTCTCCCAATTTTCTTTTTCCTTTATTTTCCAACAGCCTTGGAGCTCAGCACGACAGTGCAGGTAACCCGTGCGCTGATGTCAAAAACATCATGTCCACACGAGCCAGTGGTAAAGAAACAGCGTTTGAATGGTCTTCGTGTAGTAGACGTTCAATTCACGCTTTCCTATCGTGAGTTCTTATTCCATTATGATATTAATTCCGCTTAGAAAATTCCTCGACCATTTAAACCACATGCTCGCAAGGGATATTCTTTAAGCTTCTTATTCGTTGTATTGTATTATTTGCCCTAAGTCAGTGGAGACTAGGAAAAATTTCTCTGAGAAACTTACCAAGCTAGTTTTGCAACCATAGCTGTGAAAACAAAACTCTTCATTTTCTTGCAGGTCGGCTGGAATATGTTTGCTTCTAAATTAAATCGTTATTTTGCCACCTTTTGCCCCAAAGAATCCTTTCCTTACAACGTATGTTTTGACATTTCAATTCTACAAAATACAACTATCTGATTGTATCTTATATTTTTTTGTGGCACTTACATTTCCTAGCGGTGATCATGCACAGTGCTTAAATGACAAACCACAAAAGACCGTGGAATTACCGCAACGGCTGCCAGGAGAGTTGTATAACGCGGACGATCAATGTAAACGGACCTATGGAGATGAATCGCGGGAATGTCCAGCGCCTTTTTTGAAAGCCGTAAGTAAATGAAATACAAAAGTCCTTTAGGAGATTTCCCTCGTCGCTTTTCGTTTGATGCTACACGGGGTATGCTTACGTTCGAATAGGTGGGTCAAAGCTAGGTTTGCAAATGGTTAAGGCAATGTAGGTGTGTCGAAAGTAAAGGCAGATCAGGATTTTCCTGAATGAATTGATGGCGTGTTAAGAGGGAACAAGCAATAAAACATTCCAGTGGTGAAAAGTTCGCGTGCAGTGAGGTAGGATACATTAAAGCTCATTAAAGAGGCACATCGTCATAAACAAAGTGTAAAATATTGAATATTCTGAGATTTCATGACATGGCTCGTAGGCAAACCTATTTCAGCTTTCGAGTGGGTAATAGCTGTGTTTCCTGCACTTGAAATAGGCCGGTAACGTGCTTTTTTTTTAGTTTCAACACAGTAATATCATACCGTGCTCCCAAATGGTTGTTTGTTCGTACACAATCAGCGCTTCAGTGCTCTCTTGTGTTTGGTCCTTTAGCATCTTTTCCTTTTATTTGTCGGAGCCGACCCATACAGCGAGAGTTTTCTCTGCTTGCGACGGTTTTACGTGGCTAAATCTCACTAACAACTTTAGATTAAGTGAAAATAATGAAGGCCATTGTAGAAAAGGTTTCTGTGCTTAAGTAGTGCTTTGTTTTCGTGCTTTTAGAAAGTTTGCGTTCAGCTGTGGTGTGTTAAACCAGAGAATGGAATGTGCGTAACACTACATGAGCCTGCAGCTGAAGGCACGGAGTGTGGTCATCAGATGGTAAGACTGTAGTCAATGACTGAGCTTATTTTAAGGTTTTGTATATCGTGGGTGCTTTGGTGGGAAATAATTTGCAGAGAAAGTCAAACGAGAAATGATAATTCGTTGTTTATCCACCAGTGGTGCCGGCGAGGGAAGTGCGTCCCATATGGTAGCGAGGGACCTGAGGCTATTGACGGTGGCTATGGTCCGTGGGGAGAATGGAGCGGCTGTTCTCATTCGTGCGGTGGGGGACTGATAACTAGACAGAGAAAATGCGACAATCCCGAGTAAGTTTGTCCTGGAACTTAGAAATTGAAAAAGATTTTCTAGAAATTTGTGTGCCTGCTTTCAAAAATGTTTACTGTTCAAACATTTGAATACAAAGAGTAGTTTAGTACGATGAGTAGTAGGTGTCATATTTTACCATTTTCCATCAATGAGATATTCTTTTCAGGCCCCAAAATGGTGGCAAGTTGTGCTTAGAACATTCAGAGGAGTTTCAGTACTGCAATACACCGGTGAGTATTCGTCCATGTTACAATTTACTAGATTTTTGTTCGTCCCAGCTCGAATTTCACCTTTTAAGAACAATTCTTATTGGTCGAGATGTGAGAGAGAAGGACTGTTTTTACTTACATGTCAAGACTTTGCCAAACTTTCTCACCGATACAAATCTGTGAGACAACCCATTTCCATTGCAAATTTAACAAAAGATAAAAGAAACTTGACTTCTGATTCATATTACCCAGAAATGTCCGGCAGGAACACCCAGTCCAAGAGCAGAACAGTGTGAATCAAAGCAACAGATGCGATTCATTGATGGTAACAAATATCAATGGGCATACAATCCAGCAATTCCAGTACCAGGTGAGGTGTTTGTTAAAGGATCCTTAATGCATGTATATCCCTGCGCAAGATTATAAATTAAAGCATACAATAAAAGCATTAAATCGAAAATTAACAACAATTTTCCTCGTGTGGTTCCACCTTTCACGTCGCCTACGGTTTGAATACAGTGTAAGCAGCTGAGATAGAAGTTTATGACTACAAGACTTGAAAAAAAATATTAATAAAGTCAAAGTTTTATCTCTAGTATCATGTTTGGCTTTGTCAGTTAAGAAATTAAAACTCAAAGGTTTCGTTTTCAATTTAGAGGGATCAAAAAGATGTTACATGCACTAGCATTTACGTCTACTTGGAGATTTTTAACGCCATTACTTAAACATTTTTTTGTATTCACTTAGCTACGAAGCGCGAATTGACATAAAACTGCTCACGAGTATGTCGAGTGAACTACTTTGCCATCTTGCTTCTCGTTTCAGCCGGTCAGCAGTGTAAGTTATCGTGTATCGCTGAGGTAGGTATTCGGCAATTCGCTAAGTACTCATTTGGTTTCGTGGCCGACGGAACTCGGTGTGATGACTATGACGAAAACAGTGGGCTTTGTGTCGATGGAAAATGTCAGGTAATGCTGTCTTTGTAAAACTTATTCGCTAATGCTTATTTCCGTCATCCATACGTTGCTTATAGCTTACGCGAGACTTTTGATGCTCAAGAAAACATTTCTGAATGCAAGTTATAAATCATAGTCCTACCAACATGTTGTTCCTTGCCCGATTATGCTGAAACAATTTCCCTGATATCCAACCAAAGGGATTAGGTGAAAAAGTGATAACATTCTTTCTTACACACACCAAGATAGTACAACCTCCTCTGAACCTCTCTCACTCCTCCCTTCTCAAACACACACGAACGCCATATACACAGAAACTCTTACGAAATGTCGGCTGTTCCCTAAATTTATTTCAGAAAAATTAAGTCTAACCCCGCGTTTTTGTCACCCTCTAGCCACTAGGTTGTGACAAAGTTCTCGGCTCCAGTCAAAAGTTTGATCGTTGTGGCGTATGTGATGGGGACGGAACTACATGCATTGGCAAAAGGTTAACATATAAAGGGCTGCCTAATCCCATAAAAGGTCAGTGGATCAAAGTTTTAAAATACACGAAATTAAAACTAAAAAAGCTGTGGACGAAGGTATTTCAATAAGCGTGAACGAAATAAACGATTTATTGTAAAATGAAAGAAAGTGATCGTAGATCTGAGAGAAATTCGGAAAAAGACTCAACTGTTGGCGTTATTTTTAACTACGTATAACTGTGTTTACGTGGCTTGCAGAGCTGTGCTGGAAGGGTTTCATTCTTTAGCACCCCAGTGGTGAAATACATGTGAATTACAAGTATACTTTAAATATTTAAAAAATACGACAATCTTACATTTGACTTTAAAATTAAAAGTCTAAGGGGACTGGGAATTACAAGAGTCAGTAGTTATATACCAATGAAAAACGCTTAGGTTTGGTAGGCTAGTAGACCAAGTGACGCAGGCGTATTCGAGGACCGATCGTACCAAGGCATAAAATATGTTAATAAGGTCTTCGGGTGGAATTCCGGACCGCTTGAGCACTCTTAAGATGTAAAGACGTTTTGAGGCTTTGGAGACAGTCTCACGCACGTGCTCATTCCACCCAAGAGTGTCGCTGATAGTGACTCCAAGGACCTTGTGTGAGGAGACCCGTTCTAAGGGACGTCCATTGACGCACAAAGGGCCAAGATCTGGCCGTGTTCTAAGCGAACAAATCACAAGTTCCTTGCACTTCTTTGGGTTGAGGTTCATATTATTGCGCGACGACCACTGTGCAATGGCGTCAAGATCTTTCTGAAGGGACGATGTACCGCCTGATGGGATGACCTCGGATATTGTCAGGTCATCTACATATTTCCAGTGGCTCGATAGTAATGGAGTTTCAATCGCGCGATCGTTAATCATCAGGAGGAACAGGATGGGGCCAAGCTTAGTGCCCTGCGGGACTCCAGCGTGCACGGGCAACCAAGGGGATACAATGTTCTTAATCTTAACAGCTTGGCGACGGCCATAAAGAGAACTGCAAATCCAACGGATAATAAAACCACGGACCCCAAGGTGGATGAGTTTATTGACTAAGATAGTGTGGTCAATATGGTCAAAAGCCTTACTAAAATCCAGGAAGCAGGCCCTTAAGAACATACCTGGTTTGTCAATAGAGGACAACCAGTTGTGCATCATATCCAACAGGCAATAGATGGTTGAAGTTCCTTTGAGGCAGCCGAATTGGCTGAAATCGATGAGGTGCACAACATCCTCAATTAGCCATTCAACTACGAAATCCTCCAGGACTTTAGAGACGATTGCAGTTAGGGAGATAGGTCTTAAATCTTCCCTACCGGTTATGGGCGTAACCTTGGGTACCGGTGTGACATTAGAGTCTTTCCATGCAGTAGGGAAGGAGCCTGATGCAATAGAGGTGTTGAATATTCGCGTGATCGGCTCAGCGAGCTCAGCAGCATATTCTTTCCAAATACGAGTCGGAATCCCATCAGGCCCAGGGGCCTTAAAGGCGCTGATGGCAAGTAGCTTTTGTAGACCCTTTGTGTCTCGATTACGGGCGGTTGAGGGGATGGTAAGTAGCAGGGCAGTGCACTTGTATCAAGTGGCTTAATGTCAGATATTACAGATACAAAAAAACTCATTAAGGCGTATTGCGAGAGTCGCGCCAGAGATAATTCTGCCTTCCTCGTCAGTATAACTGAGTTCGTTAGGGCTGCTAGCCTTCCCTGCAAGCTTATTCACCATACTCCACCATTTCCTCGGGTCAGTGCTCTTGAGGTTATTAACTTTGTTTTTATAGAACTCGCATTTCCGGCGGGTGATAACCTCTCTGACCTTATTTCTAAGGCGACGCCATTTCTCCTCCGGGCCATTTAGATAGGCGCGTTGGCGCTCTAATATGAGAGCCTTAATCTCAGGTGACATCCAAGGCTTGTCCATTGGATGAATCTTCACGTATTTGGACGGAAAGTAGATATCGCTGGCTGATGAAAGATCCTTAGTAAATGAGTCAGTGAGAGAGTCAACTGATGGTGAGTCACCGTCTACTTCTAAATCACTGAACCAACGGTGTGAACACGCCCACCTCCCAAAAGCGTTTATTGCCGACTGAGGAAAGCGACGCATCGGGATCTTTTTCTTTTCAACGCACAGCGGGTTTAGTTGGTTCATTGAAAGCGGATTCCAGTGAACAGAGCTATGGTCCGAAGACCCTAATTGTGCGCTGACAATTGGTTCGCTAAAGTATTCACTAAAATCCGTTAAAATAAGGTCTAGTATGCTATTGCCCCGAGTGGGTCTGATAACTACTTGTTTTAGGTTATGATTGGCTAACATGTCTGAGATGTCCTGGGTGTTAAAATCGCCTAATAACACTACACCACAGTCTGGATAAGAAGTCTTTACGGAGTCTAGTGTTTCTATGATGTACATTGTGCGATCTCGCTGCACTTGCGCAGAGGCCACAGGAAAATACACCACCCCACATATAATACCAGATAGTGGGCGTGGTAGACGATGAGGGCGTAGCCATAGCCACAAACACTCGTGTTCTGGAGACTCCAAGTCAGATCTACGCTTGAAAGGTATCTCTGAAGACACGAACGCGCACACGCCACCCCTATTCGGTTGTGGCGGTCACGTCTCGCGATGTTGTAACCTGGAATGGTAAGGATGTTATTATCGATGTAGTCATGCAGCCAAGTCTCCGTAATAATTGCAATATCCATGTGAAACGTTAAAAGCTGAGCAGTCAACTCGTCCAGTTTGTCCCTGACCGATCGAGCATTTGCCATGTAGAAACTTGGGAAGCTGTAATTGGGGCGTTTTTGAGAAGTAATCTTAGTTAGATTGATTACTTTCACTGCTCGTTGACGATTTACTGGTTTACTGGGTCCACGCACTGCGCTGCGAGGTGTGATCCTGACCGGAATCGATCGTGCGTCCTCTCCTATTGTTCGCGGAACAAAAGGACAGCTACGAGAATTAACATAATCACCAGTAAAGATGGAGACACAATTATTTAAATTTCTTGATCTTGAGTTGTAAATATTCCTGGATTGACAGGGTCTTGAAATCACAGGAATCGGCATGTGTTTTTGAGTGAAGGTATTCCGAAAGCGTAGAATGCCCAGGTCTTGGAGTCGGTGTTTTAATTCAGGACGCAAAGAGACGCTATTAATAGAGGCAGCCAAATTACGCAAAGCCGAAGGAGAATACGCAATTGTTGGTCGGGTTCGGTCAGAAGTCCTTTGCTGGTCTTGAATTAAACAGGGTCCTGGTAGAGGGTGAACGTCACCACTTCTAATGATGTTTTCTAGTCCGACGGGCCGCAGGACAAACGCTGCTTCGGGCAGACATATCATAACAGGCCCATGTTTAGTAGTCTTCTGAACAGCGAACTTAACTCGATGTTTCCGGCGAAATTTAACCCCTTTGCTTACATATTTTCCTCAACATGTGCACGCCTACAAAATGAAAGAATAGCGTCTCTCCTCCAGGCAACTGTGGACGTAAAAAGTTGTTCTGTAACTCTCTCATCGTTTCTTATACTCTGTTTTTATCAACTGTGCCAGGACATTATCAGTCGATCGCACTAATTCCAGACGGAACGAGAAATATCCAAATTAAGGAACTAAGTGGTTTCAAGAATTACTTGGGTAAGTTCAAGTCTGGCTGTAAGTTGATAATCGCTTCTCTATCTTCTATAATTAGTTATTCAATATGATAATTTTATAACTATTCGTGTGCCGCGCCCGTTCATGAACCAGCTTTTACTTTGCGCGATTAAACCTATTTTTTTCACCACATTTTTTTTGGCATAGCCGTTTCAGTGCTCACTATCTTTGCTACCATCAACAGCCATGATGACAGTTGCCGGCGAGGATCTACTCAACATGGACTTCCGTATCAAACCTCGTTCATTCGCGTTTGTCGGCGCTGGTACAAGGTTTAAATACGTGAGGGATGAGAACGGAAGGGAGAGAATAACTGCACAAGGACCCCTCAACCAAGATGTAGAGTTGCTGGTGAGAAAACAGATCAGCGGCTGTGTTTGATCTACCAAAAACGGAACCGGAAAATCTGACAACACATTTTAATCCTTTGTATTCATACTGGTCTCTATACAATTATTATATGAGGTTGACAAAGAAAATTGTGTCAAGATCATTTCGTTTCTCATGATCTTAGTGTATGATTCAGCAAGGATACTAGAAGGTGAAATAAGAAGCTGGTCACTCTTAAGTGTTTAAGGGTTCAATGACAGAGGGAAGGGGATATCCCTTGACTCTAAAAGGGGGACTGGACTGGGAGAAAAGAAGAAAGATTCTGGGACCAAAATTAATCTCGACGTCGTCAAATTATGAGTATATGAATTTTTTTGTCATTGATTTGTTTTACCACTGATCAATTTCGTGTTTTTCAGTATCTGGTTCAATCATGGAAGGAAGAATACCAAGTCAGGATTCGTTATCTCGTCCCTCGTTTAAAGGAGGCAAACGACGACGATACGAGAATTGAGCGGAGCCTTAAGCAGGACGAAGTCACTTTCCAATGGATCAGGCGATCTTTGGGCTGCTCCGAGACCTGTGGTGGAGGTTGGTAGGAAATTTTTTAACTGATTCATTACAATGGCTAGAAAAGGAACTAAGTTTATTATTATTTTTCTAAATTCGAAAACCTCTTTTTGATACTGCAGGAAAGTAATTTGTGCTGCTTACAAAACAAAAATTGTTCGTGATCTTTAACAGGTATAGAGGTACGCAGACCAACCTGTGCTCGCGCTGATGACGGATCCATTGTCAGTGACCACTACTGTAAAGGAGAAAAGCCTGATGAAGAGAATTCTGAGTGTAATATTCGAAAATGTCCAGCTAGGTAATAAAAACTTAACTACTATTGTTTTTCTCGTTTTCCTCGAGTCATGATACCTCATAATAGGCACGAAGAGCATTTCTTAGTAAAATATGTCTCTCCCTCAGATGGAAAACTGGAGAATGGTCCGACTGCTCCAAGACCTGCAACGATGGAAACCCTGGGGAGAGGACGCGGGAGATAATGTGTGTCGATGAATTTCATGAAATCGAGACGGAAGATTCAGAATCTTACTGCGCAGGACCAAAACCTGCCACACGAGAGACATGCGCAATGCAACCCTGTCCTGCTGAGTGGGTCACACTTTCGTCAGGTCCGGTAAGTCATTAAGGGAGGGTGTGAGACTCAGTGATCCAGAAATAAACTCCGCCATTCCATTTTAGGGGGTATAGTGCATTTTCACAGTGGAATAAGCTGCTTACAGGGATAGCCGAGGTAATATTAATCTCAGAAAGCGTGGGATGGTTAACTTAATCTTATAATTAGCTGATTTAAAAAAAAACGAAAAGCACGGGAAATGAATTGAAGTTGTAGGGGTCGGTGTAGGAATGGTGTGGAAAGAAGAAAGACGGGAATTCCGGGGGAAATCTCGCGGATAGTGGCTAAGTTTCCTACACTACAGAAATGGGAAGAGCTGCAAAAAGGACTAAATCGCAAGAAATTTCCTGGTGTCTCAGAGAATTGTGCAAGATGCGAAAATTACAGAACATTGCTTAGGCTAGAAAACGCAAATCAGAATCAACTAAATTTCATTGATACAACTGGTAAGTCGAATCTTTCTCGGAAATCTGACCAAATCACTTTAGTTTTGGTTTCATGACATAAAGTAGAAAAGCATTCTAAGGTCAATACTCATTACGAGCAAAACTTCTTGCTTTTGTTCCAGTGCTCCGCCGTTTGTGGTCAAGGTTTGAGAATGATTGAAGTAAGTTGCGTGAGGACAACCCCATCCAACAAGAAAGTCAAAGTGTCAGATGAAGAATGCACCGGCCAAAAGCCTCCCATTGCGGCCTCGTGTGATTCTGGGATTCCATGTTAATGATTCAGGAGTATTAGACAGATTTGACGTTGACAGCAATTGAGCTTAAAAAGAACAAATTCTTAATCGTCAACACATGAAACCATTAGTTTACAAATATTATGTTTAGCGTTATAAGTGTTTCAGTATATCTTTCTTAACAAGAACAAGCTAAATTACAAAAAAGGTAGCAACAAAGTATATAACATTGTTACTCAAGGAGCTATGAGACAAAAATATGGAGAACGCTAATTCAATGAATGAGTTATAAAAATAAGGTTGATCTTTCAACTATAGACAGCTTATTGTCCATGCCAACCACGAAGAGTTAAAACGAAGACACTTTCGCTAACAAAAAAGCCAGTGATGATTTAAAGAAGATCCCTATTCGATCCATGCTAGGAAACTGTGGCGCTACTTCAACCAACCAGGAAGTTAATGCAAATTGGCGCAACATAATGTATTATGGTTAACGTTGACTTAACATTCCACGCGCTTTAGACCACTCTTCGATTAAATCTTTGAAAACCTATTTTTGTCATTGCTTTAATGTTATTCAAGATTAGATGTTGCAGTTAACATCAGTGCTGTGCCTACATCTGATCCTAGTGTAAGAGACGTGATGCATGATCGTCTGTCGTGATTCTGACACAAATCAAGTGACTCAGGCGAAAAACATTACGAGTCAGCTGGTGTTCCATTTTCAAAACCTCGCTAACGGCTAACACCTCTCTACAAATTTAAGCACCAAGACAGCCTCTAGCTGCTTTCTCAGGCTTCTTAGAGTCGTGAGAATTTTGGGGAATCACAACGGGAAATCATGTGTGAGAATGATGTCTTAAAGAATCATGCGTGTCACCTTGCATTGATACCCCTATGTATGCAATACGCAACTGGAAAATACGTTAATGATCGTGAGCTGATAAAAGATTTCTGTGAACCAGGCATCATCATCAGATGACCACCATGATGTTGAACGAAGTATTTTTTAACAAGGTTGCACGACAAAGTCGCAACAACTGTAGGTTAGGTGCCAATTATCACTACAGCTGCATTACCGGCACAAGTATCAGTCGAACAGGAACTATTTCCCACTGTCGAAGTGGCAGCCAATTATAACAGTGATATGGCATCCAGCAACTAAACCAAATTAAGATGAACGTGCAAAATAGTTTGGTTGAACAAGTGCCTTCACAAATATGCCAAGGAACACAAAGCATCACCTTCATACAGCAAAGTTTAAAGAAAAATGTAACGTAAACAAACCCGGCATTATATCTGTATATAGCTTCACCAACGTCTAGAGACCTTTCAAAACAATACTTCACTATTTGTTCCCTATCATAGATAAAGATAATTAGCGCAGTTTTCAATTGAGAGTCGATAAACCAAAACCAGAGTAATCAAAGCGACCAATCATAACAAAGGTGCATATTGCCCTTAGCCAATAAGAACTCAAAGTGAAAAAAAGCAAACTGCTAGAGGCGCGGGAAAACGCGAGTGACCAAATTGCGCTTGTTCTAAGTTTTCATCTGATTTGTTGAGAGAAAAGTGTGAGTTTTCTGGACCAACCACAGAGTAAATTTAAGTAAAATCAAAGCAATCCCGGATGATTTTCGACACTGAATTAAAAACTGCTCTATCGACAAAGTACTTGCAGCGCAAATACTTCAACACACATGAGTGATAAGATAACCGATGTTCAATAAGATAACTGTTAGCATTGAACGCGTAGCTATCAAAAGAATTCCTGTTCTGCACACAAGAGTACCCAGCTTGATATACAATGGCGCTTACTCTAGCTATCATATGGGTGGTATGTGGTTAACGTGACGAGATTAAGGCGCATACTTCAGGCTTCACCTAACTGTGTAGGTAACTAGCTATGTCTCAGTGTTAAGCGGTTTTGTATTTAAATCATTACTGTTTAGTGCCGGCTAATGATCACAGGCTGCATTCAGGCTTATTTCAAAAACTAATATGCACATTTGTTTTGTTTGGAAAGAAAATTTATTTATTTGAAAAAGGTTAAACAGGGCTTAGACGACAAAGCCATGATGTTCGAGGGCTCGTTGCCACAGAACTTGGTTATGGATTACTGTTCATCAAGCTTCGAACAACTCGAACCTGATTAAAATATTTTCACTGAAAGTATGGATCCTTCTGCCCGCCTGAGATCTGACATTTGGAACCAGAACAATGAGATTTTAATACACCTATCATAGAATCATTACGAAATGACAAAGGAAATATTGGGCTAAAAAAATAGTCTGATACCTCTCGTACTTGGAGTTTTTTACTGCCAGTTAGCTTTATATCGCATATCTGGGGTACCATCCTTCTTTAAGGGACCACAGGGACCACAGGAAGCTCCACTTGAATCTCCATATGATGAGAGCTGCAAGGGACTATCTCCATAGCTGCTGAAAGGAGAGGGTGAGGAAAACTGTTTGTTGACTGCATACCTCATGTCAGGAGTTCCATCTCTCTTCAGTGGGCCACTTGAATCTAGATACGATGAGAGCTGCAAAGGACTATCTCCATAGCTGCTGAAAGGAGAGGGTGAATCCGCGTATGATGGGAGCTGCAAAGGACTACTTCCATAGCTGCTGAAAGGAGAGGGTGAGGAAAACTGTTTGTTGACTGCATACCTCATGTCAGGAGTTCCATCTTTCTTCAGTGGGCCACTTGAATCTAGATACGATGAGAGCTGCAAAGGACTATCTCCATAGCTGCTGAAAGGAGAGGGTGAATCCGCGTATGATGGGAGCTGCAAAGGACTACTTCCATAGCTGCTGAAAGGAGAGGGTGAGGAAAACTGTTTGTTGACTGCATACCTCATGTCAGGAGTTCCATCTCTCTTCAGTGGGCCACTTGAATCCAGATACGATGAGAGCTGCAAAGGACTATCTCCATAGCTGCTGAAAGGAGAGGGTGAGGAAAACTGTTTGTTGACTGCATACCTCATGTCAGGAGTTCCATCTCTCTTCAGTGGGCCAAGTGAATCCACGTATGATGAGAGTTGTAAAGGACTACCTACATAGCTGCTGGAAAGATAGGGTGAGGAAGACTGTTTATTGACTGCATACCTCATGTCAGGAGTTCCGTCTTTCTTTAAAGGTCCACCAACACGCGGGGAACTATTCACCTGAGCACTTGCCGATGTTGATTGTGATGAGGTCAGCAGGCTGTTGGGGTGTTTGTTAACGGTGTAACGCATGTCAGGCTTGCCATCTTTCTTGACAGGGCCAGTGCTTGGTGTTCTGTTACTCTTTAAAGAAGATTGCACCATGGCATCCTTATCTCTCGTTATTTCAAATCTTCTATCTGGCGTACCTGCCTTTGTCAGTGGTCGCCCTTTGTCATCTTTGTTGATAGTGTAGCGCATGTCAGGCGTACCGTCTTTCTTGACAGGGCCAGTACTTGGTGTTCTGTCACTCTTTAAAGAAGATTGCACCATGGCTTCTTTATCTCTCGTTACTTTGAATCTTCTATCTGGCGTACCTGCCTTTGTCAGTGGTCGCCCCTCGTCATCTCTGCCCAGGGATTGACGGTTTGTTTTGAATCTCATTTCTGCACTGCCATCCTTTTTTACAGCGGGGTTGAGGCCTCGTTTGTTAACTTTAAACCGCATATCGGGAGAGTGGTCCTTATTCTGGAGGCCTAACAATCGCCTGTTCTCTTTAAACCTCATGTCAGGAGTTCCATCCTTCCTTTGACCCCTCCTTAGCGTCTGCACAGCTGGTATCTCTGACTCGGGAATCTCTAACTTCGACGTCAGAAATTCTGGTGTCAGGTCACTGGCAATAGCGTCTTCAAAGCCGTATTGATTAGGGTAGAAGGCTTGCTCAGACTCGTAAAAGGTTTCAGTTGGAGTTGTGTCTTCTTGCAAATGAAACAAGACTTGACTTTCCAGGACATTTTGAACATATTCAACGCACGGAACACTCTTCATTATAAGAGGATGCTGCAGAAGACTTCGAAGGAACTCGGGACTTGTATTCTCCAGTCGAATGCACTTCAGCAACTCTGGTAGGTAACGTATGCGCTCATCCTCAGCACTAACCCATTTGGCAACCGCGTTAAACACTTCTTCTTCACAATTCACATTAAGATCGTCGAACTGTATGATCGCTTTCAGATCTTCGTACTCAAGCTCGACGAACTCGTCTTCTTCACTAACGCTTGTAAAGTTACCAATTATGAAATTTTTGGCCTCTTCTTGAAGAACCTTGGTTTCTTTGCAATTCTCCTCACGTGCCAGCCACAGGATATTGACTGCATTAAAGCAATCAATCTTTAGACTCAGCCAATCGCAGCAGGCTCTTGCAAGTGCGGGAATCTCATAACCACATCCAGCTTTGAGAAGACCAACCACGTTTTCCCCGTTCACTGCAACATTACCTGTATATATGTACTTCACAAAATCCTCCAAGACATGGGACGCAATCTCCTTTAGACGATATCTTGTCTCTTCTGATGAGGACAGATCATTCGCCAAATTTGTCCACAACACTGGCGATGCTGCTGCGATAACTGGTGCATGGACTTCCTGTGTTACACCATGACCATCGTCTAACAAACAGGAGGTCAACTCAGACTTTAGGTACATCTCGTACAGTTGCGAAAGCAAACCTTCACGGTGACTATTCCACAACACCGACATTTGTTCATTGCTGTTACGGTCACAAAGCTTTTTCAGAGAGTCGATTCCGTATGTTGCAGCAACCTTTCGAAGGCCATCTACCAGTTCTTGACGTGATGGGAACTCTGTTTTGTAAAGGAAAACACGAAAGGCAATAAGTGCATCTGTGCTCAATCCCTTCAAAGAGAGTTTGCCACCGGTGAAATCAAAGTACCTTCCTGTAAAATTCTGTTTGAAGGTAGGACTACATGCAGTAAGCAGAATAGAATGAAAGGGCTCCTCGTAATCTTTGGACGTAGAGCGCAGGACCACGTCTGTCAAAAGTCCCTCATTTGCTTGCATCAAGGCGAGGTTCTTCAACAAAATTTTGGCATGATCGGCCTTTTTAAAAGTATAAAGCACTCCGTCTTCGTCAAGAGTCTTGCACTCATTCACGGGTAGATCCAGAAGTGCATACGAAGGATTCATGGCTAAAGACGGATAAATTTCATATATCAAAATCTTTTTTAAGCACAAGGATCTTTAAGACAGAACAAAGGCAGGATTAAGGGAGTTAGTATTTAAACTGTCTTAAGAGAGTATAACTCGGCGTGAGTTCGGCTTTTTCGGAATTTCTCGATCATTTTCGCGGATATGGTCGATTAACAATGGAACACTATCTAGAGAAAATAGGATGTTCTGCTATATAGCTTTGAATTGGAAAAATTAATCATCTTCGTACCCAAAGTCTTGAATAAATGCCCATTTCTCCATCATATCTATGAATATTCTATCACAACTGGTAAGCAAGACTCCCAATTTTGGGGTTTAAAAAAAAGTGAGTCACACGTCACAAATTATCTAAACTGTAAAAACATTACATGTACTTGCTATCATGTTGCAGTTGTAAACCAGACAATAGAGGACTAATCACTTTGATTACAGTTTTAAACAGCATGGTTATACAAAGGAAGTTAATCATAGTTCAAGTTCTTATTTTGATATCTAATTGTAAAATAAGCGTGGACATAATGCTGTTATACACATTCCTGTCCACCGATCACGCAAGGTTTGCGCAGGTAAAGGCGGATTCCCTCGATATGTTGATTGCTACAAAACGGATCAGCTTCATATCAGTTCCGTTTCTAATCGTTCTTTGCATGCAAGTCACACAGTTAACTGAACTAATAGCCACAAGTTCTTATCCAGACCTGCCTACAGAAGGTAATGTACGAAGTTTCGCAAAAAAGCGTCACCTCATCAAGTAGATGGAGAGGTCACTGAGTGAAGCAATTAAAAATCAAGACCAGCTAATTGAAATAATGGTTACTAAAAAAACCTTGGGTGGTGGAATCGAAAAATGCATGAAAGAGGGTGGATTACCTTACGGTGTGCGGTCAAGTATTTCACAGCCGCGTCGGCGTGTTTTTGAGACGGTTTCACAAACGTCAAGAATGCAAGGCAGAAACATCAAGAATCTCAAGGCAGAACCATTTCCGAAAAAAGATAACTACTTCTCAATGATTTTTTATCTTCGATGAAGTGCCTTAAATAGGAATTGCTGTGTTCAAGAGCCAGTGTGATAAAATTTAGCCGCAAAATATGCATAAATTCAAATAAATCGAGAGGGGAGCGGACACAATACGAATTGCACTTCATATCTCTTCGAAAAAAACTTTTCCCTTAATAAATCTTCTTTACAATAAGAGCATTTTTCGCGCATAATATTCAAACAAGGAAAATTCAGCTCGAGAAAAATAGATATGTCGTAAGTCTTCTTGGAATACTTCGATCAATTTCTCCGGAAATGACTCAGTAATAAACAGGGGTATGTCTTAGAGAATAATCTTATCTCGTATGTCCAAGGAGAGAATTGCACTTCATATTTCCTTAATTTGTATCACAAAATATCACTCCATTTCCATGTTGAGAGATATTTCCCCGACGAAATCTTCTTTACTATAATTAGAAGAGCACTTTTGCAGATGATATTCAAACGAGAAAACTTGATCTGCAGGAAAAAATACAATAAATGACGAAAGCTTTCTTGGAATAACTCAGTCAACTTCTCCGAAATGATTGTCAAAGGATATGCATGACTTAAGGAGTAATGAGATGTTTTGACTTTCAAAGATTCTTTGTTCGCAAATGTCTTGTATGAATGAGTATTTCTCGATCACAAATCTCATAAAACGATAAGGCAGGCTCAACTTCAGGATTTTAGAATAAAAATTGAACTGCACCGCTTATTTTCTCAAATGTCAAAATGTCACATGATTGATTTGGAAGCCGGGCGACAAGGTATTTATCAATGATTGCCTGAACGTTTCTTTGTGCAAACTCACGAATTATGAAAATCCGATCACAATTTCGAACAGGAAAGTTACGCTAGATTCGACCCTTAAAAATACCATAACATAATGCTATCATACACATAACTGTCCACAAAAGTACAAAAACCTTCCAATGAAACGAATTCCATCTCGATCACGCGAGGTTATAGATCAAATAAACTCACGGATGATTTTCACAAGTGAACTTCTTCTCCGTATTTTCAACCCAAAGCATGAAAACATCGGATCAGACAAACTTCTTCACTTAGCATTATCCTTTATCTACATATGCAGTTATACACCGAAGACCAGGGCCAAGGGGAAGACCAGGGGGAAGAAAATCAAATGTGACTTAATTCGTGAGAGCAAAGGACCGAAAGCGAAACTTCGAAGATGGAAGCCGACCAAACACAACGGCATGCCCTATAAAAGGACTTGAACTAAGAAAAAGACAGGTTTACCTATAAGTAGAAAACGAGGGAATCTTTCCTTCGATGCCGGAGAGGCGACAAAATAGGAATATAGAATTTTTAATTAAAGCAACATCATGGTATTAAGTAAGACACAAAATAGAGCACGTACTAAAGGCAAGTTACTTAGCTATGGCTGATAGCTGCACGGTTTTAATCTATTTTACAAACCTTCGTGTAGAAGAAGATAACACAAATCAAAAAGTCACAAAGTTGCGGAACAAACCTGTTTTTTATCCAAGTAAAATTAATCACTGCTTAAGACGCTTCAGAACAAAGTCCAGCTGTCCCTCTCGCTTCCTGTACTTTCATTTCTAGCTGCGTTGCTATGTTACGAATGACAGGCCAGCTCGTTGCTAGGGGCCGCGTGCGCGTGTGTGAGATGAGAGTAATGGAAATAAAAATAGATAATGAGCCGAACTGTGAAGTTCAATTTGTTGAATGTTACAATCAATTTCTCAGAAATGAGAAACAAAGGGCCTCTGTATTTCAAGAGTGACAGGATTTCCGCTTATAAAATGTTTTTTGAGTAGAAACGTTTCCCTAGCCTTACCCAATCTCGAATGACTGTGCATTTCTCGATCAATGTCAAGTAAGGCTTTGGATAAAACTCTGGATAGTAACAGAGGCACAGTATATGCCTCTTGTTTCACGCTACGTGTTCTATTCTGTAAAATTACTTGTGCTTTAGTTCACCCGTCCACGAGATCAAAGATATGCTTCATTGACGTAAAACCGATCTCAGGGATTTGAATACATCACAAGCAGCTTAAAACTTTATGCGTGACTCTCAATAGATGATCTGTATCACTTGTTAAAAAGTTGATTTTCATGAGTAGTGGCGATCAAAGCCGCATGAAAATGAGATAGCGTTATGGACTGTTTAGATCTTCAAAGCCCCGTCCAGTTTTGATTAACAAACATTGCATACGATAAATCATATTGCCCCTGTGGATGATAAGTGACAAATTTCCTCCCCAAAGACGTACGGAGGGGATCGGATCAAGGCCCGGCTTTATTACCAACTATGGCAAGGTCTGAGAGAATCCAGTAAGTTCATTTCTTAAGATCGCTCATCTGATCGCCTTCTTAAGAAGTCGGCCAACAGCAGGTGTGACTTCTTTTGTATAGCGGAGATCTTGTTAATTTGAAAATTTCCCCCAAAAAAAAAGACTAAAAAATATTCAATTGAAATTGTTCCAAAATTATAACCACTTACACTTGCTAAATGCGCAATACAACCCTGTCCTGCTGAGTGGGTCACACTTTCGTCAGGTCGGGTAAGTCGTTAAGGAAGGGTGTGAGGCTCAGTGATCCAGAAATAAACTCTACCATTCTATTTAAGGGACATAGTACATTTTGACAGTAGAATAACCTGCTTACAAGGATAGCCGAAGTGATATCAATCCCAGAAAGCGTGGAATGGTTAACTTGATCTCATAATAAGCTGATTGAAAAAAACAGAGAAGTACGGGAAGTGAATCGAAGTTGTAGGGATCGGTGTAGGAATGGTGTGGAAAGGAGAAAAACAGGAAGTCCGGAGTACATCCATTCGATAGTGGTTAAGTTGCCTAAACTACCGAATGGGGAAGAGCTGCAAAAAAAAAAATGAAATCGCAAGAAATTTCCCAGTGTCTCAGAGAATTGTGCAAGATGCGAAAACTGCAGAATATTGCTTAGGCCACCAAACGCAAATTAGAATCAACTAAATCTCATTGGTACAAGTGGTAAGTCGAATCTTTCTTGGAAATCTGACCAAATCACTTTAGTTTTGGTTTCATGACATAAAGTAGAAGAGCATTCTAAGGTCAATACCCATAACGAGCAAACTTCTTGCTTTTGTTCCGGTGCTCTGCCGTTTGTGGTCATGGTTTGAGAATGATTAAAGGGAATTGCGTGAGGACAGCCCCATCCAACAAGAAAGTCAAAGAGTCAGATTAAGAATGCACTGGCCAAAAGCCTCCCACTGCGGTCTCGTTTGATTCTGGGATTCCATGTTTATGATTCAGGAATCCTAGATGGATTTAGATTAAAGATTAAATATATTTAGATTAAATTGAGCTTTAAAAAACCAAATTTTTAATCGTCAACACATGAAACTATTAGCTTACAAATATTATGTTTAGCGTTATGAGTGTTGCAGTATATCTTTCTTAACAAGAACAAGCTAAATTACAAAAAAAGTAGCAACAAAGTATATAAAACTGTTCCCCAAAGGGCTATGAGACAAAAATATGGAGAACGCTACTTCAATGAATGATCATGAGTTATAAAAATAAGGTTGATCTTTCAACTATAAACAGCTTATTGTCCATACCAACCACGAAGAGTTAAAACGAAGACACTTTCGGTAATAAAAAAGCTAGTGATCATTTAAAGAAGACCACTACTCGATCCATGCAAGGAAACTGTGGCGCTCCTTCAACCATCAATACACAGGAAGTTAATACAAATTGACGCAACATAATGTATTATGGTTAACAATGACTAAACATTCTGCGCGCTTTGGACCACTCTTCGATTAAATCTTTGAAAACCTATTTTTGTCATTGCTTTAATGTTATTCAAGATTAGATGTTGCAGTTAACATCAGTGCTGTGCCTACATCTGATCCTAGTGTAAGAGACGTGATGCATGATCGTCTGTCGTGATTCTGACACAAATCAAATGACTCAGGCGAAAAACATTACGAGTCAGTTGGTGTTCCATTTTCAGAACCTCGCTACCCGCTAACACCTTTCTACAAACTGCTCTATTCACAAAGTACTTGCAGCGCAAGTACTTCAACACACATGAGTGATAAGATAACCGATGTTCAATAAGATAACTGTTAGCATTGAACGTGTAGCTATCAAAAGAATTCCTGTTCTGCACACAAGAATACCCAGCTTGATATACAATGGCACTTACTCTAGCTATCATATGGGTGGTATGTGGTTAACGTGACGAGATTAAGGCGCATACTTCAGACTTCGCCTAACTGTGTAGGTAACTAGCTATGTCTCAGTGTTAAGCGGTTTTGTATTTAAATCATCATTGTTATGGCTGGCTAATGATCGCAGGCTGCATTCAGGCTTATTGCAGAAATCGATATGCAGATTTTTTTCGTTTGCGTTTTTTCTGTTTATCGTGCTTCGAACAACTCGCACCTAATTGAAAAATTTTCACTGAAATTATGGAGTAGATCTCTTGATCCTTCTGCCCGCCTGAGATCTGACACGAAGAACAAGAACAATGAGATCTTAATCCACTTATCATAGAATCATCACGAAATGACAAAGGAAATATTGGGCTAAAAAAATAGTCTGATACCTCTCGCACTTGGAGTTTTTTACCGCCAGTTAGCTTTATATCGCATATCTGGGGTACCATCGTTCTTTAAGGGACCACAGGAGCTGGATCGGGAGGCTCCTCCACTGGAAGATGGCCTGGAACTGTAGCTTGATCCCCCAAAAGAAGATCCAACCGACGGTGAACTACCATAAAACGACTTGTTTACTGCGTACCTCATGTCTGGAGTACCATCGCGTTTGAGTGGACCGCGTGAACTCGACCCACTTCCATTTCCACTGAGAGATGATCTCGAACTGTAGATGGACCCACCAGAGGAATAGCCAGAGGATGCAGGACTGCTGCCATTGAACGCCTTGTTAACGGCATACCTCATGTCTGGAGTTCCGTCTCTCTTACATGGCCTACTCAGACTGCTATATGATGACAGCTGTGACGAACTTCCTCTGTAGCTGCTTGAGGGAGACGGAGAGGTATACTGTTTGTTGATTGCGTACCGCATGTCAGGAGTTCCATCCCCCTTCAGTGGGCCACTTGAACCTCTATAGGATGATAGCTGCAAAGGACTACCTTCATAGTTTCTAAAAGGAGAGGGAGGATGACTGGATGACTGTTTGTTGACCATCTCTCTTCAGCATATCTCATGTCAGGAGTTCCGTCTTCCTTTAATGGTCCACCAACACGCGAGGAACTATTCACCTGAGCACTCGCTGATCTTGTTTTTGATGAGGTCAGCAGGCTGTTGGGGTGTTTGTTAACAGTGTAACGCATGTCAGGCGTACCATCTTTCTTGACAGGGCTAGTACTTGGTGTTCTGTCACTCTTTAAAGAAGATTGCACCATGGCTTCCTTATCTCTCGTTACTTTGAATCTTCTATCTGGCGTACCTGCCTTTGCCAGTGGTCGCCCCTCGTCATCTCTGCCCAGGGATTGACGGTTTGTTTTGAATCTCATGTCTGCACTGCCATCCTTTTTTACAGCGGGGTTGAGGCCACGTTTGTTAACTTTAAACCGCATATCGGGAGAGTGGTCCTTATTCTGGAGGCCTAACGATCGCCTGTTCTCTTTAAACCTCATGTCAGGAGTTCCATCCTTCCTTTGACCCCTCCTTGGCGTCTGCACAGCTGGTATCTCTGACTCGGGAAACTCTAACTTCGACGTCAGAAATTCTGGTGTCGGGTCTTTAGCAATAGCCTCTGACTTAGGAAGCTCCAACTCCGACGACAGAAATTCTGGTGTCAGGTCTCTGGCAATAGCGTCTTCAAAGTCGTATTGATCAGGGTAGGAGTCTTGCTCAGACTCGTTGAAGGTTTCAGTTGGGGTTGTGTCTTCTTGCAAATGAAACGAGGCTTGACTTTCAAGAGCATTTTGAACATATTCAACACACGTAGCACTCTTCATTATAAGAGGATGCTGCAGAAGACTTCGAAGGAACTCGGGACTTGTATTCTCCAGTCGAATGCATTTCAGCAACTCTATTAGGTAACGTATGCGCTCATCCTCAGCACTAACCCATTTGGCAACCGCGTTAAAGACTTCTTCTTCACAATTCACATTAAGATTGTCGAACTGTATGATCGCTTTCAGATCTTCGTACTCAAGCTCGACGAACTCGTCTTCTTCACTAACGCATGTAAAGTTACCAATTATGAAATTTTTGGCCTCTTCTTGAAGAACCTTGGTTTCTTTGCAATTCTCCTCACGTGCCAGCCACAGGATATTGACTGCATTAAAGCAATCCATCTTTAGACTCAGCCAATCGCAGCAGGCTCTTGCAAGTGCGGGAATCTCATAACCACATCCAGCTTTGAGAAGACCAGCCACGTTTTCTCCGTTCACTGCAACATTACCTGTATATATGTACTTCACAAGATCCTCCAAGACGTCTGGCGCAATCTCCTTTAGACGATATCTTGTCTCTTCTGATGAGAACAGATCATTTGTCAAAATTTTCCGCAACACTGGCGACGCTGCCGCGACAACTGGTGCATGGACTGCCTGTGTTATACCATTGCCATCGTCTAACAAACAGGAGGTCAATTCAGACTTTTGGTACATTTCGTACAGTTGCGAAAGCAGATCTTCACGGTGACTATTCCACAACACCGACATTTGTTCATTGCTGTTACGGTCGCAAAGCTTGTTCAAAGAGTCGATTCCATATTTTTCAGCAACCTTTCGAAGCCCATCTACCAGTTCTTGACGTGATGGGAACTCTGCTTTGTAAATGAAATCACGAAAGGCAATAAGTATATCTCTGTTCAATCCCTTCGAAGAGAGTTTGCCACCGGTGAAATCAAAGTCCCTTCCTGTAAAATTCTGTTTAAGGGTAGGACTGCAGGCAGCAAGCAGAATGGAATGAAGGGGCTCCTCGTAATCTTTGGACGTAGAGCGCAGGACCACGTCTGTCAAAAGTCCTTCATTTGCTTGCATCAAGGCGAGGTTCTTCAACAAAATTTTGGCATGATCGGCCTTTTTAAAAGTATAAAGCACTCCGTCTTCGTCAAGAGTCTTGCACTCATTCACGGGTAGATCCAGAAGTGCATACGAAGGATTCATGGCTAAAGACGGATAAATTTCATATATCAAAATCTTTTTTAAGCACAAGGATCTTTAAGACAGAACAAAGGCCGGATTAAGGGAGTTAGTATTAAAACTGTCTTAAGAGAGTATAACTCGGCGTGAGGTTGGCTTTTTCGGAATTTCTCGATCATTTTCGCGGAAATGGTCGATTAACAATGGAACACTATCTAGAGAAAATAGGATGTTCTGCTATATAGCTTTGAATTTGAAAAATTAATCATCTTCGTACCCAAAGTCTTGAATAAATGCCCATTTCTCCACCATGTCTATGAATATTCTCTCACAACTGGTAAGCAAGACTCCCAATTTTGGGGTTTGAAAAAAAGTGAGTCACATGTCACAAATTATCTAAACTGTAAAAACATTACATGTACTTGCTATCATGTTGCAGTTGTAAACCAGACAATAGAGGACTAATCACTTTGATTACAGTTTTAAACAGCATGGTTATACAAAGGAAGTTAATCATAGTTCAAGTTCTTGTTTGGATATCTAATTGTAAAATAAGCGTGGACATAATGCTGTTATACACATTCCTGTCCACCGATCACGCAAGGTTTGCGCAGGTAAAGGCGGATTACCTCGATATGTTGATTGCTACAAAACGGATCAGCTTCATATCAGTTCCGTTTCTAATCGTTCTTTGCATGCAAGTTACACAGTTAACTGAACTAATAGCCACAAGTTCTTATCCAGACCTGCCTACAGAAGGTAATGTACGAAGTTTCGCAAAAAAGCGTCACCTCATCAAGTAGATGGAGAGGTCACAGAGTGAAGCAATTAAAAATCAAGACCAGCTAATTGAAATAATGGTTACTAAAAAAACCTTGGGTGGTGGAATCGAAAAATGCATGAAAGAGGGTGGATTACCTTACGGTGTGCGGTCAAGTATTTCACAGCCGCGTCGGCGTGTTTTTGAGACGGTTTCACAAACGTCAAGAATGCAAGGCAGAAACATCAAAAATCTCAAGGCAGAACCATTTCCGAAAAAAAAAAACATAACTACTTTTCAATGATTTTTATCTTCGATGAAGTGCCTTGAATAAAAATTGCTGTGTTCAAGAGCCAGTGTGATAAAATTTAGCCGCAAAATATGCATAAATTCAAATAAATCGAGAGGGGAGCGGACACAATACGAATTGCACTTCATATCTCTTCGAAAAAAACTTTTCCCTTAATAAATCTTCTTTACAATAAGAGCATTTTTCGCACATAATATTCAAACAAGAAAAATTCAGCTCAGGAAAAATAGATATGTCGTAAGTCTTCTTGGAATACCTCGATCAATTTCTCCGGAAATGACTCAGTAATAAACAGGGATATGTCTTAGAGAATAATCTTATCTCGTATGTCCAAGGAGAGAATTGCACTTCATATCTCCTTAATTTGTATCACAAAATATCACTCCATTTCCATGTTGAGAGATATTTCCCCTACGAAATCTTCTTTACTATAATTAGAAGAGCATTTTTGCAGATGATATTCAAACGAGGAAACTTGATCTGCAGGAAAAAATACAATAAATGACGAAAGCTTTCTTAGAATAACTCAATCAATTTCTCCGAAATGATTATCAAAGGATATGCGTGATTTAAGGAGTAATGAGGTGTTTTGACTTTCAAAGATTCTTTGTTCTCAAATGTCTTGTATGAATGAGTATTTCTCGATCACAAATCTCATAAAACGATAAAGCAGGTTTAACTTCAGGGTTTTAGAATAAAAATTGAACCGCACCGCTTATTTTCTCAAATGTCAAAATGTCACATGATTGATTTGGAAGCCGGGCGACAAGGTATTTATCAATGATTACCTGAACGTTTCTTTGTGCAAACTCACGAATTATGAAAATCCGATCACAATTTCGAACAGGAAAGTTACGCTAGATTCGACCCTTAAAAATACCATAACATAATGCTGTCATACACATAACTGTCTACAAAAGTACAAAAACCTTCCAATGAAACGAATTCCATCTCGATCACGCGAGGTTTTAAATCAAATAAACTCACGGATAATTTTCACAAGTGAACTTCTTCTCCGTATTTTCAACCCAAAGCATGAAAACATCGGATCAGACAAACTTCTTCACTTAGCATTATCCTTTATCTACATATGCAGTTATACACCGAAGTATAGACCAGGGGGAAGAAAATCAAATGTGACTTAATTCGTGAGAGCAAAGGACCGAAAGCGAAACAACGAAGATGGAAGCCGACCAAACACAACGGTATGCCCTATAAAAGGACTTGAACTAAGAAAAAGACAGGTTTACCTATAAGTAGAAAACGAGGGAATCTTTCCTTCGATGCCGGAGAGGCGACAAAATAGGAATATAGAATTTTTAATTAAAGCAACATCATGGTATTAAGTAAGACACAGAATAGAACACGTACTAAAGGCAAGTTACTTAACTATGACTGATGGCTGCACGGTTTTAATCTATTTTACAAACCTTCGTGTAGAAGAAGATAACACAAATCAAAAAGTCACAAAGTTGCGGAACAAACCTGTTTTTTATCCAAGTAAAATTAATCACTGCTTAAGACGCTTCAGAACAAAGTCCAGCTGTCCCTCTCGCTTCCTGTACTTTCATTTCTAGCTGCGTTGCTATGTTACGAATGGCAGGCCAGCTCGTTGCTAGGGGCCGCGTGCGCGTGTGTGAGATGAGAGTAATGGAAATAAAAATAGATAATGAGCCGAACTGTGAAGTTCAATTTGTTGAATGTTACAATCAATTTCTCAGAAATGAGAAACAAAGGGCCTCTGTATTTCAAGAGTGACAGGATTTCCGCTTATAAAATGTTTTTTGAGTAGAAACGTTTCCCTAGCCTTACCCAATCTCGAATGACTGTGCATTTCTCGATCAATGTCAAATAAGGCTTTGGATAAAACTCTGGATAGTAACAGAGGCACAGTATATGCCTCTTGTTTCACGCTACGTGTTCTATTCTGTAAAATTAGTTGTGCTTGAGTTCACCCGTCCACGAGATCAAAGATATGCTTCATTGACGTAAAACCGATCTCAGGGATTTGAATACATCACAAGCAGCTTAAAACTTTATGCGTGACTCTCAATAGATGATCTGTATCACTTGTTAAAAAGTTGATTTTCATGAGTAGTGGCGATCAAAGCCGCATGAAAATGAGATAGCGTTACGGACTGTTTAGATCTTCAAAGCCCCGTCCAGTTTTGATTAACAAACATTGCATACGATAAATCATATTGCCCCTGTGGATGACAAGTGACAAATTTCCTCCCAAAGACGTACGGAGGGGATCGGATCGAGGCCCGGCTTTATTACCAACTATGGCAAGGTCTGAGAGAATCCAGTAAGTTCATTTCTTAAGATCGCTCATCTGATCGCCTTCTTAAGAAGTCGGCCAACAGCAGGTGTGACTTCTTTTGTATAGCGGAGATCTTGTTAATTTGAAAATTTCCCCCCCAAAAAAACCTAAGAATTTTCAATTGAAATTGTTCCAAAATTATAACCACTTACACTTGCCGAATGCGCAATACAACCCTGTCCTGCTGAGTGGGTCACACTTTTGTCAGGTCGGGTAAGTCGTTAAGGAAGGGTATGAGACTCAGTGATCCAGAAATAAACTCTACCATTCTATTTAAGGGGCATAGTACATTTTGACAGTAGAATAACCTGCTTACAAGGATAGCCGAAGTGATATCAATCCCAGAGAGCGTGGAATGGTTAACTTGATCTCATAATAAGCTGATTGAAAAAAACAAAGAAGTACGGGAAGTGAATCGAAGTTGTAGGGATCGGTGAAGGAATGGTGTGGAAAGGAGAAAAACAGGAAGTCCGGAGTACATCCATTCGATAGTGGTTAAGTTGCCTAAACTACCGAATGGGGAAGAGCTGCAAAAAAAAAATGAAATCGCAAGAAATTTCCCAGCGTCTCAGAGAATTGTGCAAGATGCAAAAACTGCAGAATATTGCTTAGGCCACCAAACGCAAATTAGAATCAACTAAATCTCATTGGTACAAGTGGTAAGTCGAATCTTTCTTGGAAATCTGACCAAATCACTTTAGTTTTGGTTTCATGACATAAAGTAGAAAAGCATTCTAAGGTCAATACCCATAACGAGCAAACTTCTTGCTTTTGTTCCGGTGCTCTGCCGTTTGTGGTCATGGTTTGAGAATGATTAAAGGGAATTGCGTGAGGACAGCCCCATCCAACAAGAAAGTCAAAGAGTCAGATTAAGAATGCACTGGCCAAAAGCCTCCCACTGCAGTCTCGTTTGATTCTGGGATTCCATGTTTATGATTCAGGAATCCTAGATGGATTTAGATTAGAGATTAAATATATTTAGATTAAATTGAGCTTTAAAAAAACCAAATTTTTATTCGTCAACACATGAAACTATTAGCTTACAAATATTATGTTTAGCGTTATGAGTGTTGCAGTATATCTTTCTTAACAAGAACAAGCTAAATTACAAAAAAAGTAGCAACAAAGTATAAAAAACTGTTCCCCAAAGGGCTATGAGACAAAAATATGGAGAACGCTACTTCAATGAATGATCATGAGTTATAAAAATAAGGTTGATCTTTCAACTATAGACAGCTTATTATCCATACCAACCACGAAGAGTTAAAACGAAGACACTTTCGCTAATAAAAAGCCAGTGATCATTTAAAGAAGACCACTACTCGATCCATGCAAGGAAACTGTGGCGCTACCTGAACCATCAATACACAGGAAGTTAATACAAATTGACGCAACATAATGTATTATGGTTAACAATGACTAAACATTCCGCGCGCTTTGGACCACTCTTCGATTAAATCTTTGAAAACCTATTTTTGTCATTGCTTTAATGTTATTCAAGATTAGATGTTGCAGTTAACATCAGTGCTGTGGCTTCATCTGATCCTAGTGTAAGAGACGTGATGCATGATCGTCTGTCGTGATTCTGACACAAATCAAGTGACTCAGGCGAAAAACATTACGAGTCAGTTGGTGTTCCATTTTCAGAACCTCGCTACCGGCTAACACCTTTCTACAAACTGCTCTATCGACAAAGTACTTGCAGCGCAAGTACTTCAACACACATGAGTGATAAGATAACTGATGTTCAATAAGATAACTGTTAGCATTGAACGTGTAGCTATCAAAAGAATTCCTGTTCAGCACACAAGAGTACCCAGCTTGATATACAATGGCGCTTACTCTAGCTATCATATGGGTGGTATGTGGTTAACGTGACGAGATTAAGGCGCATACTTCAGGCTTCACCTAACTGTGTAGGTAACTAGCTATGTCTCAGTGTTAAGCGGTTTTGTATTTAAATCATCACTGTTATGGCTGGCTAATGATCGCAGGCTGCATTCAGGCTTATTGCAGAAATCGATATGCAGATTTTTTTCGTTTGCGTTCAGGAAAGAAAATCCATTTATTTAAAAAATAAGTTAAACAGAGCATAGACGACAAAGCCATGATGTTCGAGGGCTCTTTGCCAAAGAAGTTGGTTATGGATTACTGTTCATCATGCTTCGAACAACTCGCACCTAATTGAAAAATTTTCACTGAAATTATGGAGTAGATCTCTTGATCCTTCTGCCCGCCTGAGATCTGACACGAAGAACCAGAACAATGAGATCTTAATCCACTTATCATAGAATCATCACGAAATGACAAAGGAAATATTGGGCTAAAAAAATAGTCTGATACCTCTCGCACTTGGGGTTTTTACCGCCAGTTAGCTTTATATCGCATATCTGGGGTACCATCCTTCTTTAAGGGACCACAGGAGCTGGATCGGGAGGCTCCTCCACTGGAAGATGACCTGGAACTGTAGCTTGATCCCCCAAAAGAAGATCCAACCGACTGTGAACTACCATAAAACGACTTGTTTACTGCGTACCTCATGTCTGGAGTACCATCGCGTTTGAGTGGACCGCGTGAACTCGACCCACTTCCATTTCCACTGAGAGATGATCTCGAACTGTAGATGGACCCACCAGAGGAATAGCCAGAGGATGCAGGACTGCTGCCATTGAACGCCTTGTTAACGGCATACCTCATGTCTGGAGTTCCGTCTCTCTTACATGGCCTACTCAGACTGCTATATGATGACAGCTGTGACGAACTTCCTCTGTAGCTCCTTGAGGGAGACGGAGAGGTATACTGTTTGTTGATTGCGTACCGCATGTCAGGAGTTCCATCCCTCTTCAGTGGGCCACTTGAACCTCTATAGGATGATAGCTGCAAAGGACTACCTTCATAGTTTCTAGAAGGAGAGGGAGAGGATGACTGTTTGTTGACAGCATATCTCATGTCAGGAGTTCCGTCTTTCTTTAATGGTCCACCAACACGCGAGGAACTATTCACCTGAGCACTCGCTGATCTCGTTTTTGATGAGGTCAGCAGGCTGTTGGGATGTTTGTTAACAGTGTAACGCATGTCAGGCGTACCATCTTTCTTGACAGGGCCAGTGCTTGGTGTACTGCCACTGTTTAAAGAAGATTTCACCGTGGCCTCCTTATCTCTCGTTACTTTGAATCTTCTATCTGGCGTACCTGCCTTTGTCAGTGGTCGCCCCTCGTCATCTCTGCCCAGGGATTGACGGTTTATTTTGGACCTCATGTCTGCAGTGCCATCCTTTTTCAACGGGAGGTTGAGGCCTCGTTTGTTAACTTTAAACCGCATATCGGGAGAGTGGTCTTTATTCTGCAGGCCTAACAACCGCCTGTTCTCTTTAAACCTCATGTCAGGAGTTCCATTCTTCCTTTGACCCCTCCTTGGCGTCTGCACGGCTGGTATCTTTGACTCGGGCAGCTCCAACTTCGACGTCAGAAATTCTGGTGTCGGGTCTTTAGCAATAGCGTCTGACTTAGGAAGCTCCAACTCCGACGACAGAAATTCTGGTGTCAGGTCTCTGGCAATAGCGTCTTCAAAGTCGTATTGATTAGGGTAGGAGTCTTGCTCAGACTCATTGAAGGTTTCAGTTGGAGTTGTGTCTTCTTGCAAATGAAACAAGGCTTGACTTTCAAGAGCATTTTGAACATATTCAACGCACGTAGCACTCTTCATTATAAGAGGATGTTGCAGAAGACTTCGAAGGAACTCGGGACTTGTATTCTCCAGTCGAATGCACTTCAGCAACTCTGGTAGGTAACGTATGCGCTCATCCTCAGCACTAACCCATTTGGCAACCGCGTTAAAGACTTCTTCTTCACAATTCACATTAAGATCGTCGAACTGTATGATCGCTTTCAGATCTTCGTACTCAAGCTCGACGAACTCGTCTTCTTCACTAACGCATGTAAAGTTACCAATTATGAAATTTTTGGCCTCTTCTTGAAGAACCTTGGTTTCTTTGCAATTCTCCTCACGTGCCAGCCACAGGATATTGACTGCATTAAAGCAATCCATCTTTAGATTCAGCCAATCGCAGCAGGCTCTTGCAAGTGCGGGAATCTCATAACCACATCCAGCTTTGAGAAGACCAGCCACGTTTTCTCCGTTCACTGCAACATTACCTGTATATATGTACTTCACAAGATCCTCCAAGACGTCTGGCGCAATCTCCTTTAGACGATATCTTGTCTCTTCTGATGAGAACAGATCATTTGTCAAAATTTTCCGCAACACGGGCGATGCTGCTGCGACAACTGGTGCATGGACTGCCTGTGTTATACCATTGCCATCGTCTAACAAACAGGAGGTCAATTCAGACTTTTGGTACATCTCGTACAGTTGCGAAAGCAGATCTTCACGGTGACTATTCCACAACACCGACATTTGTTCATTGCTGTTACGGTCGCAAAGCTTGTTCAAAGAGTCGATTCCATATGTTGCAGCAACCTTTCGAAGGCCATCTACCAGTTCTTGACGTGACGGGAACTCTGCTTTGTAAATGAAATCACGAAAGGCAATAAGTATATCTCTGTTCAATCCCTTCAAAGAGAGTTTGCCACCGGTGAAATCAAAGTACCTTCCTGTAAGATTCTGTTTAAGGGTAGGACTGCAGGCAGCAAGCAGAATGGAATGAAGGGGCTCCTCGTAATCTTTGGACGTAGAGCGCAGGACCACGTCTGTCAAAAGTCCTTCATTTGCTTGCATCAAGGCGAGGTTCTTCAACAAAATTTTGGCATGATCGGCCTTTTTAAAAGTATAAAGCACTCCGTCTTCGTCAAGAGTCTTGCACTCATTCACGGGTAGATCCAGAAGTGCATACGAAGGATTCATGGCTAAAGACGGATAAATTTCATATATCAAAATCTTTTTTTTTAGCACAAGGATCTTTAAGACAGAACAAAGGCCGGATTAAGGGAGTTAGTATTTAAACTGTCTTAAGAGAGTATAACTCGGCGTGAGTTCGGCTTTTTCGGAATTTCTCGATCATTTTCGTGGAAATGGTCGATTAACAATGGAACACTATCTAGAGAAAATAGGATGTTCTGCTATATAGCTTTGAATTTGAAAAATTAATCATCTTCGTACCCAAAGTCTTGAATAAATGCCCATTTCTCCATCATGTCTATGAATATTCTATCACAACTGGTAAGCAAGACTCCCAATTTTGGGGTTTAAAAAAAAGTGAGTCACATGTCACAAATTATCTAAACTGTAAAAACATTACATGTACTCACTATCATGTTGCAGTTGTACACCAGACAATAGAGGACTAATCACTTTGATTACAGTTTTAAACAGCATGGTTATAAAAAGGAAGTTAATCATAGTTCAAGTTCTTATTTGGATATCTAATTGTAAAATAAGCGCGGACATAATGCTGTCATACACATCCCTGTCCACCGATCACGTAAGGTTTGCGCAGGTAACGGCGGATTCCCTCTATATGTTAATTGCTACAAAACGGATCAGCTTCATATAAGTTCCGTTTCTAATCGTTCTTTGCATGCAAGTCACACAGTTAACTGAACTAATAGCCACAAGTTCTTATCCAGACCTGCCTACAGAAGGTAATGTACGAAGTTTCGCAAAAAAGCGTCACCTCATCAAGTAGATGGAGCGGTCACAGAGTGAAACAATTAAAAATCAAGACCAGCTAATTGAAAGAATGGTTACTAAGAAAAACCTCGGGTGGTGGAATCGAAAAATGCATGAAAGAGGGTGGATTACCCTACTGTGCGCGGTCAAGTGTTTCACAGCCGCGTCGGCGTGTTTTTGAGACGGTTTTACAAACATCAAGAATGCAAGGTAGAAATATCAAAAATCTCAAGGCGGAACCATTTCAGAAAAAAAACATACCTACTTTCCAATGATTTTCTATCTTCGATGAAATGCCTTGAATAAAAATTGCTGTGTTCAAGAGCCAGTGCGATAAAAATTAGCAGCAAAATATGCGTAAATTCAAATGGATGGAGAGGGGAGCAGCTAACCTCTTCCACAATACGAATTGCACTTCATATTTCATCAAAAAAATTTTTTCCCTCATTAAATCTTCTATACAATAAGAGCATTTTTCGCACATAATATTCAAACAAGAAAAATTCAGTTCAGGAAAAACAGATATGTCGTAAGCCTTCTTGGAATACCTCGATCAATTTCTCCGGAAACCACTCAATAATAAACAAGGATACATCTTAGAGAGTAGGTAATTTAGTGTTAACAACTGGGTTGAAAACGTAAATTAGCCACCGTAAAGGGTAAAAAAGCTGACGTTTCGAGCGTTACCCCTTCGTCAGAGCGAATCACAGTTTCTTTAGAAACTTACCCCTTTATTCATATGTCTTAGAGAGTACTCTTATCTCGTATGTCCAAGGAGAGAATTGTACTTCATATTTCCTTAATTTGTATCACAAAATATCACTCCATTTCCATGTTGAGAGATATTTCCCCGACGAAATCTTCTTTACTATAATTAGAAGAGCACTTTTGCAGATGATATTCAAACGAGGAAACTTGATCTGCAGGAAAAAATACAATAAATGACGAAAGCTTTCTTAGAATAACTCAATCAATTTCTCCGAAATGATTATCAAAGGATATGCATGACTTAAGGAGTAATGAGGTGTTTTGACTTTCAATCAATCAATCAATCAATTTATTTAACGTGGTCAGAACGCTTAGCTAAAAGCTAGTTTAAGGGTACGCTACGAAATAAAAAGAGAAAAGGAAATTATAAAGCCTTATGAAGGTATATAAATTTAAATAAATTAAGATTAAGAACTAGCTAATATTAAAATATAAGAATTTAACAATGTAGTCACCAAGTAAAATGTATAAAATGTAATCATTAAAAACAGTAAATATAATCAAGGATAGATCCTCACCGCACTAGAGTCCCGTGAGATCTAATGTTTTTAAGTCATTTTTAAAAGTAGTAAATGTTTGTATCTTTCGAGACTCGTCCGGTAAAGCGTTCCATAATTCCGATGCAGCATATCTCCATGATCTTAACCCGAAGGTTGTTGATTTTACTTTTGGGAGGTCCAGTATTGTGGTGCCCCTAAGGTTATAAGTGGAGCACGTTACTGTTATAAGATCACGTAAGCTTTGATTCAAAGATTCTTTGTTCTCAAATGTCTTGTATGAATGGGTATTTCTTGATCACAAATCTCACAAAACGATAAAGCAGGTTTAACTTCAGGGTTTTAGAATAAAAATTGAATTGCACCGCTTATTTTCTCAAATGTCAAAATGTCACATGATCGATTTGGAAGCCGGGCGACAAGGTATTTATCAATGATTGCCTAAATGATTCTATGTGCAAACTCACGAATTATGGAAATCCGATCACAATTTCGAAAAGGAAAGATACGCTAGATTCGACCCTTAAAATTACCATAACATAATGCTGTCATACACATAAATGTCAACAAAAGTAAAAACGAATTTCATCTAGATCACGCGAGGTTTTGAATCAAATAAACTCACGGATAATTTTCACAAGTGAACTTCTTCTATTTAATTGTTGATTAGGTTATCAAAAAGAACAATTTTTAGATAAGCTCTTTTTAACTCGTGAATTGTACGCATGCGCAAGAGCGAGTTATAGATACGATGTGGGGAACGGCATTCGCTCGCTCGCTCGATTGTTCGATTCCTCTAAACTTTTTTTAGATTTTAGGCTTTTGAGTGCATTTGATAGTTTTTGGCGAGCAATAAACAGAAGAAATGGCGACCTTTGTTGCTAAGAATAGTGGTGGGGGTGAAAAAGAAGCCAATGATAATCTTAAAAGAGTTTTTTTTTCCTTTTAGTTTCAACAAGCGGCGCCAGCGACTGGCAGGCATGCAAGGATTCACACTGAAATAACAGAACAACCTTCGTTTTTCATAAAATTGTAATTTACAATCCTTGAACTCGTAAACAATCCGAAGATTCATTGAAAATATTACTTACTGCGAAGCGCTCGGAGTTTACAGATGTTCAAAAGCTTTTTCTGTTATGGCGTGAGATTGAGGACAAAATTGATCATTACGTTTCGTCGCGTGTGTTTTTCCTGTGTGAAGCAACGAAAGAAGCCGGCGACTGACGAAATTACAAGTTAACACGAAAATCAAATAACACCTAAACAAACAATTTTAGCTACCGATTTTCAGTGAATTTTTAAAGAACAATTTTTTTTTAAGTTTCAAGACAATTTGAAGATTCAACATACATACAACGTACTAAAATGCGAAAGTTACCCACCACAAAATTGATAAATAGGCCTGAAATGAAATTCTATCTTGTTATTGATTATACGTTGCCTAGCACGTGACTTAAATCTACCCAGGCGGAGATCCAAAATGACGGTGGCAGGCTTGGCTTAGTTATATCACTCAAAACTCGTTCCAGTTTGTCTCATTTGATAAAGAGGGAATCGTTAATGTTTTCATTAAGAAAGTGTTGCCTTGATTTTCTAATATTTACAACGAAAGACAGTAAATTTCACTTTCCACCCACATTTACTTCCAACCTTTTCTTTTGAACCAGAAACAAAAATGATAGACGTTTAAAACACATGACATCATCCACCTTGTCAAATGTAATAGCATGATCATTTCAATTGTAATGCCTTCTTATCCCAACGTTACTTTGTTTCTTTGCTACATTAGCGAATACTGAACTACTGCTCGTACTCTAGATATGACAATCAACCACAAAATTCCCTAAACCAGATAACATTAAACATAATCTAAAAAATCATGTGTCAATTCACGAGTTTGCTCACAGAGCACTTTGATTTATCAGCATGCTCACGATTCCTTCCTTGTCTGGAAGTTACCAACATTAGCGATATAACGCAGTTTATTATTTTGATAGAATATTGCCTTATGAAGGTTTCAACGGATGAAAGAGTAGAACTGATTGAAATGTAATGTGCAGCTCCAGGGTACCGCTCTGCAAACAATACTCTGTATTTTTAACCCAAAGCATGAAAACATCGGATCAGACAAATTTCTTCGCTTAACACTTCACTTTAGCTACATTTGCACGGTTATACGCTGACTTATAGACCGGCAGGAAGAAAATAAAATGTGACTAAATTTGTGAGAGCAGCGGACCGAAAGCGAAGATACGAAGACGAAAGCGGACTAAACACAAAGGCACGGCCTGTAAAAGGACATGAACTAAGAAATAAACAGGTTCACCAAGAATTAGCAGACGAGGGAAACTTTCCTTCGACGCCAGAGACAGCGACATAGGAGGAATAGAGAATTTTTAAAGCGACATCATGATGTTATGTAAGACACTGAAGAGAGAACGTGCTAACAGTAAGTCACTTAACTATGACTAATGGCTACTCGGTTTTAATCTATTTTACAAACCTCCGTGCAGAAGAGATAACACAAATCAAAAAGTTGCAAAGTTGCGGACAAACCTGCTTTTTATCCAAGTAAAACAAATCACTGCTTAGGACGCTTCAGAACCAAGTCCAGCCTGATGGGTGGTTTAAAGTAAATGCCTCTAGTTGAGAAAGCGGAAGCATCATGAGTTGCCCTCCTAATGCACGGCTGTTTCGCGATGGAAATTTATTTTGCGCATGCGGTCTACAGGAAACATCGAGTTAATTAGTACTTCTCTGGTTAAGACCAAATTATGCATTTGCATAAATCTAGCGTCCATGGCAACCCTTGGGCTAAGATCTAGTTTAGCCAATGAAATCTTGCTGGTATGTAATGTATGCGAGCGAAATTTAGCATGACGGATGTGTGCACATGGATGAGGCCCTTGCTGTCGAAAATTGAAGGTCAAGAGACATCGGGCCATTGCAAGTCAATCATTTGTCTTTAAGAAAAGGAAATTATGGCCTTTCCATTCCATGCACCAGAGGGACTTCACGCGATAGGGCAGACCTGATTTTCCAACAAAATTACAACTTTCATTGAACAACAGACAGATGCGGACATTTAACTGGAAATAAAAATAGATAATGACCCGAACTGTAAAGCTTTCTCGGAAATTTAATTTGTACGTTTAATATTACGATCAATTTCTCGGAAAGGAGAAACAAAGGGCCTCTCTATTTCAAGAGTGACAGGATTTCCGCTTATAAAATGGTTTTTTTTTTCCTAGCCTTACTCAATCTCGAATGACTGTGCATTTCTCGACCAATGTCGGGTAAGGCTTTGAATAAAACTCTGGATAGTAACAGAGATACAGTATATGCCTCTCGTTTTACGCTACGTGTTCTATTCTGTAAAATTAGTGATGCTTGAGTTCACCCGTCCACGAGATCAAAGATATGCTTCTGACGTAAAACCGATCTCAGGGATTTGAATACATCACAAGCCGCCCAAAACTTTGTGTGACTCTCAATAAATTATCTCTATCACTTGTTAAAAAGTTGATTTTCATGAGTAGTGGCGATCAAAGCCGCATGAAAATGAGATAGCGCAACAGACTGTTTAGATCCTCAAAACCCCGTCCACCTTTGATTAACAAACAATTTTTATGATAAATCATATTGCCCACAGTGGATGATAAGTGACAAATTGCCTCCCCAAAAACCTACGGAAGGGGATCGGATCGAGGCCCGGTTTTATTACCAACTATGGCGAGGCCTGCCAAAGAATCCAATAAATTCATTTCTCAAGATCGCTCATGTGCGACTTCTTTTGTACAACGTTGAGGGTCAGCGGAGATCAGCGTCAAACAGAGGCAGAAGGCGCAAAAGAAGGAAGGAGCACGAGATAAAAAACACACCTATATATCCACAAACAAAAACCTTGTCTGGTGTTTCGGTTTAGAGATAAAACACGCTTAGAACTCAATTCAATTCCATCTTGTTTACTTCACTTCCTGTCTAACAATCTATCTAGGCTTGGTGATAGATTTGCCTATCGTGACGTACAAGGAGCCCTTTTTTATCGCTTATTTTCCGCACTTAAGCACTACAGCATCCATAGCATGGAGATCTTGTTCTTTTGAAAATTTCCCTAAAAAGATACTAAAAAATATTCAATTGAAATTATTCCAAAATTATAACTACTTACACCTGCGAAAGGTTGATTTTAGGGTGAAACCCTATATGATCAGATACCAATGGTCTAACATCTCAACCAAAATAAAATATAAATAGTACATTGAACAAAATATTCAACATCAATTGCCTTGGTTTGCAAATATTGAAAAAACAAAAAAACAAAAAAAAAATGCAAACCAAAAAAGGCCAAAGAGCACCATTTTTTTGCCTCAGAGGATTGGAGCCAGATCATTCTCTGTTACAACTCTTAGTAACTTTTAATAGACAATACAATGTACCAAAATAGGTTTTTAGAAAGGAGCACATAATTAACAATTGTTCACCAAAGTGGAGGTGAATAGTGGTGGATATTAACCGAGCTGAGATGCAGTGGGGTAATATCCACCACTTTCACCGACGCTGATGTTGAATAATTGCTTTTGTTCATACCACACAGGTCCAAAAAACGTAGTTTCTTTCTCTCAATATACCGAAAAATGGTCAGAAATTTAACCCTTGACACGCGATTTTGTCTTATTGGCTGTTCGGAGGTGAATAGTATTCGCTATTCACCTCCGAACAAGCCAATCAACGCGCATGAAAAGCACTATTCAATTGTGAGTTATATACCAAGGAAAATTAAAAAAAAAAAATTGATGGCAACGTTCTCTAGAAATTCCTGTCGCCAAAAAAATATCAGTTTCCTTTCAAAGTAAAAACGTGCTCCAAAAATCAAATAACATCTTAAATTCCTTTCCTTCTTTAATCACTACCATTGACAAGTACAAATTAAAACTGATTACAGCTCACCACGTTTTGAGATTCAACAATGTAACCTAGCCATTCGAATATTGACGATAAATGCTCTGAAAATTCCACGCTATAATGAAAAAAATTTAAATAAATATATGTAATCCAAAAATTCAGCCACCTGGGGTACGTTTCTCAAAGTTTCCAGTAACATAGTAAGAAAGATCGAGATATTGACAATTTTGAAGTTCAAACGGCAAGAACATCACAGAAAGAAATGTTACAAACTAGTTTTTCAACTTAGATCTGATAGTAGCCAGGTTGCTCAGCTGGCTTCAGAATAGCGGCGGGCGCGTGCAGTCAAAGGTAATGCTGATCCCTAGAATCTTAAAACGCGGTCACCGTCATTACTGTAAGATGTACTTCGTGATGAAGGAGATATAAATCAAATGGATTCTGGAACATCTCAAGAACTCAACACTTTGTAAAAAATATCAGCAAAGTACTAGGCTAAAACCTATATGGTAGAAAATTTAATGTTGTATTACAGTAAGTATAGGACCTTTTACCAGCGAAACCTATTCACAGTAACTGTCTGTTGTACACAATTTTGTTGCCCGTAATTTGGAATTCTCCACAGTTTCCGGGCACTGTGCGCCAAAAATTAGCTACCTTACACTTAGCGTAAAAAAACTAATTGAAAACAGATACAAAAACTTTGTAACTTGAGTAGTTGCGCCACTTTCATCATCGAGCAGCCCCCGTGAAACTCACAATCGTGGTTGCTTCATTCCTAAGCCCATATTAACGTGATCAGCAAATAAGCGCTCTTTTCAGAAGAGTTATGAGACTGCACTACTGTTATACATGAAATATTTACAGGTTTAGTAATATGGTTCAGTATCATCTAGCAAATCCCTGCACAATCCGTGAGACTTGCAGTAAGACTGGCCCAGTTTCTGGGTCGTTAATGTAGAATGAACTTGTCGACGGATTTTCAAGCATGTCTTCAAATGCTGAAAAAAAAGAAAGCAAGAATTTAAAGAATGACTGAGAATTGAGTTATAAGGCGTGATCATAAAACAGCACTCCGTTAAAACGCAAGAATAAATGTGTAAAATTGTTGTTATTTTTTCAATTATACCATGAAGTTTATATTATGTGCACCATGATTGGTCGAAGCCCATACACTATAAAAGTAAAGACGAACTGATGTCATTCAAAATTTTCAAGAGCGGTTAGCAAGCAAGAAAGAGAAACGGAATCCGTAGCACCTTACCCAAGCAAGCAAATTACCGAAATAGAAATATACAACTCGAATAGTCGAGCGTAACCAGGCAATTGGTGATTATTTCCCTCACTTTTCCTTCTTTTTAATTGTAAGTATTAAACAAATAGATCTATTTTGCTGTGGTCTGTTCAGTTAAAGATCCCTAACGACTTCCAAAATGTAGTTTAAGAATATCAGCGATACAACTACATGCAGCTCGTCTCGTGTTCTTGTTTATGGTCACATTTTGACCTCTTTGTTACTAAGACAGAACTGACACAAGGCAAAATGGAACATAATTGAATTCCCAAGTTTTTGACGTATATACATACCTCCTAGAATTCGAGCATTATTAAGACTAAGCTGGACTAAAGGATTCTCCATAATGGCCTGATACAATGGACTAGGTAAGAAATCAGACAGGAAACAATACTTGACAAGTTCATTTGACTCAATACACACCACTGATCAAAGAAAAAAGCAGAACAAATGCATAACATAAGTGCTCAAAAAGATTCTGTTTCTGTAGTCATCCCTCCTTTTAAAATCAAATGGGCAAAAAGCTCCACCACTCCCTCCCCCCCCCCCACCATGATTCCCCTAGAAGTACTAATAACAAAAAGGCTGCCCCTGACATTCTTGCACAATGCAACACAATTAATGATACTGTTAAATTGTTATGAAATTGCACAGGGTAACATTTCAGCAAAAAAAAAAAAGGTACCTGTACTTGAAAGCAGAGCAATAGTTCAGGAGACTGGAATTTTGGTTCAAAAATAGTTTTGAGAAAGCCTCCTTTTTAAATAAGGGCACCCCTCTGGAAAACCTGAAAATTAATCTACAGCATCTGTACCTAGACTGGTCCAAGCCTTCATTGATATCTCCTATTCCTCCCTGCCTGTCACCAAGCAACCAATCACACTGCAGAAAACAACAATCAATTTGGAATTATTTTACACCAATGATTGTATCCATTGTCATCAAAAAATAAAACTTTACATGTATATTCTTCTGAAAAAGACATACATAATTTGTTGAAAGTATAACATAGGTTACAAATAAAATGAAAAAGATGGTAAATTTTGAGCTCAGAGAAAAAATGACAAAAGGTTTTTTTTAAATCTTGACAAGAGCATGGGACAAAGGAAAAAATTCTATGTTCATGAGGAATCAAACCTCAGACCTTCTGATTCCACACTCTGATGCTCTACCACTGAGCCACAGAGACTCTACAGTGAGCAAGGCCATTACAAAGTATTTATTTTTTTTAATAGAGAGGTCATTAATGTTTATGCAAACATGATGATGATTGAAACAGGTATCTACTTACAGTTGTTTCTAGCAACATTTAACTAAAGCATGTAAGAAACTTTTTCTTTTATGTTACAAGTTGCTCAGTTTGTGGAATCAGCTTTCCAGATAAAGGCATACAAAACCTTGTAATTTTGTAGAAACAAAATGTTTGCCAATTAGGGATAGAGCGTACTGCTTTCAGTTGAAGAACTGGAACTCACTGCAATCAAAAATGAATTAAGTTCAATAGACCATATTGTGAATATTATACTCACAGCAGCTTCTTGATTGTTCCCAGTTGCTTTGAGTGCCGCAAGAATTTCTTCTTCCTGAAAGCCCATTTCTTTCAAGTTGTTTACAGCCTGCAACACAGAAAAAACATAATTCCATTTTAACATCTTATTAAAATCATTTAAACTTTTGCATATCAAAAATTAACAATTTGTTATAATGAGCATATTTTGTTTGTAGACTTAATTGCAACATCCTGATGCACAATACACTGTACATGTAAATGTTCACAGATTACAAGTTATAAATGTGAACGCATACTTCATAATGCATCAATTTTCACACTGTTATTGAAAGATATTTAACATAAACAGTTTGTTGGTTTGTTCAGGTTAAGTAGTCATGCTACAAACCAATAATTAAGGTGATTGAAAGATACATTACATTCTAAAGGGTTTGTCATATTAGAATAACTTCATAGTTTACTCAAACAAACTCCAACAATTTAAATCTTATTTTGTCTTTCTGTCATATTTCAGTATATAAATTTTATCACACCATACAGTTACTTTCTTATGGAAGTCCCAATCCGCTCAGACATTCAAAGATTCACTTGGTTTTCCTAAATGTAATGGTCCTAAGAAAACAAGTTATCACCACTTTGTAAACACTACATACAACCACCTCAAGTCCACTGGAAATAGTGACCTACACTGTTCATTTACAAACTTGCCCTATCCACTGCATATGTGTAATATAGTGTATCTCATCAGTGTTTGTGCACTGACAGCAACTCACCCTTGGATTGGGAACAAACTCCTTCCTTTTCCTACGACTCTTCCCAGCTCTTGCCCCTAATGTCAGAGGCTCATCTATGTCAGCATCATTTTCATGCTGTAGAAGCCATTCCATAGCCTGCATAGGAGACATTCTGTCATAATAAAAGGAGGATCAGAGAGTTTAGGAAAAAATGCAGTTCCATCAATTCATGAAACTACAGATCTGAGCCATGCCACTTTCTTTTTTACCTGACATTTCCAAACAAATAATCAAATAGCGCACACAGATACACTGCAATTTGGAGAAAAAGAAGCCAGAAAAATTCAGGATTTGACAGGTTCAAACTTGTGCCTCCCAGATACATGTTCTAAAAGGGTGCTGAGTACCACCTAAACTACGAGACCACTTCTAGGAAAGGAAGCAACGTTCCCTATAAGGGAATCTGGTCTCACATTAATTGATGACTAAAGAATAAGAAAAAAGTGCTTGATGGATTGTTATAAAAATCATTAACCAGATAATACACATGTATGTATCCTGAGACAGTAATTGACATTTATTAGGCAAGGCAAATATTTTGTCTTTGGGCTCCCTTATCATCATTTGTGCTTAGCAGAGAAATAATTGTCATGATCATAAATTCTACATAAATTACCTGTTCAATATCAGAGCCTTTTTAGCTCTTGAGTCTTTGAATCCCATATCTACTAATTGTTTGAGTGCAGTCTGCAAAATCAACAATAAATATGTACTTGAGAAAAATTACTAATAACAATTGAACAAATTTATGACTCTACATCAATTTATGAGGATGCTCTAGTTCGAATTTTTTTTCATGTGAATTCATTACTTTCATTCAAACTGTTTTGATTTTTATTTTGCCTTGTTTCAAGTTGTAACACAGTGGTAAAGATTAGAGACAAGTACATGCATGTGTGTAACAAATTTGCAACCACACAAAAAATTGAAGCACAACAAATATACTCCACAAGTGAACATTTAATCATTTGTCTCACAATGTAAGAGTCAGGCTAATCAATTGAGTCTTGATCACAAAATTTCAACTGCTATATATACTGCTAATCTTTATACAGCTACAAGATCGAAAGTTTACATGTCAAAAAGTTGCAATCAATACATAGTTGACTAACCTGACTCTTACATTGTGAAACAAACAATTAAATGTTCATCTATTTTAAAACCATGATGAACACTTTCTATTATAGCAAATATTCCCCATATCAAATATAAAAAAAAACAAGGCAAGTGTTTGTTCTCTTACTGGATCAACATTAGGCTGATTGTCCTCTTCTTGACCTGAAATATAGTCCAGTAAAAATATAAAAATCTGTACATAAAACATACAGGTGTGCTCAAACAACATCAATTAGATCCTCTGGTGATTGTGCATAAAATAACAAATTCAGTACTGTGTGATAGAAAAAAATGACTCACAGATCACAACTAGCAAAAAGTTTATACATTTAGCAGACTCACAATAGAGAGAAACGAAGTTCACTAAATTATTATTATCAAAGATTCAAGTGGAATTTCAGCTTAATTCAATGCTTTAAGGATTGTTCCATTTGAGACAGTCAAAGAAAAATCCAGATGAAAGACAGGTATGTGATAAGGAAAGTATAGTGAGAAACTGAAATTCTTATTCTGATCTTTTTCCAAAATATCGAGATAATTTCATTTGTTGCATACCTGAGCTATCAGTTTCATCAGCAGCATTCACAGATTGAAGAAGTATGGAGGAGTCAATCAAGGAGATGAGTATTCTCCTGAGTTCTGAGTTGAACTAAATTCAAAAAATCATCAAGTTATAATTTATTGTTATTGTTACAATTATCAATTTTAATACAAATGATACAACTGGAACTGGTTTTTAATTTGCAGAACCCAAAAATCATTGCCCAGCTCAACATCATCCTTTGTGAAAATAAGTAAATTTATTTTAATAAAGTGGTAAAATTATACATCAAATTATATAAGCAATAGCAAAAAGTCAAGTTTGAAACCTCATGTTGGGATCTTTCCTGCAAATGATCTACAGTCCAAATTTTGTTGTTGTGAAATATAAATTTGTTCAAATGATTATTTCCTTTTTTTTTTTCTTTTCTTCATTTTGGCTTACTGTTTGAATTTGATTGTACAATGTAACAGGTTTCTTACAGACACCTTGATACAACCCTCTGTTTTGCTAACAAACAGTGATGACACAACAGCATGATTATTTTATAGAACTGCCATGTTTTTAAATTATTCCCTTTGGAGTGACAATACATCATGTATACCTCATTGTTTTATCAAAAGAAAGATAACAGTTTTGTTATAACATGTTGGATTCTGCGCACAGTGGATTCAGCAGTGAAACTGTCAGCTGCCTATATCTCCAGGAGTCCCATCTCAAGGAGACTGGATACACAAGGGCACATAGAAAACCCAGCTGAGCTGAATTAGTATGCTGTTTTAAATTCAAGATCCTTGTTATCTTAACTTTTCTTTTAACTCTTACATTAGTGTTAAATTAATAATACTGTTATAATCATTTATTGGCTTTATTCAATCAGCCAGTCATTTCCATTGTTCTTTTGTCAATAGCTTTTACATTTTTTCACTTTCTTCTACCTCCTGTGGCCTGCTAATTAATCCATTTGTGAAGTTTGCACCTATCAAATCCTTCTTTAGACAATTTTTTTCCTCTTTAAATTAAACAGATAGTCTGCAAGTTGTAATTTGCTATTGTTTCCTATCCTGGTTGCCTTTTCTTATCACTCACATAGTTGTTCAATGAATATATTTAGTGGTTACTGGATAAATGAATCTAATGAAGATCTTACTTACATCTAAAGTGAGAGGTGACAAGCTGGGTGATGGCTCCTTTATCTTACCAGCGACAAGCTTGGCAGTCAGCTTCTTGACCCCCTTTAGGTCAGGCACTTGGTAAGAACTTGTTTTACATTCCTATGTAGTTTTTTGAATGACAAATCAGCAAAGAAACATAAGGAAACTTTACCCTCACATTAAAACAACAGTGAGTTGTTTTAATGTAGCTTCTAGAGTAGGAGCTCAAAGACAGTCTACAGAAAAGATGACTTGATTAAAGAGACAAAGAACTATAAGTTCGAGACTCAAAAAAATTCTAGGGGCCAAAGTGGCAAATGTGTGCATGCGATACAACTTTTATGACTTATATTGAAGTGCTTTGAAATCTGTATGTATATTAGTCAGTCTGCCTTTTAATAATATCTCCGACAGTATAACCTCCTAATTTAATCCACATATTGTAAGCATTACAGAGAAAAATAGAAACTACTTCTAAATTTAGATTGCTTTGATTTGGACTGAATACGAATTCAATACCATTAGCTTTAGGACCAAGAGAAATTTTCCAGATAACGTCCTTCAAAACATGAAGGAGTTAGAATCGTGATCATTTAGTCTACACTGAATATACAAAATGTTCGAGAAAACACTTACTTTTTCGGCGATATCAGCACTAGTATGAGGTCGTTTTCTGATGAGTACTAATTCGTCTGGAAGCGAGACAAACAACAACAGTAAATTGAATTATAGGGTTTGCTCTAAAGATACAATAATATCCACTTAGACATCTTGATATGAAATTCGGCACTTACCATTATCTTGTACATTTTCTTCCTCTAGAGTTTTCTGGTCAATCAGTTCACTACTCGATCTGGCGAGGATGAGTTTATAGCACGGAGATTCCTTCGAAAATTCTCCCCCTAGTGCTTTATCTTTCACGGCCTTCACTGTATCACGTAAACTTACTGTTAGATTACTTGCTTTTCCTGACGAGCTAATGATTTTTATACAAACGAGAGGGACAGATCTAAGTGATTTCAAGCTTTGAAGTTCAAATTCCCTCATATTTGGCGTTATTTTTCATCTCCAAGTTAAAGTTTTGAAAAACAAGACTTTCGTGACACAAAGTTGACTTTCATGCGCAGATGTTGACCAAATTTTAAGAGTAATGCGCATATAAATCCGACAATTTACAAGAATGAATATTGCAACCAAATATGGACTTTCGAAAAGATCGGAAAGCGTCGTGATTTCCGAATATATACGATACATTTTCCACGCAGACAGTATTCACGGTCTCTGCTATGGAAATGAGCTGATACTGCGAGTTGTGAATCCATGAATAATGTGAATTAGGATCAAAGCAAAAATTCATTCAGGTATACATTGAATACACTTTCTGTTTGAAGAATGGCAGATGAGACAAACACGACAGAAGTTCCCAGAGGATTGAGAGTGGTAGTGAGATTTTGGGGCGCCGTGTCCGGGCTGTGTGAGTGTTGTTGAATTTTGATCGTTCGTATTTCGATATTTTGATCGCTCTAGGAAATATTTGTTGACAGTTTTTCTGTTAAGATTTCTCTTTTCTTTGATTAATAGAAGAGTATGACTTAGTTGTTTTGCTGGTTTTTTGTTTGGTGTGAGTCAACAAGATATTTCAAGTCGTCGAATATATTCTGGCAGGGAAACTTACTGGCTTCATTACTTGAGAGTTGATTTACGGCTTGTCAAAGATCACGATTGTGTTAAATTTTCCGTCGTTTTAGTCCGGTGTTTTCAGGAGTTGACGATGCATTTAACCACGATTGCTCTCAAATAGAGAGCGAATTTTTAGTTTTCATTTGCGAATCGAAAATTAACTTCGAAAATTCAATTGAACCTTCATAGCTTTAAATTTATGTTGTATGCTGCCAAACGATACGAAAACCCGTAAGTGGATTAAAAATCTCATTAGCTTGGTACTCCATCGACAGTGCATAACAATTGATCTGATGTTTTGCAAACTAAATCTTGGTATTTGCAAGAATTAGAAGATGGTGGGCAAATTGTATCGAAATTGCTCCATTTACATGTAATTCCCGGATATTTACTGTTACGGAAAATGAAAAATGAGGAAATATTAATTTCAGTGATGATTATTTCAGGTGTACTTTTTCTTTTGAATTATTAGGGTCTAATATGGAAGTGTTTTGAGCGTTGTGTTTCAAAATGGTACAGATAATAATAAACATAATAGCAGAGGCCAACAAGTAATCAAAAGCGCAACTTTCCTCTGAATTGTTTGGTAATTATAGTTGAATAACAGTGGCGTGGTATTAACCTACCCACATTGTGATGAAGGAAGTTGTTGCCCTCCAAAAATAGTTCTGCAGAGGGAAATAACCAGTTACTATTTGTTACCTCAAGGCAAGTGAAACTGATTTCACTTGCACTTCTAACATTTTGGAGGAATGAAATACTTGATTTGTTTATTGTTTGGGAAAGGATATTTTCTCCTGGGCCAATCAAGTAGTTCTAAGGCTAGACAAGGGAAACTAATGGATAAATCCCTATTCATTGGTTAACCCTTTAACTCTCTTGAGAGATCTAGACAGAATTTCTCCTTATTATATATATTATATGCAATACCATGTAGACAAGTAATGATAATTAAGAAAAATATCAATTATGGGATTAATAATTGATTTGATACCATATTCTCCAAACTAACATAATGAGAATCATTTGTTAGGTAGTAAGGAGAATTACTAATGAGATCTTGGGAGTTGAAGGATTAATGCTGTTGATCAGGTTTTTAGGGAATTGAACAGAGGGTGATGGCTTCCTTAACAACAGTTTTGGGAGTGATTTCCAATTATAACAGTCTGAAATTAGCTATGAGCTGTATAACAATTTTACCATTGTCAAACAGCTGACTTACCATGTACCTGTACTTTGCCTTTAGATCAGAGTCTTGTTTTTGGGCAGAACATTTTATAGATAATTTACGTGTACTATCATGTTATTGTCTGTCAGGTTCAGCAGCACTTGGCTTCTTTGTACTTTTTACATTATCAGCAACATGTTTAGGAATGGGTATTTATATGATGTAAGTACAATTATGAGTTAACATTTGTTAGAATTTAAATCTTACATTGAAGGCGCTGTATAGGGAGCAGGTTTCATGTTTGGTTGATATGCTTGAATGTATTGCATCAAGGTAGGGTTAGGGAGGCCCTAAAGATATTTTTTAACCTTAAATCAAGCTTTTGACTTGCACACTACACTGCGCACACACACACACATTGCTTAAAAAATATTGGAATATTGATTTTTAGTTTATACCACAGGTGAATAGTTCTTTTTGTGCATGGTGATTGGCTGGTTCAGAAGTGATAAGCAAGTACTATTCACCTCTTAGCAGCTAAAGAGACAAAATCACACATTAACAATTTACAGCTGTAATTTCTGGCCATTTTTTGGGATATGACAGAAAGAAAATAATTTTTTTGGTATCTGTGTGGTATATACTAAAACAATTATTCACTTCAGTGTCAGTAAAAGTGGTGGATATTTACCTTGTTGTTTTGAGGCTAAGTAAACATCCACCACTATACACCTCCACTTCAGTGAGTAATTGTTAATTATTACTAACTACCTAATAAACGGCCCACAGAAAGAATTTTTTACTGCCCACCTCTTGCTTTGACAGCATGTAATACAAGTTTTAAAGATAATTAACGTTTCAGAAGCAGGACTCAAAACATTTAGTAGCTGACTGACTTGATGAGATTCTCAATTGGTATACCTTTTCCTAATGCACCCTCTAAGGAGGTAGTCATTCAATTTATGGGGATGAGAAATTGATTGTAATGTTGTTGTGTAATTTTTTAGAATGATGGGTGCAGTTATCTTAGCTTTTGAGGCTCCAATGTGTTGCCAGTATGTACCAGCTCTAGTAACCATGAGTAACTGGATTGAGAGTCACTTTAGATTCTGGATGAGAGGATGCTTGTATTTTCTGTAAGTTTTTATTGTTCATAAGATTGCTATTCAAGCCAAGTTACCCATCAGCATTACACTTTGAAGAGGTTTTAACAGTATGAGCTTGAAATATGACCCAGCACATGTATGCTTAATTCTTTAACTCTCAGAAAAGATTAACATGTATTTTTTCCTTATGATATCCATACAATATACAGCAAACAGATATTGAAAACACTTAAACTTACATGTATCTTGTAGTAGTAGTTATCTTGGTCTAACACCAAATTCTTGTAACTGTTTTTGCAAAGAAATGTGAGGCAGCTGGAGGGAAGAATTAGATCTTGGGAGTTTAAGGGTTCATGAATTGCTAATGCATTGTGCAATCAGTGCAATGCCTTCAATATATAAGCTTGATGTTTACTGAATTCGGTTTTTGTTTAATTATCTAGGTTGGCTCTCCTTCCAATTATTTTTTGCCTAGAAGTCTCCACCTTTGTTGGCTGTGGCTCTGTTATGATCACAGCTGCTTTGTATGGTGTTTTGGCCATTGGGAAAAAGTAAGTGAAAATTATCTTAGATAATTGATGTGATATTTGTTTACAAATAAGTACACTGATGTACATTAGAAATTAATTTATTTGGTACGTCCCTTATCTTTTCCTCATCTCTTTATTTATAACCCTTTCACTCACAAGATTTCATGAGTAGTTCTCTCTACAGACTGACATAAAATTCTTATGATGTTAGTTTGGAGAGTTTGGTACTGTATCAACAATATTCTGTAATAATCCTGTTAAATGATATTTTTCTTTACTCTCGTCACTTGCCTGCATGATATTGTTTTGACATTTTAAGGTAAAATTCTGTCTTAGGTATCCATGGGAGTTAAAGGGTTAAGAGATTTAATGTGAGTTCTTCACTCACCAGACTTAATAAGCCACCAAGTTCACCTGCCCACACTGAAAGCACTAGCAAGACCATGAGCATTCTAAAGCATTTATTCAATTCATGATCAGTCTAGTGGTAACATTGGCCAAGTTTTTCTTGTAATATCATAATGGTACATGTTTGTTCTCTATTGGACAAGAAATCTTTGTACTTTGGTGTCCTTACTTAAAAATACTTCATCTTTCTTGTGATAGAGGAGCAGATGTCAGCAAGACTACAAATTCCGAAGACATTGAGATGAAAACTAATCTTGTTGACAAGAAAGGTGATCCAAATTATGTTGAAGAAGCAGGACCTTGAATTCAATCAGAGATTCATGACTGTATTATTTAAACCAACAGTCTCTAGATTCACTGTTCTATTTAAATTTAAAATATTTAATCAAAACTATAACAAAATTCTCTAACATGACTGGTTATCACCAGCCCGATTTGAGTACTAACAAGACAGTGTACATGTCATGCTTGTAATTGTCATGCTTGTGTGCACACTGTTGTTGCTTTTTTTATGAAAACATGAAACAGATGTCTAGTTTCTTTCTTGGATTTTGTTATGGTTTTGATTAATTGGTCACATTAAGACTTCATGTTATCCAATTCTGTCTATAATCATACTCATGATTAACAAATCAGAGGACTGTGACACAGGAATTAATTTTGTTTATCACTTGTATGATTAGGGAAGGAATTGGACTCCACTCATTCCTATTATTATTACAGATTGTGAATGGGCAGTCTCAACTGATATTAACAGTTAGCTTTGTGCCTTCATTGGTAGCTGAACATGTACACCTGTACCTGAGAAAGCCTAAGAGATTATTTTAGGTAGTGGTAGTTTTGTCCTTGTTTTGTTGGACAAGGCAATGGCCAGCATTGTTGGTTGTATAATTGTCAGCTCATAAACGAGCTGGACATCAAACAAAGCAATGAAAAAATTGATGCAGTTTATTGGTCAAAACTTCAGTAGTGGGGTATTGTATGCTGATGTGTGTGTGCATGTAGGATAGACTGTCAAGTTGGGAAAAATGCTGAAAAAGTCGAGTACAAGGACAGACTCCTTCCTAAGAAACAATTTATCTGTTGAGATAAATTTTTGTGTTTTGTTTTTTTTAATACTTGCAACTCTTTGTTCAAATTTGGAACTGTAGATGTCCTAACTCAAGTGAAAGTCTACATGTATTTACAAACAGTTTGGTACTGTTAACCCTTCAACTTCCAAGATCCAATTAGTAATTCTTTGTCCTTAGTGCTATACTTTTGCTTGTAAATTCAACAGGAGAATTTGGTCTTATTCCGAAATAACACCATCCAGCAGACAAGCTTGTCTGTTCTCATAACCTGTTTACAAGATAGCTTATAGAATTTGCATGTCAATCGCTTCTTGGAGTTAAGGGGTAAGACAAACATTAATTTGTGTTTTCAGGAGAATGTTTAATGACAAATTCTATTTGGTTTATTCATTCTTATCAGAAAACTTGGTCCTTATTTATTACATTTTACCACTAATGCTCAGTATTAAATCAGTCTCTCTTGAGAATGCATATTTCTCCCAATTGATCCTAATTTGCACAAAATCATTTTTTCACCCTCACAGAAGTGCATTTAGTTTAGGTGTTTAAGACTTTTATGAAAACTAACCAGTTCTTCATAAGGAAGAAGCACTTTATTGGGGAATCGAGCACCTTCTGACAAAATGATGGAGTTTTCTTTAGCCTCCTTAGCAAGAGTTTGCCCAATGAAATGATGTGGTAATCAGGTCCTTTATTCTCATAACCTTAATGTTGGATTCTCCAGTGATACTCTAAGGAGTTATTAGAAGCTGATAACTCACTCACATAGCTTGAAATTAATCTTGACCAATTTCTCTGTGTTTAAGTTAATTTATTGAAAGAAGGCCTTTTCACATTTCTGAAAAAAAAAATGTGATATCAATGCAAATAATATATTTCACATAAATTGGCTGTAAGTTAAGTGGACACTAAGGTTATTTATTTAATATAAGTGTTGATTTATACACAATTTAGTCACAATTAGAAGATTTAATATAAAGTATTGTTATATTGCTTCATCAATATCAGAGTCATTTTTAGCACAAACGTTTGAATTGTTTTAAGCGTTGATGGAATTGTTTTGTTCTTTCATTCCTAAATAATAATTGTTGACTGACAGTTTGGTGATCAAAGGAAAAATGTTGAACACCTTATCTAGGGTGTGATGAAATTAGCGATAGAATGAGGGCGCTTGCTCTTTTCAATGAATGACTCTGGTTCTTGACAAGAATTTCTTAATCATAAGGAAAAGGGAAGGAAATTGGAATCATGGCTGAATTTTGTGACCTCGTTCAAACGCCCAACGTTTGATATGTAATTTTTGAGTAAAAATGTAACTATTCTAAGAGCTCTCACTTTTATTCACCATACTGGCATTTGTTCTTTTAAAGAAATGTTACTTCTTATTTATTGACTGTGTTTTTTTCTTGGTGTATGCGGGTCAAAGTTTTCTCATATCACTAAGGCCTTGTGAAATTATTATTTTCAGAGTTTGTTTAAGAATTAAATCGGGCATTTTATTTTTATCAATAAACAGCGGCTGAAAATGTCTTGTAAAGTGTGGCTATTTTCGATATTATTTGGAGTCGCTGTTCAAGGAATCTGTCAGTTTAAACATTATGGAACAGTGAATCTTTACTTTTTCCTCAATCTATCGTTTACAATTCAAGCTCAATTTTGCCATCCTTAAGCATCCACGCACCTTTTTGTTTCATTCTTATCTGTGTGGTGTTGGAAAAAGACAATCAGACTACGATGTAATAAGGCAGTTTTCAATTTACTGTCGTAAAAACTAGCATTAAAGTAATCCCGACGACCAATTAGAACATAGAGCCACATTATTATTTGCCAATGAGACCTCAAAATGAGAACAAGTACATTGCTGGTAGCGCGAGAAAATGCGGCTGACCACGTCTCGAGTTTTCTCGATGAAGCACAAAGCAAAGTTACGTAAAACGAAAGCAATCCGGGAGTAATTTCGATTTTAATTGAAAATTGCACTATTTCATAGTGTTCTTCCATTACGAGTCATTAGAGCTTAGTGCTACAGTGCCATGGCGACAGACTGCCGAGTAGGCTTGCAGATCGTACGGGAAGATTTCTGTCAGCTGTGAAGAAATCGACGCAGTTGTTGTTGAAGAGAGAACTTTTTGATTGAGTGTCGAAATTAATCCAGCCGTTTGCTTTAGTTTTGCTTAACTACTCCAAAACCAGAGTAAGTAGTAAAACAGCCAATCAGCAGAAAGAAAAATACTTTGAGGAGCCAATGAGAACTCCAAGTAAAAACGAGCAAGTTGCCTAAAGCGCGGGAAAGCGCGGGCGACCATTTTGAGATTGGCGTCACCTTTTCATCTGATTGGTTGAGAGAGTGGCGCAAGTTTTCTGAACCAATCACAGCAAATTAATGCAAAACCAAAGCAGTACTGGATTACTTTCGACACTTGATTGAAAATTTCTTTTTTCATATTAACCTCAGTTTCTTCTCATTTGTCGTGTGATAACTTTGGTTTTGGGTTTACAACTGACACACTTGAAAAGCGCGCTAACTTCTGTAAAAATCCCTAAACATCCTGACAACGAGGAAGCTTAGAAGATGACAGCGGGAAAAAGCTCAAATTCTATTTTTTCTCGGTTTAGGAAACTTGAAAAAAAATTGATAATGTATACCTTGATAGAATAGATTGTGATCGATTCTTTTCTGGTGAGCCACTAATCGGGTGTCAAGAAGTTCAGTGACGGGAGTTATTTTATAGAATAAATTTAGTTTCGTATCGTATCTATCCTTTTAACGCGCGTATGCAATCGCAAGCCCCAGAGGAAACTTAAAAATAAATGTGTTTGATGTGCATAAAAGAGTAAGAAAAACCATCGCACTAAATAAATTACTGCTGATACTTCCAAAAGGGGAAATATCACAGCTGTCGCGCATATGAATTATGAATGATTATTTTTAACGCGTTGTTAGTAAGCGTCGTTAAAAATGTCCCGGTTGAAAAATTTACCACCTTGTACTAATACCTAAAGCCTTGCAATCTCTTTATTTAAGACATAAATGGTAATTGACGGCTAAGAAAGAAAGGAACATTTAAAATATTCCATTTACTCCTGAGCTCTTTGATTTAAATATTTTATGACAACGCTTACCTGGTCAACAGCTGTCGTAAAGTAGCTCGATTTGGTCATATGCTGAGTTATTCGACCAACCACAACGCTCGCTTGTTACTTATGTGGGAAGCACTGTTGTACAAATGCAGGGTTAGGTCGTACAGAGAAGGTTTCGAAAAGACAACCGATACCATTCACTTGCCACTACATATAACAAGATTAACAGAACTTCACTTTCATCGGAAGTCGAGGTAAGGATTTAAAATTCATATCAGTATTCGAAAGGGAATGCTTTGTGAAGGTTTCAAGAAATGAGCCTCTGAAGGCAACTGGCATTGTGACATGCAGTTATGCCTGGAATATAGCTTTTATCTCAAGGAATAAACTTTGATTACAGCCTAAAATAAATCGGAATCATTACAGACAGTGCAAAATTTTTTTCTATGGGAACCTAGAAGTAACTGCGCATGGCACGCTAAACATCTCTGCATATTTCATGCTGCACAAGGTTACTTCTGTTTCAGGTAGAGAGAGTCCGGCTTCAAACCCCACAGCAATTGAACCAAATGTTGGATGTTTCGAGATCTCTAAGAAAAATCATATTCGTTATTTCATGCCAAATATTAAAACCCTCAAACTCACTTGTTGTATTCCAACAATTCAGGTCGAAGATTGAGCGGCCTAACCAGAAGAAAATCATAGCCACAGTGTTCCTCGTCAACTTTGTTTTGGTCAATGACTGGTATTCATGCCGAAAAAAGTATGCAATTGCTCAGAAAGGACATACGTAAATCACATGAGAAGAAAAATACAATCTATTCGTCACTAAAGAAAGAAAGAATTCCAGTAAAAAAAAATTCCTATTTATTTTCAAGTGATGATTTGCAAATTAGTTCTTATGTAATAGAAACGACTTTATTGCTTAAGGAAAGAGTTAATTAAAAAAGGAATTTTACGGCATAAACAGAACGAGCAAGACACCCTTTAACCAATAAACCCCTGTGCCTTTGATCAATAACGAACCGTGGTGGAAGAAGGCCTAATTTACTTTACAAGTTATTGTGTTCAATTTTTCAGATCGAACACCATGCAAAAGCTTGTTATTGTTCTGATAATTGCCATCGTGTCGATAGTACAACTTGTTCGGGGTAAGTGCATCTTCAAAGTCTATAATAGCGCCTCTTTCAAGACTCCTATATAGAGAAAACCACCACATTAGATAACCAATTTTATTCTATGCCTTTAGTTCATGATTGAAATTTCATTGTTTTTTTTCGTCAAAAGTTCGTGCGGAAACATAAAATTTTAGACAAAACGACTTATCGATCAGGTTATAGTTATCCAACGGAAATCCAGATGACAAGTAAAGATTTCATTGATGAGATCGATATTCAGCCAAAGACTATCTTTTATGAATCAACGAGATAATGGAGTGACGAAAGGCATTCTATTGAATTCACGAGGATTTGGAACCATAAAGAAGTTAAATTGCATTAAAAAAACTGAAAAACAGAAAAACAATAACAAATAATTTAACTGTACACTGCTGAAATTTTTCCTCTTCCTTGTTCGTGTGTACATATTTTAAAACTAGAAAATTCAAACTGAGAGCTATATCAAGTTGTCTTCTTCGTTTTCGTTTCCACAATTTTTCGTGAGGTTAGATTCTCATTCCACTATTTTTTATTTTCATAGGTGGGGCGTTGAAATCTCACCTGAGAAAGCCTGAAAGGGATGGATTGCGTTCATGCGCAGTGTGGCCCCTGGAATGTGATCCACGGGATAAGCATTGTGGTTTCGTAGATTGTGATGGACAATGCTTCACTTACAACACCAGGGACCTAGACCCAGAACACGGCTTGACCGATGATCTGCAGAAAGGTTGCTACACCATGGCAGAGGCGGACTACTATTGCCATGATGAAAGTGTTTGTGAGGGGTTCGAATCGATGGTGACCACTCTGCTCAGGGGGGAGGTTTTGAGATGTGAGCACCATTGCTGTAACACAGACAATTGTAATCAATAAACTGGCACATTAAAAACGTACCTAGATATTCTTGTGTCATTCTTGTTACGGGTACACTTAGAATACCCATTGACTTTTAAGTAAAAAAAAGAATATTTAACTCTGAATAAAAATAGAGATGAAGGACTCCTAATCAATTACAAGCATAATCAGTGACGTATTTTCAAGGCGAGGAACTTGATTTTTACAGTGCCCCTTTCCCCTAAGGATGGCAAATGGTTGAAAGACAAAATATGTGGTGGGAAAGCTCGGTTCTCAAAAATCTTGGTAACCTGCTACAGAGTTCAAGATACCGCTGACCGCTTAATGCCTTGAAAAACTTGAGCCGGCAGGCATCAATCCTTAAGCGATTGAAAACGAAAGAGCTTTTCTTAGAGTATGGTTTCGCAGTTGATAATTTGTTCCACTTCTGCAGATTTGTTCAATTCAGCATCAGAAAGTGATATAAAATGGTATGTTTTGGCTTTTAAATTTCATGTTGACATTTGCCAACGTTCCATCGTCAAGATGATGGATTCTGTCCATCATAGATCGTGCCACACTGGATTAAAGGAAGCTCACCAACAAAAAGCGTATTTTCTATACCCATAATTGATCCTCGAGACCTAATACTTAACATCGATGACAAAAATTGTTCGAAATCCGAGACGATTGTCTCTCGAGTAACGTCGCACTTACCCGCAGGAATCACATTCACAATGGAGTGAATAGGTTTTAGTCAGATTTTTGTCGTCTACATGATGGTTTCGTTTGATTTATGTTTTTTTTGGTTTCTATAGAGGAGACTCTTTTAAAATTGCCGATATTAACATTAGATTATGACTGTGAGTATAATTCCAGGTAACCTCTTCCAAGTGTATAGTTATTGGACGGCGCTGAGCGAAAAACAAGGCGGAGATTTGACCCGTTCAAAACCTCCATTTACTCATTCCGCGCTAATTTTTCATAACGTCACAGCGGCCTTCGACAGACTGAAATGTCGGAAATCCTTCCACCTTCATTTTCAAGCGAATACACCCACAAACTTACTCTACATTTCAAATTTTTTATTTGAATGCGATGTTACATTTTGCGTTTATTTGCTTTCTACAAATGATAAGAAATATGTTTTAGTATGATACACACTATACGGGAACGGTTACGTTTCGCATTACTTTACTTTCATTTAATATTTTGCAAAACGAATCTAAGTTAACCTCCTTCATTTCCTAAGCAAGTTTCAGTAGTTGCCACTGACCATATCTTGGGAAAATATCCGAACTAAACTGAGCGCACAATTTTTTTGAGCCAGAAACGTCGCTACGCAACATGACGTAATATTGAGACATGATGCTCACGTTTAAGGAATGAGAAAAAAATTGAATTCCACCGATTTCTGCCAACAAAATTCGTTTTTCCGACTGCTTAATCTTTCTCCTTTGCACTATCAATACAGCCATTCCATTTCAATCTAAATTATTTACGTGTTTAAAATAAACTGCGTCTCGATTAATAACATCTGCGTCTCGATTATCCCTTAAATAGACGTCACCTTTTGTGGGGGTGAGAAGCCGAAATGACTGGCCCCTTTAAGCACAAGGAAGTTCGGCTCTTAACACTACACATATAAATGTTGAATTTATTCGATACACAAAGACAACGACATGTTACTGCCATATATTTCGAACCTTTGAAAAACTTCCGGTTTACGTTCAAAGGCCAATCTCATTGTTTCAGAGAACTTCGCTGATTTTCACTACTAATATCCAAGTTCCTGAGCAGCAATTTCGATACTTTTTATGCTGTTTACTTTAGGAGTTCGAGTTCCTTAATCGCAACTACAACCGTTTCTCACCTCCGCCTGTATGGGTGACAGAGAAACAACTCACCTAATCTACAGTGGTAGTTAAATTGTATATTGTTGCTATGTTGAAGCTTAAAAGCTTTGTTTGAAAATGTAAGAGGAAAATTTCACAAATAAAACCTCGAAATACATCAAAAAACAGAGAGAAAGGCATGTAACTACAGTTTTATGAAATTAAAAAATTGTTTAAATATTCAGTTGTTGAGGAACTCAAATATCTCTAAGAAGAAGTTTCATCTTTGACTACGCTTACTCAGTACAAGGGGATTTTTCTAGACTCCGGCTGAACGCCAGCATTGAAACAGTGAAACTTTTAGCACTAATTGTAAAGAGGAAAAAAATCTCCGCTCAAAACGTGACTCGGGGGTCAGAAATACAATTCCTTACGTCATATTTACTCATTTGATAATACAAGCCGAGGGATGAATAATCCTTTCAAATCTCAACGTAGATTCAAGTCTGCATTGCAAAATACGAGAGATACGACGTTTTAAATCCAACAATGTTCGCCTCTTTTGAGTATCAGGACAATTTTCTCTTTAACGTGGGTAGTTTGCAATTTTCTGGGCGTTTTGGCCAGCAAGGCAAACAAAATATTAAATAATAATGACTTAATCCTACATGTACGTTTCGCGTATTATGAGAACCTCGACAACAAATAATTGACGATAATTGAGAATCAGGATGGTTTGTCCTCGAAAGATGAAAAAATCAGATCTGAATAGAAATTCTGATCGCAATCATTCAGGCCCTGATGTAAACTTGTATTAGTCGGAGGGAACAACTTCGTTTTCGATAACTTGAGAGGTTGCTAAGGAATAAACAAGACTTCAACAAAAAGGAGCCAATCTCGCCTTAGAATCCGAGAGATATTTTGATTAAAAAATATAAAAAACGACCTTTTCCGATTCCGAAACGATAGCTAACGAAAGCAACAATTGTTCTCCCGACTAACGTCGACAATGTATTACTATGGAATAATATATACCTTGTGTACAGAAACAAAGCACACAACTACTGTTAATTTAAGAGACAAATATCCTGATGCGTTGTACGACAGGGTTACGGCACATTGGACAGCTGGTTATCGAGCTGGAGCAGTTGAAACAACAACAAACGTGACCACAATTCAGCAATACCACGTCCGACTGTTAATAAAAAAAAAAAACACGTCAGTGAAATAAGGAAAAAGATATACCTGTGCCATGAACGAGAAAAATAACGCATTTCCTCCAAAGAACCACTCAATATTCATCAAGGGGGGGAGGGGGGATGGTGGGGGGTCAAATGGTTTTCAGGGGGGACGGAAGGGGGGATCGTTCGAATACAACAGAACCTTATGGGGGGATCAGGTAAATTTTATTGTTAGAACCAAATCCTCTGACCCCCCCCCTCCTCCCCCTAGCTCCGCTCAAGAGCTAACGATCAAAACGTGAGCTTTTCTAAGATATTTTTCCCTTAATGAACAACAAAATATTCGAACAGTCTGCCAACGCAGCGAAAAAATTGCCTTAAAATGAATGAGATTTATGTACAAAGAAATATCTCTGTTTGTCTCAACCTGACTTTTTTCTCCATCTTCACATTCCAGTTCTAAGACGTCACGCTTGGTAGCGAAAGGCGAGTATCTACTTACCCTTTGGTCCATGCAAATCACGCATTCCGTAGTCATGTCACGGTGTTCAACTATAGGTGCCACCGGTGTGTTGGAGCTAGGTGGTTGAGGGACTGGTACCTGTAAGGCACAAACATCTGTAAGGCACAACATTCCATGACCGTTACATAACCTACAAGGCTAACAGACCATCCTCAAGACAGTGAGATAATTTGAGGTGCTACCAAAAGTATTTACACAATATGTAACTTTACCGGATGGGGATGAAATAAAACGCGAAGCAGCTTCTCAGAGTTGGGCAATCGAGTCAATAAACCACGTTCATATTAAAAGGTATGCCTTTACTATTACAAACGCTTTCACAAGTCGCACTAGCTCTGCTCTTCAGACCAGGAAGAATTAGGAAAGATAGAATGAGGAATAAAGTAAGAAAGGAAGGGAGAGGGGTGGGGTGGTGGGGGGGGGAAGGTCAGGGAGAAAGAGAGAGGAAAGAGGGTAGAGGAAAAGAAAAGAAGGCTAGTAACGTCGACTATCTTCACGCAACAACATGTTATGTACAACTCACCTCAGGGTTTTCAATCTTGCTTTCTTTTTCCTTCGCCTTTGAATCGACGCGAAGCCGTTCCTGGACAACGTTCATTATTGCCTTTCGAACTCCAAGCTCGTGTATACCCAGCTAATCAAAGCAAAACAAAGCTTTACGATGTATCAGGAATGATATTCAGCCATGGTTGAGGGGGGAAGAGCGAAAATACGCCAGTGGACGGCGGAGGAGGGGCAGGGGAATAGGATATCATCTCCTTTACTGAAAATAGGGGCAATGTTCTGTTACAAATTTTATGAACCCTCTTCGTACGACACCTCATAACCCTTTAGTTACCCCTTTAAGACAGGACTTGAACAGAGCGGCTGATTACTGCCTCAGCATGCCCTCGTTTCCCTGACATGAGGCAGGATACGAGGAGAAATGGTGCAGCTGCTGGGCGAGAAGCAAGATTATCGCAGGTTAACTTCCAGCCGGCGAACCGTTGAAACTCCTGGGTGGTGACAGCCACTGCGAGAGTAGAGTGTCTCGCTCAAGAATACAACACAATGTCTCTACCCAGGCTCGAATTCAGACCTCTCGATATGGAGTCTCCTACACTCTAACCACCTGCAGCTCCTTAACAACAAACAGACAGCAAACGGAGACTTCATCACTCACCTCCTTCAGTTCTTGGTCTGTCATGGTTTTAAGCATTTCCCACGTGATTCGGTGACGGGCAAAGTGCGAGGCGTAGTCCTGAGCTTCAGCTTCTGCGAGGATATCGGAAATCACACCATCGCACTGCTGTAATTTCAAAGAAAAAATTCTTAATTCTAACTTGATGATTACTTTCACTGGAACCTTTTTCCAAATAACCTCAACTCAAGACATTATTCGAAATTACAGTTATTTTAAAATAATAGTATAGATTTAAAATCAGTCAAGGCCATTCAACGTTCGATATTCCGTATTTAATCGAATAAGCGCCCACCCTGTAGGTAGAAAAATTTTATAAGCGCCTTTTAGTAATCGAATAAAAGATCACCCCTCTACCCCTCCCCTCCCTCCCCTCCCCTCCCCCCCCCCCTCCCCTCCTCCCAAAAACAAACAAACAAACAAACAAAACCGAAGGGCACAGAAGGAGTATTGATTATCATCTCTTAACTGGCTTACAGTCACTAAATTAACTGTTTATGGTAACTCCTCACGTTTTGTTAATACTTATTGTTTACTGAGTTGCAAAATAAACTTACTACTTGTCGAAAATGGTGAAAATTTAATAATCGCCCACCTCGAAAAAGCACCCAACTCAAGTCCATAAGTTTAATAACCACTCAAGGCTCTCAATCGAATAAATACGGTATCACTATTCTCACATAATTACAAGGCTCTTTGTACCTTCGCAAGCAGAGTATCTGGTTTGCTTTCAAGGAGCCTCTGATACTGAATCAGCCAGTAATCCTCAATATCCGTTTCTCTCTTGTGTTCCATCTCAACCTGACCAAGAAAAGCACAGAGGTTCCTTTAAGGAGTGTAAGGCACTCAAACAAAAATTTATTTAAGCACTTATCACCGGGTTAGAGAAACCACAGACTAAAACTGTAGAAGAACTCGAATAAACTTACAAAAATGTTAAAGAGGATCATGAATGTGAGAAAAAAGGACAGGTGAAACAGTTAACAGTAAGTCTAACCTTGAAATATATGTATGTCATCCGATTTTTTCAACGTTTATCTTAAATTGGAATGAAGTGTAGTAAATTAAGTCTCCGAAACATTGTTGTTTGTTACGTGACCATAAGTGCAAGGTTTAGATCGAACCATTCATGAAAATAAACAAATGTAACTAAAATACCACTTCATTTTTACTATAAAACATTGGTCAGCTAAATTCATTACTTTACTGATGTTAAGGTAAGCTTATACACCAAAAACTTACAAGTCTCTTCATAAGCTCATCTTCTCTCTTCTGTTGTTCGCTAACAAGCTGAACCATCAGACCTGTCAAAGCTTCTCTCCTCGATTCCAGCGCAGCCTGAATGACAACAACGAAACGGTTAACTAAGTGTCCTCAAAAGATAATGCACTCTTGGTACATTACCATGTTCTACAGCGAAAAAGAACACTGCCCCTCTGAGCTGGGTCGCTTATCATTCCAGACAATAAAAGTGAGAGATGTCTGAGCACAAAAACACTTGCACAGGAGATTGCAGCGTGCCTCGTTGTCCCGCTTACGAAATCAAACGCAAACGAATCTTAACTGCAAGTTTTTGACGGCGACAGCCATTTTTACTCTTCACGCGTGGAAAAAAATCCCTTTTAACTTTTCGTTTTCATATCTCAACGTTTTCTCAAAGATCTACTTTCGCAGTGCATTGAGGTACCAACAATAGTGAGTATAGCGCTCAAAAACTTTTAAACGGAGGAAGAGAGAGAAAGGATTTGGAAAAAATATAAAAAAGAGAGAGAGAGAAAAAGAGAAAGAAAAGAAAAAAGAGCCATCCAGTCGAGGCAGAAAAAAAGTAAAACATTCGCTTCACCAAAGGAAAAATCAAAAAGAAGTTAAACGATAAGAAAGGCACCGACATACCCTCTCCGCATCTTGGCGTTCATCTTTTTTCTCCAGTTCTGTTAGCGTCAATTTCGTGAGCTCGTCTTGTAGCATTGCAATCTGAAGTTAAATTTAAGACTTTCGTGTTTAAAAATTATCTAAAGAAAAGTACTACAAACTTTCAAATCAAGGCAAAAGTTGTACAGATTTTTAGCGTCACCACAAGGGAGACCAGCGTAAAGTGGAAATACGGAAGAAGTGAGCTATAAGTACACGAGGAAATCGAAAAAAGAAACTATAATTGCACGAGAATGTCATCACTTAAAGATGAATATGTTACTTAAACTACTTTGGGCGCTAGTTGAAAAAAAATACAATCTTTCAACATATTAAATTTGATTTAAAAACATCGACACAACTTCTTTACCTGGCCGGTAATTCTACGATGTTTTGCGTCCGTTTGTAGCTGGAGAACTTGGATCGCTTCCATTTGTGCGCGTTCCTTAAATAAAAAAATAATACAATTACAGGTCCTCTATTACCAAGTAAGCAAAAAGGAATGCGAAGCAAATCTGAGCGGCGAAGTCACGGTTTCACTGGGGATCCCATCTATTTCGGCCTTAGGCCATTACACCCGAATTTAGGTGAAAATTTCTAATGATCACGCGCAAGTGAGTCGGAAACCACGAGGTCATAAATGTGTGTTGTTGATTTGTTGCAAAGGAGTATTTTGTTTATTGACTCGTCATCATCGCTACTACACCAAAAGAAACTGAAGAATTTAAATGCAATGTATGTCCTATTATCAAACCTCTTTGGAAATCTCGGAGATCAAAGTATCTCTGTCCTCATACTGTTCATTCAGAATGCCAAGCAACCGTACGTCTTCTTCCAAAGCCCTGGTGAAAAAGACACTTGTACACAATACGGAAACGATAATTATCATTATTCATAATACTAGACTGACAAGTACCAAGAGATAATAAAGTGTTATAATCTCTTGATAGTATTCTATTATTTGCTTATTTCTTTCTTGTTCAATAGAGCTCAGTAACCTGATGCATAAAGTGCCTTTTCAAAATATAGTGGTCATAACACTTGTGACGTCATCACTTTCACGTCACCCGATTAAGCAGCTATTCATAGATTCAGGGTAATTTAGTATCATCAACTGAGTTGGTAACGTAAATTGACCACCGAAAAGGATTTAAAAGCTGACGTTTCGAGCGTTAGCCCTTCGTCAGAGCGATAGACGAAGGGCTAACGCTCGAAACGTCAGATTTAGAAACTATTTCCGGTAGCCAATTTACATTCATATCTATCAGTTCAGTTGATACAACCAAATTATCTTGTAATTCATCCCACCAACGCAGCATCACAGTTTAGTTTAGAAACTTACCCTCTTAAAACATTAATACAGCACTGTGTAAAGGAGTGGCGCCTGTGTAGCACATTTTATTGCATTGATGGTATCAAACTGATTGAATTAGTGAGGTAGATAAAATGGTTTTGCGCAGTTTCTCAACTACGATGTAAACAATATTATGCAGTATTCACGCTGGAAATAAAAACTTATTTCTTACTCATTCATGGCCTGACTAGCAGTCCTATCTCTAGCCCGTTCGTATTCTCTAATGAGACGACTCTGACTTTCTTGACTTTCCAAAAGACGAGCCATGGACACTAAGGGAAATGAAACAGGAAATTGACAATCTGTTGCATTACGACGGACACTGTGTTCAATACTATGATGTATTCAGATTCCTCTTATTAACTCTGGATAACAAATGCTTCAAAATAGCGGTAACATTTTGTGAAATGACTTCAGTCTTCCATATACTATGAAGACAACCACAAAAACTGAATTCTTTCCGAAGGAAGGTAGGAAAAGAACTTGAAAAGAGATACCAGAAAGCAGAAGGCTTACTAAGACAGGTTCATCCCTAAATCATTTCCGTCAATACGGTTCTACAAGAGAAATTTTATCATATGTTTTAAGGCAAAAAATCATGACAATGCCCGTGTTTTCTACGATGAAGGAGCCTATTTATCGATGATAAATTCTAATGATTTAGTCGCAAATAGCAACCTCTTGAGTCATAGAGATTGTAATTAATTATTACCAACCTAACATTTCTTCTTTTCTCAGTTTCTCGGCCTCTTCCTGAGTCACCTTCACCAGTTGCTCAGTTCTCATTCTGCACAGAAAAAACAAAATGTCTTAAACCGACTGATCTCCACCAATCATTAACCTCTTCTAACGATACGACAGCTATTCTCAAATTTCTCAAATTTCTCAAAGAAAACAACAAAAATCCTACCTTTCTTTTTCCATCTCATCCAAAATCATTTCCGCCTTCTGAGCTCTAGAGTCCAACAGCCAAAAGTTAATAACAGTGTGGAACAGCTTTCAAAAGGATGTAAAACTTATAATAACGAAGAATGTGTAATTTAAGTTCCCACAGTGTAATCTAGTTCAGTCGTGTGAAAAATTTATCGCGCAAGGTATCCTTTTTCTATTGACTCGAACTTTCTTAAAAGCCCACAAAAATTTCTCAAACGGCCTCGGACGTCTACAAACTCCCCTCGACTCTCGATCCTCAAAGTTTTCGAGAATCGAGGATCAAGAATGTTGCATAGATCGAGGTCGAGTTTTGAGAGACTGTCAACGCAGTATTGGAGCAGAACAGCACGTATCTCCAAGAAAATCAATCAAAATTTACTAATCAAGTGGAATCTTTCGTGCACATAACAACGTAGAACTTAGCCAGCAAGTAGAACCTCATTATAAGCGCTGCAGGACGCGTGTTTCTCCATCCGAGGGAAAATTTGAGACGAGTCTTGGAGAGGTTTGCCGGAGATCTGAGCACTATAATAATTATCAGTGCCAGACCCCTAGCAGATCTCTCGCCTGTTCCCATTGCTCAAGGCGTCACATTGTCCCGCAGGCGAAGAAAATCTCGTGTTGAAGCGCTGATAATCAGGGCCTACTCGCAGTCTACGTATACCCAAGCAGTGACTACAAACGAACCTGGTCATGGCCCTTGATGTAAGATATAAATGATGCATGTGCACTGTACTGTGTGAATGAATAATGAGGTTGACGATGAGAGAAAAGAAAGAAAAGCAGGAGCATTACCGTTCATTCACTTGCAAAATCATAGCCACAGTGTCATTGGTGAGTTGTTCATCTGAAACATAAGTATTGAAAATTCATCAAAAAAGTGATAAAAAGGAATGATGGATATAACAGAATGAGGGCTTCTAATAAAGTTGAAGAAAAATGCCACAACAAGGCAGAGCAATGAATTTTTGTTGCTGTTGTTTTGTATTGTTTTGTTGTTGTTGTTGCGGTTGATTTCTTTCTTGTTAGCCATAAGGATTCTTCCATATCCCATCCCATAAGACACACGATCAACAACTCAGAAGTACTGTCAAACAGCAAGATCACCAAAAGTGATAAACGCTACCAAGTGCTCTCTATTGCATTGCACACACTGTAAGGCATATCTAACTTAAACACACATAGTACCTGCTGCCATTGCTGATACAAGCTTTTTTCTCTCAACCTCTTGTTGCTGTTGCTGCATCAATGTGAGGTCATCTATTTCTGCTTCAGTCTACAAGTACATTTAAGTGCATGAGAAACTATTGTTACCCCTCAGCGGCATCACACATTGTTCAATATTTATTTATAAAAAAAGAAGAAAAGCAGATGGCAAAAATTTGTTTTGCAACTTTCCGAACTGCCTAGATGTAAGGAAAGGCCGCAAACTGCCATATGCTGTTTTAGTCCACAAACCTAACAACCCAGGTCGACCCATCGTTTCTGCCTGCAGTTGTCCCACCGAACTTATTTCTAGCTATTTAGACAAAATTATGACACCTATCGTCAAAACTTTACCATCTTACGTTAAGGACGGCCAACACGTACTTGAAATTTTTCGTGACTTTAGTTTCCTCGGCCAAAACAAACTTATTTTCACTATGGATATTCCATCTCTTTATACTGTCATTCCCAATGATGAAGATTTCCGGGCCCTCAAACATTTTTTCGATCTTCGCACTGTTAAGGAACCTAGCTCTGAAACACTACTCCGTTTGGCCGAACTAGTACTCAACCTCAATTGCTTTTCATTCGGTGGTAACTACTACAAACAAACTAATGGCGTGGCCATGGGTACTAAAATGGGACCCAGCTACGCCAATCTTTTCGTAGGTTTTATCGAACATCAATTTTTTAGTCAATACCACTGCCAAAACCTGAACTCTACCGCCATTACATCGACAATTGCATGGGCGCCACCCCCTCTACAAGAGAGGAATTCACTCAATTTATAACTGCCGTCAATTCCTTTCACCCGGCTCTTAAATATACTTGGGAAATTTCCGACTCTTCTTTGGCTTTTCTAGACATCAAAATTTAAATTGAAGACAACGGTTTATGTACTAGTGTTTACTACAAACCTACAGATTCACATAGTTACTTGTTGTATTCATCTTCACTCCCATCACACGTCAAGAACTCCGCTAAACACTAGAACAAAAATTTATCCTCCAAATCGGCACCCTTAATCCCCACGGAATCAACGAGCGTTTTTCATTCAACTAATTTATTCCTGTTTTCTCGTCAACATATTTCCACCAATAGCGGAGCTCCACTTTCTGCATAGAAACCCACACACAACCCACAATTCCTCCTATCGCTCTGACGAAGGGCTAACGCTCGAAACGTCAGATTTTTTACCCTTTACGGTGGCCAATTTACGTTTTCAACTCAGTTGTTAACACTAAATTACCTAATAATTATAAAAGACTAGCTAACTGCCAAGACCTTGTTTTACCCACAAAGCTGACAATGCTATACATGCACATCAAGAAAATTGAGAATTATACAATTGGCAAGACACTGATAATAATTGTACATATTAATTACATTTTTTCTAGTAAAACTATTCAGAAATCTTTCAAGAGGGTGGGAGGAAACATTAAAGGCCCACACATCACGAGAAAACTGCCCAGCAGAGATCATATGATCATTTCATTAAACGCCACAGCTGTGATTTAGAAAGAAATTCCTGTTTTTTTTTCTTGTTGTTTTTTTTTTAATCAGCTTAAGGTAAAGAACAGGCTTTGATTACCATTCGTATCTTGTCCATAAGGTCAGTACGTTGTTTACTAGCTGCTGCAGCGAGAGCCTGCTGCTCCAGCTCTGTTTCATGAAGCTGTTTCTCTATTTCAATCATTTGCTGTCGTCTCCTTTCCTGTGGATCAAGACGTCATGAGGATAAAATACACTTTCACAAGTGAATGTCATTTAAACCCCGGCTGAGCAGAAAGCTCTAATGGTGACTTAGGAGATAGTCAGCAACTCTGCAAAGCACTCATTAAGTATCTTGACCGAGTGAAACCTTCACCTCTGTTTCCAAGTTAAAAAATTAAACATTGCACCATCTTCAAGTAAATACTTAGTCACTGGCATGCGATATGTCAATGTGTTAAACATGAATGATACTAATGATAAACATGTACAGTGTTAACCGTTTTTGTAAATTAAATGCAAAAACCAGATTGAAATAAAACGGGAACGAAACAAGGAAAAGTAACAACAAAAACGACTCATGGAAATTAAAAAAAAAGGTGACATGCAAACCTTCTCTGCCTCATGCTTTGATAAAGTGCTCTGAAAACAAAAATGTTCGTGTGTGAAATAATGAGGAAATAATAGGGAAAGCTTTGTGAAAATGGTGAAATGGTACATACAGATCAGTGAGACCAGCAGGTGTCGTCAGTTGCACAACTGGTGTCAATGTCAAGAGCAAAAGTTACTGTAATTTTACCTTTGATATCTGAACCCAAAAGCCCTGCCTGCACTAAAGTAAAGTTGTGCAACATTTTCCAAGCAAAAACAAAATACGTCATCTTCAATTTGATCACTTGAAAAAATTTATAACTTACTGCCACAAGATCATCCACTGGTGTAGGGTTCAATTGTTTATTTGAAGCTGTTCCATTTCCTATTGGATCAGAAAAGAAAATGAAATGAAAGCATTGGGCTAAAAACCTGTAACATCAAAACAATACTTGCACCATTGGATGATAGAATACTCTCACACAATAAAAATATTAATTCACTGGACAACTGTAAAACTTGAGCGTCAATACTTGTTATTTCAGTTTATTAATAACTCATTAATAAATCAGAGCAGCTTCAATTGAGTGTTGAAAGTAATGTGGGATTGCTTTGTATCTTCTTTACTTTGCTCTGTGATTAGTCCAGAAAACGTGCACTACTCTCTCAACCAATCAGATGTAAAAATAAAACAAATCTGCCCAACTATGTTGACCATACCATGTGTAAAAATAAATTAAATAAGTGGGCAGTCCCTAACAAAAATTTGAACCCTGGGTTTGGTTGTCATGGCCATGAAATCAAGAAGCCAAAGATTGCTATATGTGGCAACCCACAAGTGGGTGCAGCAAGACGTGTTTAAATCTGCTGATGTGTTGGTTTTACTTTCAGCTCTCATTGACTCTTAAGGGAATTTTCCTTTCTTTGCATTAGCTGTTGTCAGTGATTAATTTGACTTTGGTTTTACAACACTCAACCGAAAAACTCTCTTATGTGTAGATAGAGCATACCCAGAACATTTAGTAGATGCTTGGATGGAGGGACATACTCAATTTCAGCCACTATATGAAAAAAAAAATTATTAACACTCATATTAATCACCATCTGATCATTATTAGATTGAACGATGACACCAAGTTTGACATCAATAAACAATATACTGGTCATGGGGGAAAATACACATTTGATACAAGTTTGAAACTAAATCCTAATTGGCATACCTTTGCAAAGATATTTCATAATGGAGGCTGTTCCCTCAGCTGCCACATCTATGAAAATGAACAGACAATCACATAATTCTTCCAAACATTTTTATTAACTTAACTGATCTGTGTAATTCTGCAGAAATGATCACTGCAAACATCTCTAACAAATAAAGATCTTGATTACCTCTGGGTGGAAATGATACTTTGTTTACATCAAGAATAATGTTCTGAAAAAAAAGGGATTATATTTTATTCAAGTGTACAGGCTTTGGTAAATCTGATAAGGTCTGTGCATGATACTTTCAATCTTGGGACTCCTGGGTTACAAAAAGGTATTCGGCAAGGTATTGGAGGTCTCAATAAATTGAATTGAGTACATGCATTCAATGGACAATTAAATATACTGAACTTTACTTTACCTCCAAAGTTCTCACATGAGCCAAAGTTGGGGGAACTCCAGGCAAATTGCTGTTTTCAGAAATATTCAGTGTCCTCAAGCTTTTGAGATTTCCTATTTCAGGTGGGAGGCCACGAAGGTCATTTGCTGTAAATAACAACAACATGAAAGTCTTCTATAAGCCTCTTTACTTGTATGAGAAAACATAAATTTGACTGAGTGCAGGTGGAAAGAATACAACTGTACCTTGAAGGATTAAGCTTTGAAGAGATGCTAAGTTTCCAATGCTGGGAGGAACAGCTTTAAGTTTGTTCCCTTGAACATTTAGCACCTGAAAAACCAGAAATTACTCCTCAGACATAACAAAGGGAAGTGACTGTAAAATTTTATTATGAAAGTTTCCTTTTGGCAGGATGGGATTAATAAAATAATTTTAGTGTGATCATGAGAATTTAAACCAAAGAATAACACTCTGACTACTGACGAGCACATCACTGTTTCCTTTTGTAGCAGAGTAAATAAAAGTTCAGTAAATTACAATTTTTAGGTTAGCTGGTTTTAGGTCCAAGGAAAATAGAGGGTAATTTAAGTTGTCCAATGGGATTTTTTCAATAGCGGAAGGTTGTATGATTCACTGCATTTAAATACAGTTTATAGAACAGCTGACAGTATACCTAGGGTGCAGTTTCCCACATTATGTGCATTGATTGTAATTCTTGCCAAGATAAGTTTTGAGTAAACAATTTTAAGGCTATCCTCTTAGAAGTAATAACTTCAAATCACTGAATAGATCTCTGTATGTAAATTCTTGTGGTTGTTGTTTATGAGAATACAAGGAATCTGGACGATATTTTTTGTAAGAAAAAGCTCCTTGTCGCTAAACAAGCCGTCCATAATGACAGCACAAATTGTTGTGTTGTATTAATTTTTTTACTTACCCATAAAGATCCTTCATGAATAATTTCATGAGCTGGCCCCTAAAATCTCTCTGTATGTAAATTCTTGTGGTTGTTGTTTACATCTGAAAGATCTCCCACAAAAGAATTTTGTCCAATGATTGCCCCATTCAACCTATGCTTGTTGGTGGGTATTTACAAGCAAGTAACTACACTGCTTTAATTACATGTATCTTGATAAAGAAGATGGCTTAATTGTTTGCCAAGTCTTTGTATCACTAATGGACAACCGTGAGCAGGTGACTTTGGATTAGAAGTTTTTGTTTTGAGCCCTGACTGGCTCATTGTACTGTGTTCTTGAAACAAAACATTAAGCTTTCACAGTGTCTTGCTCCATCCAAGAGTGTGGGTGCTAATCAACTGTCAGTGAAATCTGAAAAAGTACAGGGCAGGGAGGGAGGGAAGAAAGGCAAGCTAATAGATATAACCAGTAATGGACTGGCATCCAGTACACAGGAAAAACAGAACGGGGGCGTTCATTGGAATTAAGGGGTGCTTTTTGGTAAAGGGGTGCTTTTTGGTAAAGGGGTGCTTATTGGAATGAGGGTGCTAATACTCAACGGGGGTGCTTATTAGGATAGGGATGCTTATTTACATCTAAAAAAACAAATTTAAGGGTGGAGGGCTCTAATTAAAGAGGGAGCACTTGCTGAAAGGAGGGCACTAAATTGAATCATTACTGACAGTACTCAGACAAACTTATCAGCTGGAAGTTCTTATCTTGATTTAAAATTATATTTTCATAAGTAATTTATGAGTTAATGAGTAGCAGCTAGAGAGGAGAATTAACTATCAGATCTTGGGGGTTAAAGGGCTAATAACTAATAATTTACCAAATGAATATGATGTTAATTGGGCATTTTTCATTACCTGTAGTGATTTCAGCTCATCAATAGCTGCAGGAAGGGCTGTTATATGGTTATCATGAAGATCCAACACCTGGGAGGAGGCAAATTTAAAATACTTTCAACTCTGAATTCGATAATTAAAATAAACAGTTCTGATAATCTATGAGAAGGAACATTAAATTTATACTAGCCAGTAACAAGGGGTTATTAATGTGTAAAATGTCGCAAACTCTAATGATAATGATAAGGATAAGGAATTTATATAGGGCTAAAACTATAAACAATATTCAGAAGCGCTTCACATAATTTAAAGTTCTATACTAATTACTAAGAAAGAGTTTGGGTGTCAGTCAAGCTGGACAACCTAAATTACCCTCTATTTTCCTTGGAGCTAAAACTAGCTAACCTAAAAATTGTATCAGTAGTCAGAGTGTTATTCTTTGGTTTAAATTCTCATGATCAAACTAAAATTATTTCAGAAAAGAAAGGAAAATATCATTATCAATTGCTACATTAGTATTTCAGAATTTATTGGTAAATTTAAGTCTATTTCTTAAAAAAATATCACAAATTGACACAAATCAGTATGATTGTCATATCTCACCCTTAGATTTGACAGATCCTTTAGGTCTCCTCCACCTTTTAGATTTGATAAATCATTGTCAAACAATAAAAGTGCCTAAAAAATAAAAAGCATGTTGAAAAAATTTTAATGATACATTTACAGGGTTTTGTTAAACACTGGTTACAGGTGGTCTATAGTTACCTATATAACCTCTCACTGCTGTCTGTTCAGCTTACAAGCAGGCTATGGTGTATGGATTTCACTTATCAGCATAGCCAGTTACTACAACATTGCCAGCCATTAGCCATTTATGGGAAAAGGTACTGAAAACCTCTGAATTAAATACTAACAATCACATCTTTCAGTCTGACTGAATTCTGCAAAAGCTCTCAGCATATTCACATCTGAGAATGGTGACAACTTGGTCATACCACATGGCATTGAAAATTAAGCTGATTTTAATTTTTGTGGATTTTACAAATGGATCTCTCTCCAGCAAAATACAAGTAAGGTCCTAGCAAAACAAAGCCAGGTTCAAACTGAAAAATAGTTGTTTCCACAATCTCCAACCCAAAAATCTGATCCCCAAAATGCAACATGGCATTAAATATCTTTAGTTTCTGTATTAAGAAGAACAACATCTGGTTAAAATGTTTATCATATTGTTCAGTAGTGGCAGTAACATTCATTAAAATAACTTTTAAAAATCACAATTTGTAACATTGATTATGGAAAACTTAAACTATTGAAATTAGGTACTGACAGATCCACTCTTGTTGATAAAATTATTTGCTCTGTAGATAAAGTTATGTTTGAACATACCTCTTTTTGAAGTACCCTACACAATGAGTACACTCCCTTAGGGACCTATAAAAAAAGAGAGAATTAAGAATATTGCAACCAATTTTCAGTGACAACTCAACACCTGCAAATTGGACTCTTGAAAGAATTAGCATGGCTACAATGCTTCAGCTGACAAAAAAGGCATCTCAATCCATTTACAATAAATTATATTTACAAATAAATCAAAACCTGCCGGCAGGGTTCAAAGACTTTAAGTTTTCCTTTCTTTTTCAATATTTTTACAGATTGAAAGAGTCAGTCAGAGCTCTCTTCATTTCAACTGATCAGTGGCATACAACTTTATGTGAGCAGCTCTGTATTCACCCTTATCTCTAACCTTCACACAACCTTTCTCAGACAGGAATTCTAAAAGTACAAAACTAGTCATCAAGCCCATGACTTTAAAATCCCTGAAAAAACACTTGTTTACAAATAGTTGTGTGGAGGTTCATTGGCACTTTTTTTTCAATTTAGCCTAATAATTTAACATTGTAAAATGTTACAAATTTAACTTAAATATCATTCATCAAAAATACAACTGTCAGTACCCTTTGGCTACATAGGAAAAACAAAATTCTTTATTTTGAAGCATAAGTTTCCTCTTCATAAATGGCATAAAACAAATAGTCTGGCTTAATTTTTCTATTTGGTACAAAAAACCAAATCATTTATGACAGTTACTCAAAAAAAGTTTGAGCTTGTAGCAGTTGATGACAGATTTCTTTGAACAGACAGAAAGCTTAGACATAAAATCTCAGACCACAATGTACTTTATGGCTTAAATTAAAACATAAAATCTAAAACTAGTGAAAGAGATTCCATTTCATCTTTTATAGACTATACACTGTGATGCAGTACTAAACAGAATTGAGGAAATAATTATGCTAGGGGAGGTGACACCTCACCATTAAGTGAAGTTGACTGAAAAGACAAGTTACCTTGAAATGATCATATAATGTTGTTTGCCCACAACAACCAGTGTTAAGACATTTCACTACATGATTTATGGCACCCACAGAAAATTTGATACTTTTTTTTAAAAAAAGGAGCTGTAGATGAGAGCTATTTCACTAGTTAATTGCATATCATGTTATTCTTATAACATTCAAAATAAGTCAATTTTCAATATTGCTTTACACATTCTTGTATATGATTCAAAAACACCTTCAAAATTCAAAACACCTTCCATGGATTTAAAATGTAAACTCTACAAGAAAATTACCTCCGTTGCCCCACATTTTGACAAATCAAAAGCTGGATCTGGAGAATCTTTTGCCTATCAAACAAAAGTAAACTTAACCTGACTATATATCAAATATTTTACTGAATATAACTTAACTCAAAATGTCAATTATAATTGGAGAATCTACTGAGTTCACCTGGGCTCAGTTGTATAACGAGTGGGTAACCTTACTCAGTGAATAAATCGTTATCCAGTAATTGCTTAGGGTTAGTTGTTGTGAGTGATAGCAAAAAGTACTGTGCTATCCACCAGATAAAGATTTACATGTAGTCATTGGATAGTGCAATCCAACTATCAAGCAATCCAGGCCAGATAAATATCTTGTTGATACCACCATGAAATATTAATTAAAAAACGTAATCCTCTCCCAGAACTTATTTCTAATCAGACCTCTGACAGCCATGATCACTGTTCAACAAATTATTTGCATTCTTGTCATCGGCATAAACAAACTCGGAGAACAGCATAGAAATCTGACTTAAAAGTTGAATAATCAAAGCTGGAACGAAAGAAAAAGCACATAAAACGCAAACTTGAGACAACTGTACAACTGTTGCGGTATTTGTTTTTTTTATCGAACCATCTTAGAAGAAGCAATCCCCCAACACAGTCGACTGTCACTTATGCATTAGCCATGGCCACCCGTACAACTTCAATTATTTGGCAGATTCGTCTTCACTATAAACTCTTCTCACATGCTTTTAAAAGGCGTACGAGTTATCTAACCACTAAAAGAGTATGTATTAAGGGATGACAACCGCTGTGTGTACCGTTCCTTCGCTAATTGACAATCATGCACAAAAATGAAACAACCAAGTTCAGTCTCTGACGAAATCAAAATAAACATTTCTACGACACTAATCGATGGTTTACTAACCACGACCATGCATCTTTCCACTCGTTTCTTTGACTCGTCTTTGCTCACTTTTCTTGACTTAAAAAGGGGCATCTCTGTGATCCAGAAGAGCAAGAAAGACAATTTAAATTAAAAGATGTTCACCATAATTCCAAGTTCAGCCATTTTGTTCTCAATTGCATTATGGGTACAAGCAATGACTCACATCAACTGCAGGTGCAGCGAACAATTTAATTTGAGGAAGATCGACGCGAAATTTCCACGGCACAACGTCTGTTTGAAATTATGGAAAAAATAATTGAAGGATCATGCTTTATTTCGAACACAACAGATTGCTGACATCTGCATGTACGTAAATGAGTGGGTGGATGTAAGACGTAGGTTCTTTAAATATACGGTTCGTCACGCAATCTGTCGGAGAGTAAACATTGCGTGATATAGCAATTTGAGTCACTAAGTTCCCACTTCAAAGTTTTTTTGTTGCTTGGGTGAAATTTTCAATCCATTTTCTTGAATGAATAACGTTATACCCTTGTCGGGTAATGTTATATATCACTCCCTAACATTCAGATATCATTTAAGAAAAGGAAATCGCAAGCAATTATTGTTTCTTGGATGACGAAGAAACTGTGAGGGAGCCAATCACCGAGGTTTCTTAGCAAGGCAGGAAATTGCTACACGGTTTGTGGTATTTTAAGATTTATTTCTTATATAGAATGTTTCTCTCCTTTTTTTTGTTTTGTTTCATTTTTTGTTTGTTTGTTTTCATAATAAACGCTAACGAGCTTCATCGTAATCTGGTGCACCATAATTAATATAATTGTAAATTGGATTATGAGCGCGAGATTTCTATCGCGTGATAGTTGATGTGGACAAATTTCGAATCAATTGTCACGCCTAGAAATGAAATGAAAATAATCTGATTATCTCAGCAGAAAGCTACTGGTCGTTCAAAACTTATATGTTACAAGCCAAGCCTATATTTCTATCGAATAATGATACCAGTAAAGTCAAACCAGGCACCACTCACTTTTCTCAACATCTATCACTGAATGGATAGTGTGTAACGTAGCAACCAATCATGCTCAGCTTGCAGCGTTTGCGACAGAACGCTAATAGATCTCTAAGGATGACTGCTTTGGTAAACGCACAATTTGTAAAGAAATCTTTTGTTCCTACGTATACACGTTGACCAAATACGAATTCTCCCTCTATCGCTTAGAGTCTTGCATCATTCTTTACTTATCACTCTAATGAAACCCCATGTTTCGACTTGATTAGAACCCGAGATGAAAAGATGAACTTTAAAGTGAGAGAGTACAAAAAATATATACATGTATAATAATAACGTTTTTCATTGGTGAAAACTGAATGAAAAAAAGAAGAAAAAAGAAAGATGCACCTCCCGGAAACATCACCATAAACTACTAGCAATTAAAATTGACTGCATTATGTTGTTAGGTATGCTCCAAAAACCATACAATTTTTTCCTCCGTCTTTGAAAAGTGTATCAAGATCTATTATTGAACAGATCCACGGCAACATAGAATCAACATAGAATTGGTTTGTTTTATGAAATTAAGGGGCAAAAACTTGTGCCGTCATTCCAATAGATTATAAGTACAGGAAACAATCAAAATGCACGTAGAATTCAGCTAATCATATAGATGAAATTAGAACTTAGGTCACATTTTTAGATTCCAAAGAGTGACTATACTCTTCGATGACGAAGACTGTCTTTAAATGAGCGAAACGTGATCTTTCAGCGATCTCTTTGGACAATGGGATCTACACAAAATTTGTTTCCAGAATCAAACAATGCTGGACAGTACTAGTAGGTAACAGTATGCAATCTCAAAACGCATAATTCTCTTGGAACATGAATTAAAGTGGCTTGCAGAATAAATATGTCGCCCACTCTCCATTTTGCATTAATCTTGCCAGTTGTTTCAAGTCCCATCTACATTCCCAGCCGCTCCGCCGCTCTTTAGGATGTCGCCCAACCGTAACCTCATTGCGTGTTGCCAAAGGGAAATCGATATGAATGGGTCAAAGTACTCTCCGATGAAAGACAAATTAACAAAACGTATCATTTGGACTGAGTTTTCAGGTGAATTCTACTAAGTTCTTGACTTCTGCAATAATGCGAAGCTCAGTCACTCTGCAACATAAACTAAGCGTAATGGATCGCGCAACCAAGTATATCGCAACCGAATATTGATTTAAGAGGCCAGGCCAGACCAGCCCATTTCTCGAAAGTCAATGTTATTACAAGCTGATCTTAGTCGATTATGTTTACAATCGAGATGGTATCAAGGACTTTGTTACCATCAATAAAAAGATGACAGGAATAATGATTGAAACAGAGTCGACTCCACCATTTTAAAGATTGTGATTCAAAGTATATGGCTTCGGGCAAGTTAAGTTACTCGGACTTCCATTAAACGAGCCCTGGGCTAGGGTCGTCTGAAAATGGTTTGACGAGGGAGCATCGACAAGCAACGGTTTTTTTACCTTCGTTTACAATCTTTAGCTTGAAACAGGGCAAGGAGGGTAAATTATCAAAGAGACAAAAGAATAACGAAGTTGCCCCCATTTTGATCTAAGGTGCATGCCTTAGTAAGAATTGTAGGAGCATGTTTACTCTGGCAAGCTTACAGCTTGTTTCCACAACTGACAATATATCAAAAATAACTTGGTGTCTCGTGTCAGAGCTTCTTGTCTTTTGTTTTGTTTTTTTTTGTTGTTGTTGTTCTCGAGATATCTCGTTGAATTACGTAACAATGGAAAACAGAAACTTATCTGTATGTAACCTATCTTATCTTATCTTATGTAACTCGCACATTATGTAACGTCCGGCTTTTAAGCGCCTCTTATGTTACAATTTCAAAGTCCAATTGTGCATCACCGTGAGAAATGTTATTTGACACGGACCGGGATGACAAAGCATGCACGTGCACAACAATCCTTTTGGGCCATTGGCACGAGATGTCTGCTATAAAGGCCAGCACTGACACACTTGGCTCATGAATCCCTGAGGACAGCGACAGATAAGCCAGAGGTACACAGCAATGACGATTATGGTAAGATTCTATGGCGTTGTATTCTCTTTAAAGTGACTTAATTCCAACATTTTATTGTGTTCGTTATGATGGCGAATGATCTGAAAGTATCAATGTTTAAAAGAGGGAATCGAAGTCGAATGCGTAATAAGTTACGTAATTAATTTGCATAACAAATGAAGGTGAAGTAATTTAGAGGTGCAGTTTAACTGAACTAAATGATCGCTGAAAATCTCCACATCTTGCGTCAGCAAATAGGTTTTTTGGCAAACGTCACCATGTGCTTGAAATTTTGATGCAGCCTAAAATCCACAAGCTGAAGGAATGATCTTGTGTCTTTAGTTTGGACATGATTGAGATTTTATAGCTTGGCAAAATTACGATGTTTTAGTTACGTAATCCGAAGCGCTGGCTCTCCAAAGCGTGTTGTTTCTATTCGAGCGATCTCTGGGAAAATATTTTTAAACATGTCAAAGATATCCTATTTTTCGTTCTTCAATTTTCTTTTCTTTTTAAACCTGAAATGGCGTGAGGGCCTGAAGAGCGAGTTGCTTTAAACCCGGTTTACTGCTGACAGTATACAGTTCAGAATGTTAAACTTCCGAAGAAGGTTTGTTTGCGGACTGGATTCTGTTTTCCTTAGGAATAAATTTTGCTGCTCGAGTTCAGACTTAAAGTTCGACAAGGGTGTGAATATTTTCTCTGTATCTTTACTTTTAAAATACTTTCCTTTGATGCCGCTCGTTTTTGTAGCTTCCTGGAAATCTACTAACTATGCACGTTGGCCATCACGCAGTAGCCTGCAGAACAGGCGTTATTTTTTTTGGCATTTTGTGGGCGCTTTGCGTGCCAATCAGAGAAGTAATCTGACATGCAAACAAGATCATTGCTTGCTACATAATCTTTTGACTTTGAAGTGTTTTCTTTGCAGATTAAGTTAGTTCTCCCACTTCTTGTGGTACTCCTAGTCTCCACAGAGTCTGAGAGCCTAAAGCTTGGTCGCTTATTTGGCAAACGTCCTTCAGGAGGATCCAGCTTTGCTGATTTTGCAAATAAAATTTTGTCTAGGCTTCCAAAGATTCTCGGATTTGGACAACAAAAGCCAGTTTCACCGACAAGTACACCTTCTCCTGATGGCTTGCCTTCATTCTGTTCTACGCACGACTGCCCTCGATTCTATGAAAAGATCAATGCATCGGATTATACTTTACGCTGTTATCCGAAGCCATACAAATGGGTCTCAACCACTGTCGAAGGTAAAACAAAATCGTTCAAGCTATTGATTAATATAGTTGGCAGCACTTAGCCCAGAAGCCTCGAAGTTGTGTAGAAAAGTGGCTCAAATGAAAAGTAGAACACTGAAGATGTTAGATTGCGGATTGCGATAAGGGAGGGGGGGGAAGGGGTGGCTGAAATTAGAGGAATATTTCATAGGGTACCCCAAACCCATCCCCCGCCCCCCCTCCCCATAGCCTCTTCAGTCGCAATCGATACTTTTTAGGCAACAAGCAAAACTTTGCAAACTTTCGAAACTCTTTGTGCAAGAACTGTTAGCTACTTTAAATCAATTTGTTTGATTTTTCTAAGAATGGAAGTTTCTGTAATCCTTTCCCGGTCCTGCACACCTCCTTGCTTCGGGTTCGCTTTGTACTTTATCCTTGTATAGAACTGATTATTAGTCTCGAACGAAACAGAAATGAATACATACCTTCAATGTTTCTAATGAACTGAAACATTCGCCTCAAGAACACTGCAAGCGCAAACACAAGGATTGAAACTGATACGCCTTGCTCTGAGGTTTTCCTTTTTCGGTGCGCGCGTTATGTTGCGACGTTTTCAGCTTCCTCAATGTTTACGACTGCGTCTCTCGATGATAATTCCTCGTCATCCTTTTGTATTTACCAGGCCAAGCTTCCAAAGACGCCAGCAGAACTGCCTTCTGGAAACTTTTCAGATACATCCAAGGCAACAACGAAGGAGGGATGAAAATCAAGATGACAGTACCAGTGACAAACAGCATGCAGTTGGAGGACCCTGAATCGAACACCTTCTACAAGATGAACTTCACCATGAGTTTCTTTATCCCTTACAAGCATCAGGAAGACGCTCCTGCTCCATCCGAAGAGGACGTTCATCTGTCAGTCGTGCAGCCTTTCTGCGCGTATGTAAAGGTATACGGTGGTTTTTCAAACATCAGGAAGGTGAAGCAAAACTACGACGCTTTGGTGAGGTCGCTGAAAAGGGATGAACTTGATGGGGATATCTCCACCGATACGTTCTATACTGCTGGTTACAACAGCCCAATGGAGTTATTTAACCGCCATAACGAGATCTGGATCGTGAGTAAGACGCACAGCCCAAATTCAAATGAGGAGATTGAAGAAGATTTTGAAATCGGCAATTTGTAGATCTTGAGCGTATTTTAGTTGCAACCTTAGTATCAGACAAGAGTTCTTTACGGTTTTCTCAGAAGTGACATGCAATAAATGTTTGCAAATGTTATTTTTTGATACCTTAAAACACTGCAGTAGAGCTTGTAACAAAAACTGAGGAAATCAGTCTGAAGTAAATAGAAATCAATGAGAACCAAAATCAGCATAACTCAGTCTTCGATTATCTTTCACTCCTTCAGAATTTTTAGTATATATAAATAGTGGTTGTGATTGTTCTCCATAATGCATATTAAATGTATTTTTTACATAAGAAACTGACCTCTTTACATGCAAGAACTGTTTAAAAGGGCTATTTGGCAAACCGAACAAAAAAAACCCTCACCCCTTCCATCATTTCTCCTTTAAACGCAATTTTTATAGGTGGAACGAATCTATTTTGAATGCCCCAAAGATTGCAATGCAAGCTCTCTTAAAAACTGTTACTATGAGAATGATCCATACGCGACTGAACTGTGTGGCAGGGGAAAATTTTACCAAAGGTATTTTTCATCACCCCCTCCAACAATATGTCGCCAAATTTCCACATTTGAGATAAAAGAATTGATCAGCAACGTATTATTACTGCCCCTTTAGATTGATCACTGCCGTATAACATTTCATACCCTTCCCTCGCTCCTATTTTCTCACCGTATACTGGAAAACGTATGAGAGAGGAACTATTCTTTTATTTGTAAACATAGAATGAAAAATAGTAAATTAAAAGTACAGCAAATAAAGAGAGAAATATACGTTTTTCGTCTCGCGACGAGCATGGGACTAATAACGAAAAAATTCTGAGTTTTCATGTGGAATCGAACTTCAGACCCTCGGTTTCCGCGCTCTGATGCTCCACAACTGAGTCACAGAGACACTCTGTTGAGCAAAGTTATTAACAATTTCGTGTATGACACACGTCCTGCATACCGTACTTGGATCAGCAGGGAAAAGCGTTTTTCCCTCAATCCAACGCTCGTGACAAGACGAAAAACCTTCCTCACCTTCACTTGTATATCATTATTGTTGAAATATTCTGTGCAAAGCAATAATTTCTGAGAGGTTAGGAAGGGAACACCTTCTGCTTTTTTTCCCAGCTGCAAAGATTGCACGTCAAATTAGGAGGAGAACTGAAACGAAAAGTGCAACTATTCCCTCTCGAGTTAAAATTACCATTTCCGAGGATGAAAATTGGACCGGACTGAGGATACGTTGTTCAGTACGGGTACATCAACTCCTTGTTTCATACTCACTCAGGATTCCCGACAAGAGAATGATCTTTCTATTATAAATGTATTCTGAGACAAATTTGAGTGATCGAACCAATGGCATGGTTCCCGTTGAGAATGTTTGTTCATAGGGCTCTTACGCTGAAGTGAGCTTGACCGACTGCTACGCAAGCTGACTAGGGTGAGCAGCTATATGTCCTAAATATCTGAGGATTTAATTTGCAAAAACCTAGAAATGTAGCTTTAAATAAAGGATTGTGGAGCCCTAGAATAACATCACAAACAGATTTTCGAGCAGACAATTTTAGAGAACGCTGTGAAGGCAACGTCTAAGAGGATATGAATTATTAAATATAATACATCCTGTCAAATTATGATAGGATCATGATTTGCATAACTGATAAGCCAGTGTCGGATTAAAATGACATTGCCATAAAATACGAAAGTTGTGTATTTCGCCTTTTACCTACAATTCCCGAAGTTATAATGTGTGAAAAAAGGAATTTCCCTTTTGTAGAAAAAAAAAATTGCTTCTCCCTTTGCAATGGATTGATCTAAATATTTCTTAGTCAACAAAGTATATTCTCCATATTGAAGTGGATCTTTCATGTTGAAAGAAAAGTACAAATTACTTGCAGAAAGGTCACTACCAAGAGCGAATTACTCGCGGTAAAGGGATCTAGTCATGACTTAGTCCTCGTCACGCAGGGAAATCACGCTTTACGGCTGCTCTGTTACGTCACAGAAAAAACTATTGCAACCCAAGTTCGACTAATTAATTATAAGCGTGATTAGAAAACCATGAAAGAAAATCAGTGAAGCTTGAAGACTAAAATTTACATAACACTCAGGTTACTTCGTTAAGTTAAGTTGTCGCAAAATGTTGGTGTCCATAAGCACAAAGCTGTTCAATTTTCACCTTATTTCAGTCTATTTAACGACTCTTCGCCAAAACTTTTATTAAAAGAGCTTCTATAGGCTTATTCATTAGACATTTGCGAGGATGGCAAATATTTGCTTCCATAGCATTTCAAGTACCAATTCAAAACATTGTAGTATTTACGTACATCAAGGACGTAAGAACGCACAGAAGTAGCTAAAGAATCAACAAGAACGAAATTGAAGAACTGATTAAAAACCTGATCAGGGAAAATATCCTGAAGACTTTCTTACAATATTCTGGAGGATTATACTTAAGACTTAGATGCACAGTCGGTTAAGATTAATGTGAAGCATACTTAAGAATTGAAAGCGAGGAAGTGAAAAGTGCCAGAGCATTAACTGTAGTCTGTAGGGATTTCGATTCTCAAAGGATGAAAAAAGGTGATACGTAGTTTCCTACCTTGACGCTGGTGCCTGTCGTGATTTTCCTTGACCGAGCGCGGTGATGGACGCGCGCTATTGATCGGAGACTTACGAACCTTTGATGGCCTGGATCCCATATATATTTTAGGACGGTTCCATGCTACCATTAATTCCCTAAGACATGTGAAAGTTCGTCACGGACTTAAAGAGAGCAAGGTCCAAGATTACGGTAGGCTTTAGACCCAGTTCACAGAGTTTGTTTATCATGGACAAAAAAAAAGCGAAATATGCGTGTAATTAACAGTCTCTAGAATTTACTGACTTCATTAACATATTGTGTTGTCACATTGTTTAGAGCTCAAAGCAAAAGATGAGAATTCAGAGAGTCTACAACGTTAACTTGTTGGATCAATATCAGTATCTGGGCAACTGCCCACCTACCCTTCCCCTAACCCAACATTAACCCTAGCCTGTTATTAATTGACTATCGTTGAGTTAGGGGGAGGGGTAGGTGGGCAGTTGCCCAGATACTGATATTGATCCAACTTCTTTAGTATAGCTCTCAGCAACATTAAAGCTGATATAAGCGTAACATCCCAAAAATATTTCTCTTGATACGGAACTTTTTAAGAGTCTCGCACATTTTGTATGTCCCTTGTCACCCCTCAAGCTTTTTCAAGTCTATCTCTTTCTCAACCCGCCTCCTCCTATATTTTCCCCTTTTGAAATTTCTGGAACACCAGGCAGTCATGGTATATGCCATCTCACGTACCCATTAAAATGAAACTTTGCCAGTCTACGAGAACACCAGGCAATCATGCTACATGCCATCCCACCCATTAAAATAAAACTTTGCCAACATAAAGGGTCTAACCCAAACTAACTGGTTTCTGTTTCTGATCCCGGCTTTTCTAGGTTTTCACAATAGTTAGAATGTATGAAGTTGTCACTGCAACTGTATTTAACCAATTACTCTGAGTGTTCACATATTGGTAAATCCCTAATCGGAATGCACGCAACAAGTGTCAGTCAATAGATAGTTTATTGCAGTTTCGAAAATACAGCTCTAGAGTTGAATTAGGTGATTCATAAAATACCCAATAAAACAACCAAATAAAATCGTCTATATACAATTGGTGTAAAAAAAAACTTTCCTTGAGTCTGTTCGTTTTCCAAATCGTGATATCTACGACTATTTCTCAGATTAAAATTACATCAGTTTATCTGGCTTTGGAAAATATCTGTTTAGTTTGTGATCAGAATTGTTTCTGATTTCCTGGAACATTTTGACCGTTTGAGCCTGTGTCCGATCAAAACGTGTCTCTAAACTAGTAAGCCCTGATACCTTTCGATAGATCACATGCGCATAGCATAGTGCGCTTCTGTAAGCCCTCTAATTCGTTTGACAAGTGGTCGGCTTGGGTACATGGTGTTAATTATCAACATCTGATTGACGGCTTTTATATCAAAAGAGGCAAATAATTGACTGTATTTTTAAACTTTTCGATTCATTCAAATATTTGGACATATTTGATAACTTTTAGGTCAAATATCTCCCCTCGCCAGAAAGCTACAACACCAGTTTTACAATCAGTTACGGTCAGGAGATTGTGATAGGAGGAAAGATTTTTAAGTCACATGCAAGTTACCGTATGCAACAACTTCAACTTTTACGGACAGTGGATGACGAGAAACTCTGTCCCCTCGCTTGAAAGGAAAATATCAATAGTTCTAACAAATTCCTGAATTTTTTTCTCACGAACATCAAGAAATTCCACGTAGAAATGGTCCGTTCAGGTGCCTCCCAAGAGGAAATAATTAACTTCTTTTTTACCAGAGTAGTAATAGAAATTGAATAAATGAGTGACATAAATTGTGCGATCAAAAATTTAAAATTGCTGACATCCTGATGCGTCCGTAGAAGAAGAAAAAGCCAAATAGTTGCTTTTGCCTTTTGCCATGACAGGTATTCAATCACGTGCAGAACGGTCACAACGTAATTCTCGTCACGCGATATAGTCACGTTTTGCGGTTCCTGTATGAAGTCACATGACTAATATTGCAACACAACAGTACATTTGCATATAAAAGATGTTGCAGCACTTTTGAAAGTACAATTACTTCTGCAAAATTAGCGACGAAGGTAGTGTTACGCCGACAAGTGTTGTTAAGCTTTTCAAAAAGGTGAGAGCTTATTCTCAAAGAGCTTTCAATTTTATTTTGTTCACAGCACTCGATTGTAATACAAATGAATTTGCATGTAGTTGTGTTTTCTATAGTGAATGAAATATTTATTGTTCCAAGAGCAATGAAGTTAGGAAAAACCGGATCGCGAAAACTTAGTTACAGCACCGAAACATAACTGTTTTGAAACAGTTCTTTTGACTAACTTGGCAATAGCGAGGTGCACTTGGGGATGAATTATGTCTGTGGCTAATGATTTTTCTTTAAGTCAAATGTGTTTCGATTTTTCTTTGCGAACTCGAGATTACATCGGTTACGTAATTCATCGCAGCTATTTTGTAAGTTTCAACGTAAAACATAGTGTTCCCTTTAGTCAAATCACAGAAATGTAATACAATGCTGTTTTTTAGATGCAGCGCCTCATCGCCCTTCTTGCTGTTGTCCTTCTGGCATTTACCGAAGCAAAACCGATGAACGGCGAACCAGCGTTTTGCAACGGAATTGAATGCCCCCACTTTAAAACTGTTAACAAAACAGCTAATTATGAACTCCGGTGTTACAAAGAAGACTACAAGTGGGCCTCTACAATTGTAGCTGGTATGATATTTTATATCTTTCCTATTTCCTCTCTAGAAATTTATGGGTAAAATTTCCGCACAGCCCCATACTACATTATGCATTCAGTTCTTGAATAGAGCAAACAATGACAAAAACAATACATTGCCATTGGGAAAACAGATTTGTTTTACAATAGTATGGGGCTGTACGGAAACTTTACCAATTTATGTTTCAATTATACTATTATGCAACGTTCCTTCTTAGGGGTTGTGTGACGCAATTTTGTAAGAGGGTGTCACATCACTGTCTATTCGTACCAATCTCACTACGGATCTTTTCTATCGTATATATGTTTTTTCTCTCACCTTTGATTTCTGAAATGACCTTCTAATTTCCTTTGATAGTCAATGAAATTTTTCATTTCATTTTTCTCGGCAGGTTACGAGTACGACAAGGCTGTTAATATGGGTTTCGAGCGACTGTTTGCTTACATAGAGGGCGGAAACGTACCAAAGAAGAAAATCCCCATGACTGCCCCAGTTGCTGTAGAAGTCCAACCAGGACAGGGTCCTTTCTGCAAAAACAACTTCACAATCAACTTCTTTGTACCTTTTGAGGATCAAGAAAACCCTGCCGCACCTACAGACAAGGATGTCTACATCTCAACCTTAAAAGGGTTCTGTGCATACGTTATAGTGTATGGAGGCTTCTCCAACATTAACAAAGTTCAGGAGTACTCTGAAAAATTGAGTGAAGACCTTGTGAAGGATGGACTTGGTGATTCATTTAGGAAAGACATATTTTTCACTGCTGGCTATGATAGCCCTTTTAAACTTTTTAACCGCCACAACGAGATCTGGTTCATTAAAAAAGACTCCCTTTTTAAACCCATTCCCTTCTAAGCATGCATTCAACCATTGGCTTCCTAAGTTAGCAAATAGCCTACAATTTATAACTTATTTTGAGCAGAATGGAAGAGTCATCTTTTTGATAGAAAAGTTATAAAAATTTGCTTTTAGTCATCAAATTTTGTTATTTTATTGGTTTCATAAGTTAGGTAATATGCTGAATTTTATAACTATTCTTAGCAAAATGAAGGAGTCTCCTTTTTGATAGAAAAGTTATAATTTTTTTCTGGTAATCAAAGTTTGTAATTTTTATTGGTTTCATACAGTAGCTAATATGCTGCATTTGTAATTATTCTTAGCAAAATTTGAGGAGTCATGCTCATGCTTGAAAAGTTATCAAAATTTGTTTTTAATTATCAAAGTTTGTGTTTTTTATGCAAGGTAGTTCTTTGACATGGGTTTCGCTCGTTATTAAAATTGTCATAACCATTGAAATAGTAAATTGTCAGTATTGGTACTATTAAGGGCTTAAATACTGCTGGTAAGGTTTCTCTGGTGCAAGGGCATATTGATCTGTCAAATATTAGAATTCAGGCTTCCATATAATGCAAAAAAAACCTTGTAATTCCTCATTGAATATATACCTGTAAGTCATCCCAAGGTCAAAAGCTGGTTGGGAAGTTCCTCTCCCTGGGTTGCACCCCCAGAAAAATATTCAGATCATTCAAAAGCCTGCAGTGCAGGCGTCTTATCAGTGCCAGCTAGCGTTATGGGTTCGCGATCGTTTATTCGACCCGCCATGTTTGAATTGCAGTTGGAGTGGACGGTGGGGGTAGGGGGCGGAGAAAAGGCGATCTTCACTCCGTTACCCCCATCCCACTGTTAATTTTTTATCATTTTTCGCCCCCTTAATACAAATTTCTTTCTCTCCCCAGTCTTCCGCTGCCATTAAAATAAAAGATGGCGGCAATAATTTCCGTTAAGAAAACACTGAGCACTCGCTCGCCAAAATTACGTCTGCTCTGTAGGCTAATCATTTAAAGAGAGTTTTCCAAATGAACTTGTGACAGATGTCCAGGTCATTTTCGTAGGGGAGTTCCCCTAGGGATTTAGATGTCTTCCTCGGACTGTGTCATGGTTGTCCCCACACCAAAATCCAACTGGCTGAAAGAAATATCCTTTAGGGGGTGGGATGATCACGTCAGATAAAACAAAAACATTTACAGCTACTTGACTCGGAAGTAAAACGTCGCATTTCATTCAGCACCTCTGACCATTTTAAGTAGAACATCAGGCCGCCGTTCGCTCTCTCTCCCTGAGTCACAGAAAACCTTGCCCTAGGAGAGTGGAGGAAGACAGCTTGAACTAATGATTGCTTTGCGGTTTTCGACTTTACCGGATATTGACTGCGTAATAGTTAGGAACTGTACAGAAACGAGACTGCTATGCGTAATTCTACAAAAAAATTACAACAATGATCCCTCGCTTCACGCCAAAACGTTTGAAGCTGTTACCCTCCCCCAGAGTGGAATAGATTTGTCCTCACTCCAGTTGACCTCCAACATACCGTTAAACAAGGGCATATGTCCAGCATACAATGTCGACTCGGAGGCCAAGTTATTCTCGTATCGCAAGTGTTAACGCCAGTCCCATTTTCCGCAAGCAGTCCAGTGTATCTTCGGCCGATTTCTTTGGGGAGCACCCGCCCGATAATACAGATGACGGATCATCCGATGGAACACAAAATGGCATCTGGAATACGACGAGGAGTAAACTCACACTGGTGTCTCTGTGTCTTGTTTACTTCGCGGCGACAGCCTCTTTCGCGATTCTCTCTCCCTTTTTTCCCGGAGAGGTATGATAAATTTATTATGGGAAGGGAACTGAAATAACGAGGGTACATTGTGCTACTTTCCACTCAAAGGGAGCCTGAAAAAAAATATACCGGTTCACTGCTTCACGATGCAGCTCAAATCCGACAACAAATTGCGTAAGGTTGTGCATGCAGGGAATAATACTATGCAAACTTCCACTGGAAAATCGTTCTCATTCAAATTGGTTAAAAATTTTGGTGAAAAGCAACATTATTTATCGTCATTTTCCCCTCATCTTCGACTGACTCTCCTTGATGTGTTAATTAACTTCTCATAATCTCTCTAAATACTTTTTGTGAAGCGGCGAGATCGCATGAGGTGGGCTCGTTTGGTAAGTCGAGCTCTTGATAGTTGTTGTGATTACATGGAAACTTCTCAGCTGAGTCAGCAAGTGAAGATTGTTTCCAGGTATTAGTGCCCAAATCTCAACAATCCACACAAGCTCAGTTTTGTTATATGCACCTGCGAGCAAGTGTGACAAAGGCGGCAGCAAGGAAACGACTCCCATTCCACACCCCTGCACCCCATTGGATGCATATCCAGTTTTCAGTTCATACTGCCTTCCTGAAGAGAGGTAGAAATTCTGGATAACTGATTTTTAAATCAATCAAGGATGACTTGCATGAGAGGGGAGGTGAAAGTCACAGGAAGTTTAGAGGGTGTATTGAAAATAATCACTAAGCCTGAGTAGAAGAAAATGATCACTGGTTAAGTGTTAGTACTCACGATAAGAAGTTTTCGGAACAATCATGTATTTTTTAAATGTTTTTAATTGCTCTCTAGAAACAGAAATAATTTTTCAAGACCTTGGAATTAAATACCCAGTTGTCATACCCAAATGTCATAATAATCCATAACAGGTCTGGCAGCATACATCTCAGTGTATAACAACTGCATAATAAATGCCATGTAGTTGAAATGTATACTTTAAGTTTCTTTTCTTTCCATGTAATGTTTTTTTTAGCTTTTGTACTGAGCAACAATAATTACTTTACTGTAATCATGTTTTTTATCAGCAATGGTCAATTCAAATGTCTGTACATACAATGTAACTGTAATTGTAAAATCTGTAGTTCAGTAATAAGTTTTGTAAGTAATGTTAGTAGTAAGTGGCTGTAGTACTATAGGTATTGTTTACATTGTATTACATGTAGCTGTAGCTTTTAAGTAATGTCTGTATTGTATTGCAAGTAATTAAGTGTATTGCAAAATGAAATTTAAAAAAAGCAACCAAAAAAAGGAACAAATACATAATTGAATTATACTGATTGTTTTTTAATATTGACCCTTGACGTTTCATCTTTTTTTTAGGCACAAGAAATGAATGCCTCAGGTACTGAGATTGGTCTCATCTTTGGAATATATCCCCTGGTGGTGTTTGTTGTGGCACCACTAATAGGAGTCTTGGTAAGTTTAATGTCTACAGCAACTTGTGTGTGATTTTTTAAAGGAGAAATGACCTCATACTTTAATCACTTTGCATCCGTTTTTTAAGGTGATGATTTCTTTCTTTGCATTGTTGTTTAGCTCCCAACAATTGGTCCAAGATTCACATTGACAGCAGGACTGTTCCTTTGTGCTGGATCACAGATATTATTTGGGTATTTCAGTTATACCATTGTAGTTATACCATTGTAGTTTATCCTATGACTAAACTTGCAATTTATTTGCAAAAGCTCTGTTTTATCTTTACCTCAATAAATTGACAAGTTTTCAATGTAAAAAATTTACACTTATTAATCAATTTTGGGAGAAGAAATTGTAAATAACTTATGGCCTTCATCTCTTCTTCTTGACAGATTTGTATCAATGTTACCCAAGGGTGTAGTTTTTGTGGTTTTCTGTTTCCTCCTTCGAGTTGTGATGGCAATGGGTGGAGCTGCAGCAGATACTGCATCATTTGCTATCGTAGCAGGAGAATTTGGCTCCAATATAGGCACAGTGACGGTAAGGGTTGACGAGATATCAACTGTCTTGTGGCTCTTATGTTTGAGTGTGTCTAACATTACTTGACCACAAAAATAGTTAACAGCAGTGCAATGTATAGAAGATAGTCTCTTCATGTAACTGCAATAACAGACCACAAACTCAATTAAGAATGAGTCTTGTGTGGGCTCAACTTTTGAGGTAGCTTTGTACATCATCTCTCCTTTGGTCCTCAGAGATGAAGAATTTATAAAATGATCCAAGCTTTGACAGCGTATTCGGTACAGTCCAACTTTTTCCCAGCTGATTTAAAATTTTCAAACCAGTTTTTTCTGAGACAGTAGAACACAAAACATAAATTTCTTTGAAAATTTTAAAACCTAGAAAAATTTTAACCACAACATATACAGTTGAGGTGTTTAGGACCTGCAATCTCAGTCATCACAAGATTAATTTTGAAAATGCTTGCTAGTTGCAAAGTTTACAAGTATGTTGTTATCAGTTTCAAACTGAGTTATTAATTAAAGATTGTACTGACAGTGTTCTCTAAGCTCTTCAGCTTGTACAATCCTTTAATCCTCATACTAATTAGCATGCCATTTGTGGATGTTGTAGGGAGCCATGGAGACATTTACTGGTCTGGGCTTTATGCTAGGTCCACCTCTGGGTGGAGTTTTATATTCTGTGAGTAATAAAATGACTGATTGGTTTCAACTTGTTTTAGGGTTCATGATGGCATACTAAAATTTTCCTTTTTTCTATCTAAGAATCTATGCTTGTTTCCATACTCTTTTAAAACATAATCCTGCAAAGTGCAAGTTATATTTTTCATCAATTATTTTGCTCTGTACTGCTATGTGATTTTGATAAACTTTTACTCTGCATTGCAAAAATTCATGTTTCTGAGATTCTTAATCAGTGAAATGCTGTTAACAATATTTGATAAAAACATGATAAGTGACAAAAATAAAACTGCTTCAATACTAACTCCTGCTCAAAATACTGTGAGCCTTTTTGAAGCTGTCTTCAATTTTTCAGTTTTTTCCGTCTTTGAAAAAGCCTCAATTTTTCTTTTATTTAATGTTTTAGGCTGGCGGATTTAAACTTCCGTTTATTGTGCTTGGTGGCCTTCTTTTGTCAATACTTCCTGTGGTTATGCTTATTTTACCAAAAGACCAAGGTGCAAATTATGTTTGTCTGCTCTTTCTCGCTGTTCACTCTCTTTATTAACTTTCTGTCCTCTTGTCATCATGTCTTTTCCTCCCAGAGCACCTGCTGTTGTCTCAATGTCTTGGCCCACTGGCTCTTCAATTCTCTAACCTTCTTCCTTGTTTTGATCCTTTGTGATCATTTTCATTCTTCTCTTACTTCGTCCTCATTCTTTTCCTTTTCCAAATTTAATTGACAAAGTGTCAAACTTTGGTTACTTGCTTTATAGACCTTCCGCGAAAAGTAGACACTGGCTCACTACTTCGAATGACAAAGATTCCAGGAATTGCTGTGATAGGTATGTGTGTGAAATTGATCTTCGATTCCTTTGAAACAGTCATTTTCGTTTTGCTATTTATCCATGTGAATTACAGTTGTTTTGAGCTATCATCACCTGCCCTCTTTTAACCGATGAGGTCTTTCATTTTCGTGCCCCTGCTTGCTGAGATGCACTTGAAAGGGGCCCCATATCTAAGGAAATATGTAACCATCGAGTTGAAACATTTGCTTGTCACGTGATTATTCAAAAGTGCCTTTTGCAAAAACATCTTGATGCTAGCCGGCTGCAAGTTTTTTCTTCACTGCATCATGTGTGAACTTATTAAAGACGATTGCGCTCGTTATATTTTCAGGTTTATCTATCCTTGTATCGGGATTAGTGCTGGGTTTTTTAGATCCAACATTTGCGCCTTATATGAAGAAGGTATCAGTAAAAACTGAAATTTACCTACATTTAACTTTTTCCTTTTTTAAAAAAAAAAAGAGCTCTTTTGTTAATTTCCGACTAAATACCATTGGGTACTTAGTGTTAGCATTTTCCTTTCATCTCTTCGCCTTTTTGCATGATATTGTGAGGATTAATTAATTCTTCAATTTTATTTAACTTTTATTCAGCTCGTCAGTCTCCCCTCGTCATTGGCGCTTTTCCGGGTAATCTGGTTTGATCTGTCGAAATCTTAATTTACATAACTGCTAGAGTAAGGTAATTTAGTGTTAACAACTGAGTTGAAAAGGTAAATTGGCCACCGTAAAGGGTAAAAAAGCTAACGTTTCGAGCGCTCGAAACGTTAGCTTTTTTACCCTTTACGGTGGCCAATTTACCTTTTCAACTCAGTTGTTAACACTAAATTACCTGCTATACTCTCCCACCGACGCAGCACCACAGTTTCTTACCACAGAAGCTTACCCCCTTTATTCATTTGCTGGAATAAGGGTTTAACGCAATTTTGGCAATTGAATTGTCCGTTTTACTAGTAGTCTCGAGTCGCTGTAAGGTTTTACGAAAGCTGTTTGAATATCTGTTTCTTAGTTTGGACTTGGTCCCAGTAAAGTTGGTTTAATCTTCCTCCTTTGTGCCGGATGTTACGCTATTTCAGCTCCATTGGTTGGCTGGATAAGTGATAAGACGGTAAGAAACATGTTCTGTTGCACGGTTTAGTCTTAAGTCTTAATACTTACAACTTTTACCTCTAATCAGATGGTTTGGTCTCTATACTATAGGGGAGAACACGTGTGGTCATAATTATTGGCGCAGCTTTCGTAATTATTGGGATTTTGATGCTGGCTCCGGCTCCATTCCTAACATTTCTTCCTCAAAGGTTCGTCATTGTGATACTTACCTTCTTACGTACTTAGACTGTTCCAATTGATCGTCATAATTATGGCGCCCGACACCCTAAGCTTAGTTAGTTCTCAACGCTCCAACAGAGGTCTTTAGTCGGAAAAGTATGCGTAGGGCAATCATTTTTTTTCTTATGATTTCCAGGAAGGTATGGTTGGTGTGTGTATCCATGGGTATGTTAGGTGCTGCCGTCAGTGCGTATCAAGTACCTTGTATGCCAGACATGTTGGAAACAGCCAGGTAATAATTTACACCGTTACACTAGAAGTGTTTCTTTTGCAGAGTGCAGAGTAACCACTCCTCAAGTAGAAAGCCTTGGGGAATTCTCCTGGGACCTAAGTAACTACCGCTACTTTGTAGTTTGTTATGTTTCACTGCGAAAAATATGGTTTAAAATCGATTATGCTCAAATATTAGTCAACCCTTTCCAAGAAAAGTGAAGAGGAAAAGCTTTGATAACTCAATCTAAGGAAATCTAAGCATGAAAACAGACGCTAATTGAAATATCTATTGAGTTGTCAATTTCCCTTTTTAACCAGGCAACAATTCGGGGTTAGTTCTTGGTTCAAGAATGTGCGACCTTTCAATTTTACAAATGAGTTAGCTTTCTTCTTCCTACACTTTTGAAAACCTACTTGTTTCAACTGTCATTTGAAATTTAGCATAAAACATTGAAATTCACCCAGAGCGTAGAACAACTCTTACTTCCTTTTTTTATTCAATACACTTCTACCTCCATTCGCTTAGTAATTCCAGTGATCCATTCATAACATGACACATGGAGGGCGAGGTTGGTAGAGTTTCCTTGTGGCCTAAAATTGTTCTTGTGCCGATGTATCTCTTCAGGGAACATGGAATGCCCGATGACATCACTACCCATGGAGTGCTCTCCGGTATTTTCAATGCGACGGCAAGTATAGGGTAAGGAATGAACAACTCGAGTGCGGTGCCTTGAACGCTTGCTTCACACCACTTGTCACTCTCGTTCGATTTTTGTACCTAGCATCACATGTGGTTCGAGTTCGCGACAGGTTGTCATCCTTGCTGCAAGGGTTTATATCTGAATTCTCGGATCTCCACCTGTTACAGAAACCAAGTCTCGATTACCGGCCGCTGTTCGGGAGATGAGCTGCGCTCCTCGTTCATTTTGGGTGAGGATAGAGGCTCGAACCCGAGAGAAACGGTGATAATCGAGCCCACAGAAACCAAACACTCCAAATTCCAATTCCACGATTTGCACATTTTGTCCATGCTTTTGTCTTCCTTTTATTCAATTTTATTCCTTTTGGTACATGTTGCAGTGCTTTTTTAGGACCAACCATCAGTGGATTGACAGAAAACTATTTGACATTCCAGTGGTCAACTGTGGTAAGTACAGGGAAATCTTTGTCTCCAGGCTAAGACTTGGGCATCTATAATCGTAATCTTTCGTGTTTGACACACTCTGGGTTGGAAGTGAGATACGCATCGGTCGTTTAGAGTGCAGTACGCTTTTTTAGTCGCTTTTCAACGCGTTTGTGTTGCAATTATAGCGGTAAGATAGAAGTGAAATGTCTTTTATTGGTGGTGAGCCAACGCTAGATATTTCATTTTAAAATGTGAGGTAGCCATCGTGGAGTTGAAGAAGACTTGATTCCTTTTTTGTACTTTGTTTCTGTTCAGGTGCTAGCAGGGATTCTTGGATTTCAGGTAACCTCAATGGATCTTTTAGAAGTTTAGTCTTGCTTGCGAAAGTATGACAAAAGTGAAAAAAAAAAAAAAAAGAAACAAGAACTGAAGTACAAGACCAATAACTACAAACATTATGTTCTAAGGCCTAATAAATGGGGGGGTTGAGGACACCGTTTAGGGCAAACATCAAAGGTCACACCTCTTCTTTCTGCTTACAGCCCCTTTTACCCTCAAGATTGAACGACGTTTGCGTTGGCTGTGATCAGAGTACCTTTTGTACAAGGTTGATTTATAGATTATACTGAGGAATTAAACTCAGAGTTTGTTTGAGGCTGTTTGCCGGTGCCCTAACTCCTTGCTTAAACTCGCTATTGTATGTTTTTGTCCCGCTGACGATTAGAGGCATTTCAATCCAGAACAGGTTCGAACAGGTGCTTTTGCAAGATCATAAATTTACTATTAGCGTGAACTTCATACCATTAGAAAGTTTATGAGTATTAGTTGGTTGAAATAAATGAGTGAAACTGTGTAGTAGTTCTTCATATATGGCTCTGGTTCCGAGGCGTTGTAAAAAGTTTGAAAGTACATGAGCCCTTGATAATTTTCGTCACTAGACGAACTATAAAAAAAATGATAAGCTTGAAAAAAATTGTAATAATAATAAGAGAGTATACTGTTTTGTTTATGTTTCAGGTTGTTGTCTTGACTCTCTTCACGGTATTTGATCAAGGAAGAAAAAGGTTTGTTCGCCTCAGTGACAGAGACTTTAATCGCAATTGGTGACCCATAAACATTTACTGAATTAAATTTTTCTTTCCGTCCTTCATCCACCAGAATGCGAAGTTCTAGTGAGAGAAGAAAAGAACCTTTTGAGAAAGATACTCATGTACAAGTAAGTAAAACCCTCATTTTTGTTGTTGTTGTTTTTGTTGTTCTCTTGTTTTGCTCTTCTCCCCCTCCCTCCACACCCCCCGTTGTCATCTCCTTCATTACTTGCCTCCATCCTCTCTTCCTACAAATCCTCCCTCCTCTTCCTTCCTAAAGTCGCATCCTTCAGCTCTCTTCCCATTTTCTTACATTCTCCAGTCCTCAATTCCAGGGGTATCGATAAACATCGGTGACCAGCGGTCTACCGTCGCCTATTACCTTGCCCCCAGACCCCTTTGGACACGGCCTCCTATTACACCATCGGCAGCCACTTATTGGAAAATTTATTGAAACCGCTTTATTTTTTACTCTTTACCATTCTCTCTTTCGCCAAAATCGATATATATGTTCCTCGTTTTCTCTATTTTTGTCGATCTCTCTCGTTAATTGACATCCGTTTTATTTTTATTATTATTCCAGGTATAACAATTGTTGTGTTTCGTGGAGTCAGATACATATAGACACTGTTTCAGGACGAATGGTGGCTCAGTCGTTCTTTGTCTAATTTGGTTACGATAGCCGTTTTATTCTGTGCACTCTTGAGAATCTGGGGCCACGTTTTAATCTTGTGAGCTCTGTTCTCAACAATGCTAGTTTAAGAATGAAGTGATACGGTAGACAGTAACTGAACTCGGTCGCAAAATACTCTCCTCGGATCACACAACTTACCTTCAATTCGTATTGTATTCATAATTAAAGAACATTTTGTTTGCGAGAAGTTGCATATAAATGTAATAACGCGTCGGTAAGTTATAATAAAACGGTTTTCACCAATATGAAGATGAAGAATTGTCTGTAGAGAAGTTCATTGAAAGGGTAAAGTCGGTATTTTAATAAAGGTAATTGAAGATTTTAAAGGTCCTCCAGACAAAGAGTTCAAAGCCATCGGGCGAATCAAATGAAATCGTCCAAAAATCCTTCAGTGTCGCACTCAAGCGTAGCCAGGATATTTCATCAGTTCCTTGTCGGCAATTTCTATTTGGTTTGCACAAAGGTTCGGGTCAAGAAGGAAAGACTGATCGTATATTTTCGTGAGCGCCAAAAAGCACAGCGAGCACTGGTAACACGAGTCGATAGGTTCAACACCAATCGGCCATTTCCGAGTTACAAAAACTCTCAAAACGAGGCTAAGAGTCAAACCTTAAAGGAGAAAATGAGTTTTATCATATAAACTACGGTGTTGTACAAGGATTTCTAACCCTGAGAAAAGTCGTAACAACACACGTGAAAAAATACCATATTTTTTCGGGTGTGTTTGATATCGTCAATCAGCTGCTGACACTTCACTCGCCTTTCGCGCCACTCGATCAGGTTGATGAATTAACAGCAAAGCCTTCACTACTCTCAATCCGCGGTTGTTTGTTGGAATTTTCTCGGATTAAGGCTGATAAAACGCTGAAAAAATTCATATCGCTTACTGACAGTGCCGTTCATACTTTCCAAGAAGGGAAAGAAAACCAAAATAAGAAAAGAAAAACCGAAAGTTACGTATTCAGTGGCTTTGGTAACTGTATTTCTCGCGGCTGAGAACGAAAATCGACTACTGAAAGATTTACCACAGACCGCTTTTGGCTGTGTACCTGAAAGATTTCTTCTGTCGGTAAGGACAAAGTCAATAACTGAGAATTTTGTAAATTGAAAATAATGGCCATTGTCGTTTTTGTTATGATTCAACGCGTTTTTTTATCTTGAACCTTAGCGCCAACGCACTTATTCACAATTTTTTTCGGGGTTGGCGATCCTTTTATTTTCATTTGTTCATAAAGTCGACTTTTCTTGTCGATGAAGTGCTATTGTGTTTATATGATAAACAAAATACTACATCTAGAAAGATGTTTTTCGTCTTGTTACGAGCGTGGGACAAAGAAAAAATTCTGAGTTCCCATGAGGAATCGAACCTCAGACTCCTTCGGATTTCGCGCTCCGATGCTCTACCGCTAAGCCACAGAGACACTATAACTCAGTGGTAGAGCACAGAAGGTGGAAATAAGTTGAAATTTTGCCGTTTGCCACTTGCCCTGAACGTAATTTTTCACCCGCAGTAATGCATTTTGAACGTAAAGTGTTTACGGAGAACTTCACAAGAAACTCACGATTGTTCTGAGGAAGAAATGAAAGCGTTGGCAACTGAACACACTATAGACCATTTGGTATGCAACAGCTGAACCAGTAGCTGATTAGGTCATTTCGTATTATCAATGAGTTGAGAACGTAAATTGGCCACCGTTAAGAGTTTTAAAGCTCACGTTTCGGGCGTTAACCCTTAGAGCGAATAAGGAAGGGCTAACGCTCGAAATGTCAGCTTTAAAACTCTTTACGATGGCCAATTTACGTTATCAGCTCAGATGATAATGTTAGTTTACCCTGTTATACTCTCCCACCGACGCAGTACCACAGTTTCTTTAGAGAGTTACCCCCTTTATTCAGAAGCTGATTGGTCAACCACATAGTACATGAAACCAAGGTTTTAATTTTATGGAGCTGAAAGTCGACAGCGTAACGGGAGCCCTATCTTAATTGGAGCATGCAACTAACAGAAACAAATCAATAATGTTCTCTACAACAAAATCAGTCCATGGCAAAATTGCCGTTATCAGTCTAGGATTAAAAAAAACAGACAAAGGTAACATAACACACTACGCTTCATAAATTCTATAATTGCTAGATCCTACAAGGCTCTCTACTGGAGTTTTGAAGTTATTCATCGTAGTCCACAGTTACGCTGGATGGATCTGTCTCTTCCCGGGTCGAGGGAATTGTGGCCGCCCAAAAGTGTTTCCTTCCACTTTATCCAGTCTGGAAAGTTCATCACTGAGGAGACAAATGAAGGGGAAAAAAGATCAATTGGATCTCTTCAAGTGATATTACAGTTTATAATTTCTCGACCTCTTACAATCTTTATTTTCCCGAGGGGTTCTCTCCCGATCGATGAACGCCTTACCCACCCTCCCCTCTCAACCCATATTTGTTTAGTTAGACGGTCGACGCAACCCCTCACTTTTGTGCATAAATCTTTGGGTCTCCATGCGGACTGTCGGTGAACTGAAGATTGGATTTTTAGATGAACAATGAGGGGGGAGGAAAGCTTGGAAGCTTGGAAGGGAAGGCAGGCTGGGTTTTGGCAGCCCCTCCCTTAGTGAGTTTTTTAGTCTTCTCCCAGGTTGGCCGATCAAATTTGCCGCATAACTGTCTCCGCGCACTGTTCTTAGGAAGCCCTTCATAATTATGATAATGCAGAAGTTCTGATCGAGCGCATTTCTGACTTCACTGCGCTTCACATGGATAGAGATGTTAGAAAAGATAAGAAAATCTCTTATTCTAGCTGACACATTCATTGAAGACAGTATCGTACACTTGAGATGCTTGGAAAACGCTAAGAATAAAAATCTCAAAATCTCAGATTAAAAGAGAAAACATGTACCTCCTCTGAAAGCCTGTGTCCAGCTTGTTGTGATGTTCGTTCGTGAACTCTCTCTTTTTCCACTGCGATGGCAAACGGTTGCTCCACTTAAAGGGTGTATTATTGATCCTACGCATTTCCACGGCATGCGGAGTAATACTTAATACCAGCAGGCTGATAAAAGCGAAACAAAGAATGGCCTTCATCACACGGTAGAAAGACTGACGATTGACGGTGTGTTTTCCCCCTTTCATGAACTTCGTTCTTGCTTGATAGTGGCGTGTCTTTGAACGTTTTTTCGCTGAATCATTTATTTATATAACGTACCCAAACAACTGGTAATCTTAGAGGTGGAGGAAATAGATTAAACCAATAGCTACCAATATTGTTCAAGTGTTTTAAGTGGAAGTCGGACCGTTGAACTGAGATGTTGCCATATATATTTTGAATCCTATAATTATTCTTCAATTAAGCGAGGCGGATAAATGGAGTTAATTCAGTGCAGCCCAGAAAACTCGCCAAGAATAGAAGCTCCATTCTGCCTACTTAGAGAAAGGAATTGACAAACATTTAAAACATAAATCCAGAAGAGCATAATTTCACTAAAGAAGTAGTTGTGGTTTTTGAAGAAATGATTCTGAAAAAATTGAAGTTAAGACAAATTACTGTGGTCGAAGCGTTACCCCTAAGGGTGAGGCAAAGTACTTACGCATTAGAGAAAGCTTTTCAACATCGATGATTCTTTTTTTATCGAACTCATTGTAATTAGTCATTTGAAAGGAATTTGAAAAATCAAACATCCGATAAGTTTAAAATTTTTATAAAGGATATTTTTGCTGTTTACTATATAGATAGAAATGTAGTATGTATTGTAGTTTCCATGACCATTTATTTTCACTTTTAAAGAGCTTTGGACAAACCTTAATAAACAAACAATAAAACGACCGTTAAAAAAAGTGTCGGCCAAGGTTTAAGGGAAAATTGCGGTTTCCCTCTCTTTTTCCTTTTCTTTCTCTCTCTTTTTTCGGTCCTTCGTAAGTTTTGTTCCATAGTCTTTAATAAACAAGTTTCTGCTTTGTCACTAAAAGCTATTATTTTCCCACGATGTTCTGTTTTGAAATTTAAATTTCCACGTTTATGGCGTCCTAGCTAACGATATGCATATATATTACAGCCCTTTCAAGAGGTCTTGTTAAATGGACCTTACAGGTGGCCACCAAAACCGCAAATGCTGAGAATCTAATTGACCTTCAAACTTGAAACGCAATGAAGCGTTCAAGCGAGACCTAAAAATTTTCAAACGGCAGAAAAAAAATAATAAAAATAAACGGATAAAAAAAAGGATCACAAAGTAAGTAAAGTGGAGTATTTTCCGGCAAATTTAACAGTGAGTAACCTTCTACAAATACTGTATCCCAAACAGAGGGCAAAATGCGGTTGCATAAGTGTTTATTTCTTATCCTCTTGATGATATGTTAGTCTAGAATCTTCAGAAATTGCGAGACCATTTAATTTTACGTCTCTCAATGTTTTCTTCTCAAATGATGCAAGTTTGCATTTGAACTCATATACGGAGGAAAATAGGAAATCAACTGATGTCTTCATTAACATTGGGGCGAGATAAGAGTATCTGTTACTAACTGCGCGTCAGTACAAAAACAAAAATTGAACTGGTATTGAGCTATGACGCGTGACTACATTTGAAGACTATTATATTTGGTTTTTAAACATTGGAACAACTTGCCTCAACCCCCCCGCACACACATCCTCCTCATGCCTGAAGCCCGGACGATTTTGAGACGTGGACAGCGGCTGGTAGGAGAATAAAAACTACTTCCGGCGCGCTTCGACATCAACAAATCAACCACGGAGTCCTTTACTTTTGAAAATTAACCTTGAAGTCAAAAATCATGTGGCAAGCACTCGGGGGAAAAAAATCGTTTACTTCCAGCGGACGTCCACGACCGGAAAACGTCTTAACTTAAGATCTCTAATGATAAAAATGGAGCAGTAACTAGTTTGGCGATGCTAGAGGGATTGGCTTAGGAAAGATACACTTCTATACATACCCAAAGTTTTCGCCGCGGTTAACAACTTTGAACATCTTTTTACTTAAAAGTGTATTGATGAAATACTTTCAAGCACGAGGAATCGTCGCGGTCTTGTATACTGAAGGAACCTATGCGGTGTATCAACGCAATTCCTTAACGAGATGGAAAAATTTTCCAATTATAAGAATGACATGGCTTTTAGCTAAGGATTCTAGAGTAGAATGATCACAGAGAAACTTGTCATCTAGTTTAGAGACCGATTTATCTTTCACTCCTGTTTAAGAAATGAAAATCGGGTTTAAATTAGTAGATTTTCGGTGTAAGGCAGGTACCGGTATTGCGTGCTCGATCACAGTTTAAAAAATAAACAAAAGCTCATCCTTTCGGTTGACGTATCACGCAACAATATTCTCATATCACGCACATTTAACGATTGCGGTTTTTCTCTAAACAACAGAACAAAGAATGACAGCAGGTGATATAGAAGGGCGGATCACGAGGTATCTTAAAGTTTCTGAGTGTTGGTTTGAATTAAGAGGGAGCAGTTTCCGTTTGTTCTATTTTTCCATTCTTTTCCGCCGAAAACCATGAACAGTAAGCATCGCCTCTTACAACCAGATGTGGCTTGAACTGCCTTTACACATTGTGATGGAGACCAACATTTTCCTTTTACGAACCGAAATGAAAAGTGTAAACAAAGAAAATATCACTATGGTCTGAGTAACAGCGTGTTTAAAATATTGACAAAGAAAATTGGTATTTGAAAGAGGAAGATTAAATCTTCTCATTCCCAAAAAGGTCATCCTAAGAAGAACTTCTCATTGGCGTCAAGAGCTAAATATTCACAGTAACTATATTCTCGATTTCTTTACCATGGAGAATTTTGTAGCTAGTTTTTTAGCGAAACTCTTCATGTACGCCACTCAAAACTTGTGTTCATAAATCTCTTTAATCAGCATCATATCTTCGAGCTATTTATGCCATATTAACCATATTTCTGAAGTAATTTTATCAAACAGAAGGTATACTATAATAATTCATTTTTCATTGAAAAAAGTCATATACACTCAGTCTAAAGATCGAATCAGTTGAAATCTTAACTTGGTTTAAGTGATTGTTTCACGTAATGAATAGAAAACACTCCAACAGGCCCCTCCGGCTTAAATTAACTACAGAAGGATGTTGTAATATACCTTCCAAGGCTCATCAATTAAAATGTCTTGCGGAGTTAAATCTAATTAATAAAGATGAGTAAACTGCAAATGGAAGGAAATGGATGTCACTTAGTCTTCTGATGAATCCAGAACTAATTTTAATGAATCAATTTTCATGATTTGTTTTTTGTCTGCCCTGAAACGTGCGCTTCTTTCTTGAGCTTTGAGTTTTGTTATGGAAACATGAGCGAACTCTTGGTTTTATTAGTGCGTAACTTTTCATGCTAATACAATTTTTCTCCCGTTTGCCTAACAGCGGATTAACAGCTTGAAGAAAGATTTTTGAGTCAAAAGTTCTCTTTACTCAAAGACTAAGGAATTCAGTTAACCTCAAGTATTGATTTTAAATAATTTTAGTTTTTCACCCTATATTGGTATGATCATAGCATGTAGCTAAAGTGGATACTTTAACAATTTGAAGCCACTAATTAAAAATGAAATATTGAACCAAGATTCCCTTTCCAAAATGAATCAAATACCGTGGTTTAATTCATAAAATAAATCAATCCTAATCAGTGAAACCTTGCTCTTAATTTCACTCTCCGTCGAAGACTAGCATTCCTTCTAAATTTTGTGCTGATTTTCCAACAAAGGCAAGATTTGGCAAGCTACATTAGTGTTCAATTTTCTCAGTGATTTTTATCCGTTTGAGTTCATTTTAAGATAATTTATGACTCAGAAAAGAAGCAGTCAATTCAAGAATCTCATAGTGAATTTGTCACATTGAATTTTTCTTAAAGTGAGTCATCCCAATTAATCCATCATCAATTAAAACAGTCGATGGAAATTTGTGAATGCCGCATTCAAAACCGTCGCATAATTTCTTAGTTGAACTCAGCAAGGGATTAAAAGCAAAAATAAATCATCTGTGTAATAACTAATTCACGCCGAAATTGAACAATGCGGTAGGCCAGAACTAGACAAAGATATGTCACTGTTTGAACATATCACAGATCTGCTGTTCACAGATTCATTACCCATATCACTACACAGTCTATTTGATCGACGCCCTGCATCATGAAAACATCCTCTGCGATTATCACAGGTATTATCTTAACAAAGCAGAGCTGGCAGATTTGATTATTCTAACATTTTAATTGACTTTTCCCTGCGGCACCTTCATTCATAATCCCGCGAAATAAGAGTTATGAATTAAATTTATCGGGCTTTGCTGAGCTTCTTAAATATTCTTATCTGTTACACACTGGCACGTTTCAAAGTGCTGATAAAACTAATGGCTTTAATGAAACAATTAAATTTTATTTTGTATGTAAGCTGAAAGATAAATTAAATTTTCTTAAGCAAAAGGTGTTGCGATTCTTTTATTAACTTAGCGTGACAAATTTTAGTTGGGAAATCCATTCAATAAAGATGTTCCGTTTTTGTAATCTTTTTTCCTTTGTTTTATCTAAAATGAATTAAGGTACGGAGAACAGAATTACAAAGTCAGGTCAAATACTTGGGGATGTTTTGCTTGAGCCGTTCAGTATTTTTACGACTCAAATCGATTACTCCAAGACCACAAGGTGTGCCACCAAAACCATCAGATACCAAATTGTAACGAACGAAACCAGATTCGTCGGTGTAATCCCGTCGGCATTAATATTTACTTCAGCTGCAAGGACACTCACTTTAGTCTTCATTTAACAAGTTTCATTAAAGTCATACCCTTAATTCAATGTTAAAATTACACTTTGAAGTCAAAAGAATACCTAATACACAGATGATTTATTTTGTTTTCTCATGGAAATTTTCTCTATGAGGCAGGGTGCTGTGGAAGAGATTTACACACGCGAATACGGTTCACTCGCGTTTGCTTGTTTAGGAAAAGTTTACTGGGCAAGAATTGTAATTACAATCGAACTCACTTTGTTGGTAATCTTTATAATCAAGTTCGCCTTCAATTTCCTCTCTTTACCAAATAACTCACAAATCAGTTTCGGCCAGTTCATTAGCATGAAACAATCTGCCTTTTGAGCGATAGCCAATGGGATGCGAGCAGTGATCTCAAGTTTGTGTATAGCAAAACCAGAATAGATTTTCAGCTGATGTGTGTAATTACAGTAACATTTGTTCACCCCGACTGATTGAAATAAATTTGATAGCCAGCTTGAAACTGCCTTCAAACTCTGCCAAGAGCTCAAGAGTCAACACTTCTCCATTGAAACGCCAATGTTTTATAACTCTGACGGCTCTTCGACAACAGGCTAGGAAAACAGATCAGAATCAGCCCAGCATCATATGAAAATCATGCCAAAATCCTTCCTTGTTCGAGTCCGCAAGGGGCTTTCAGAAATCTCTCACAGCACGCCTGAAGGTTTGAAATGAATATTTTCTGTTTTATGTGCGTTAGTTTTTAACAATTTTGTTAAAAACCAAGACTTTGTTTTCTGCCACTGAGTTTTAAAATTCTACATTAAATTTAAAGGTAATGCGGTACTTTCTAGTTTCTGGGCGGGCTAAGAGCAGTTTTAATTCGCTTCTTTTACTGGAAATATTCTCCGCCCTGAGATTGAAAACTTCTTCATGTGATTCCTCGACGGAAGTTAAGACTAAAGATGATGTTGGGATTTTCTGCTCAAAGCATTCGAAATGTAAAGAATTTTGGTCGCAATCTATCACTCCTTCTTCAAATATTCCATCAAAAGGGAAGATTGAAGTATATGCTAAGCGTACGCTAACATTTTTCAAGAACAAAGTCTTTCATCAAAAAAAATTTGGCGCTCGGCGCAGCGTCATGACGGGAGTTTGGTAAAAGAAAACTTTTCACAAGTAATGTGACAAAAAGAAGCCGATGTCAGACATCGTACGCCTTCGTTATTTTCTCTCCTTTCAGTGCATTAAATAATTCATGGCTCTGCTTTATAAAGTTTTCGTATTCCTTTACAATTGTGTCTTTGTTTGGCTTACACCCAGCTGAGAGAACTGAAGAAATTTGATTTCCTATAGAAATTTGATTTCCTCCAAAATCACAGTTTTGAACGTTCAGTCAAAAAGCTCATTTGGTTCAGGGCCGGATATGAGATGTTCGCCTTTCAGCCGGCGCTTAAGCAAACAAAACAGAAAAGAAAGGTGAAAAGTGTCTCTTATTTGTAGGACAATAGCTGGCTTCATAAAGCACATAAAGCCGATTTCGTATTTGTGCTACCTTCGTGGGAAGGGATCCGGTGCTATTGAAGATTTAAATCCGCAGGGGGTCTATATAAGGACGATATTTACCGGTTGAAATGAGATGAACTTGGATTATGAAGAATTTATAAGCTACCACAAGAAAAAATGAATTTTTACCAGTTCTTCTTGAGCGAGAAACGGAAAACATTTTACGGTTGATTTAAAGATACCATGTTGTACAATTTACTTTCAATGAAGTTAATCTGCATAATGAGTTAACTCCACTGAGTAAATAGTCAGTGATTAAAGTGGAAACATACACTCAGTTCACCTGCTCCATTCATATCGTAACCGACAATTATTCAGTCTCAAACTTTCTTTATCGCTCGAGTGATATTGCGCACGAGGTTTCAAGAGGCGCTTGAAGTGTTTAAATCAGATCGTATTTTAGATTTGACTGACGAAAAAGACGGAAAGTGCAATTTTTATATGTCATCGGGAAAAAAATCTACTCTCCTAGCTCGCAATGAATAAAAAAAAAAGTAAGAATTTTTTTGGGGAGATATTGCATGCTCTATCCAAAATTACACAGAGTACATGGTCTAAAAGACGCTAAGATATTTATCGCACTCCTTCTTTTGTTAATGAAGAAAACTTTGATCAGAAACAAAATTCTCTTCACCTCGTTTTATAAATTTCTTTTGGGGGAAATTTTTCTTTGAAAGCCCTTTCCTTTCTCGGGTTTAGAAAAGCTTTCTCGAACTTCGTCCGTTAGGGCCCGGTTCAGAGATCTTTCAGGTTTCTTGTCTTAAACAACTCTGCAAGGTGGTTAAGTCACTAAAATTCGTCGCAAAAATTCAGATAAATCGAACAAAAAACTACTCACTGCTGAAGCAAGAAGATATTTGCGGGTTAAAACTTCCTCTTTGCGCAAAATATCACCACAAGACGTTGTTGGATAAACACCAGGACAGTCGCTCAGAATCAACGAGATAAAACCAACACTAAAAATCAATAATTTTGAAAGCAACTTCCTTGTCTTTCCGACTTCTCCGGAGTACATTTCAAACAGTCACTTTCCTATGATATGTTCAGATTTAATGTGAATTTGTCTTTTGAACACTAGGATCTTCATGCTTCCGGACTCTTATATTCTGCGTGTTTAGAGCATATCTGAAAAAAATAAACAGAGTTATCCTTTACCTTTGACTAGGAATCACAAAGGAACAAGTCTATTTATGGTGGATTCTTCTACTCACCCCAGTGCTTTCGGAAGTCTCAGAAACATTATCTCTAGCCTCGGCTTGAGGAAAACGGTTTTGAAGGAATTAAACTTGAGCAATTTAAAAGAACTTGTTCAGATTACAGGACGTGAAAATGTAAAAACCGATTGTTTGTCGCTATGTAGACCATAACGTCTCTCCTTACCTAAGTTTATTTCATTTACCCCTTTTCCAAATTTTAATCCATAGTCATGTGATTGCCTTTCTTCTTGTTTTCTTTTGACATGCCCATTTTCCATCTAAAAAAACTAACTGACTAAAAAACACGCCAACAGGCAGAAAAACACGACACTTTCCAATCAGGAAATTTCTATCTTTAGAGATATCTAACGAGTCTCCAAATCTCGTCCGCTATCTGTTATAAAAATGAGCTCATAACTCAGGAAAGTGCGTGGTGTGAAGAAATTGTTAGGCTTTTGGTAAACAAAATCGGTTATTTTTACCAGGTTCTTCCCCGGAAACGTGAAGTACTTTCTCTGAAAGAAAAATCAATTTCGGAGAAACGTTTTCCTGAATAGTTAGAAACATTAATAGAAGCATAAAACTATGCTTTTTTGTCACACTTAGAGTTGATGATTTTCCGAAAAAGGCACTTAAAAATAAGAATATTTTTTTCAAAACGAAAACAAGAAGGAAGAAAACTCTTCAACTTGCCAGAAGTCGAGTAAATAACATGCTTTATCAGTGGCGCGCCAAGTTACTCAAACTTAAACAAGAGAAAATGACACGACAGGGACGAAAATTCCTCAGTTGTTTCCATACGCTTAAGCCATCCAAAGGTAATACAAATCGAAATTAAAGGAAGAAAATTGAATGATGAAATGTCCCTAAGGACGCTACAAAATCATGCCAAGGTTACAAATTCACCGTGTGGCCTCCGACATAAATGAGTCTGTGGCTTCACACTGAGTTACAACTCTAATGACCAAACAAGATAGCCGGAGGCTTTCTGCTGACAAGAGCTCTTGGTTTGCTTTTTCATGATAAAAGAGTTCATTTGTATTCCAACATCAACTTAAAAAGTCAAAATTGTATCTTCTATCAGACCAAAATAAGTTCTCCTGTGAAAAAAGAGCGATAAATTGATTCTGGAATTCGTAACGTTCTATTCCCCGCAGTCTGCTTAAAATTTCTGGTTGCGAAATAATTGCTTCGTTCACGCACATACTAATTAATTAGATTCACCTCCTGTTTACATTTAACGTTTAAATATCTTCATCCTTTCCCAGAATTCAAGATTCAAGAAAGTCATGTTCCAATCATTTTTCCGAAGTCGAACGAACAATGGCTATTGGAACAAAGAGCTTCAGTGATTGTAAACGCTTCCAGTCAGAGGATCAGTCACCCGCCCAAAAGTAAATCTTGCACCAAAGACATAAAACGCTTATTTAGCCATGAAGTTGAGCTATTTGATGGAAACAATAAAGCGCAAGTGCAGCATGAAAGCGAGTCTCGCAAGTCCGACTGTCATGACACATATGCGTGCAATACGTGTCAGAAAATGTTTTGCACACCACATGGTCTGGAGGTACACGTGCGACGATCGCACGCAGGTAATCGCCCGTACGGCTGCTCCACATGCGGAAAAACGTTCAGTCATTACGTGAGCCTTGCGCAACACAGGAAGACACATTCAACCGTCAAAATATTCGAATGCAAGACATGCGGGAAACATTTCAAGCGCTCATCCACGTTATCTACGCACATGCTGATACACGCCGATATCAGGCCTTTTTCTTGTGATTACTGCGGGAAGAGATTCCATCAGAAGTCGGACATGAAAAAGCATATGCTCGTTCACACAGGCGAGAAGCCCCATAAGTGTCGCCAGTGCGGCAAGTGCTTCAGTCAGTCCTCTAATCTCATTACTCACAGCCGTAAGCATCTGGGATTTAAACCTTTCGCTTGTCCAACATGCAGTAGAGCTTTCTATCGTAAAGTAGACTTAAGGAGGCACAGCCACGTTCATCGTCTTAGTTACCATAGAAACAATAATACGCTAGGGGAGTTATGCTTAGATCAAACCTTACTTATTTCTAAGTCAACTAATTAGCAACTCGACATGAAAACACGTGGAAAACCAGATAGTTACTGGGTCAAATCTCTAATAACAATCTCTAAATATGTTGCATTTTCCTAATTCGACCGTACCTTGGGTTACGCAAACGAGAGAGTGTCACCATTACTTCTGATAAGTTGCCTTGATTAGCTTGTTAAATAAGAATTTTTAGTTGAATAACATTTTACTTTAAGTATAAATGTTATGTTTATGGTATAGTAACAATGCCGAAGCAAATATAACGGGAATATTAAAGTTTACTCCAAGAATATGAAGTACCTAATGCCCAAAGTTGTTTAAGCGCGTTATTTAGCCCCCCCCCCCTCCTCCCCGCGTATGAAAATTTTTCGAGAGGAACTTGAAATTTTAAGGGATGTGACTTGAATTCGTTTACATACCGAAATCAATATATCGAGTTCAAGTTCACCAACAAAGTAAATGACAACCTCCCCGCCAGGTGGGTGTCACTGAGAGAGGAAAGAAATTTTTTGATTATTGAGTCAATTTCCAATTTTTTTAAATAGCATGTACCTTTCGTATCTATCTATACAGTAAAGAATAAAATCTAGAAAAAGATATTTCATGAATTAACAAAATGAAAAGGTTAGAATATGTTGGGCACAGTGCGGAGACGGATTGTTTCTGTCCGAAAAACAAATACCACTGAGGACTACTTCTGCTGTCTCACTTGAAAATGTCGATAACCTTCAGGGTTGAAAGTTTCGTGAGATAAAGCTTAGCTCTGTTAAAAGTAAACATTGAGAGCGCAAGTCATTACGCATACCGGCTCTTGTGACAGAGATTCGCGGTTTTGCTCCTCATTTAAACGGGCACTGTTTAATTAATTATGAGAAGCAAGCGCCACTTTTTGCCCGGATCTGCACAACAATAGAGCTCGCGCAAGAGCTTATTTATAGTCAAGCAAAGCAAACAAGCACTGTTTGAAAATTTAAATCGAAATGAGGGCACTATGGGACATTTCGTTGGTCATATAGAGACATCTGGGCGTGGACTTCTGTTCTTTCGCCAAGAGCACTTCGAGCTGATGTCATTCAGTGTGTGCGTATTTTAAGTAAATGGCAAATTACCTTTAGAGTTTTCCAAACGCGTAGTTTACAAGCAGGTGGAGTTTGACAAAACCGCAGTTAATCTTGGAACATTTGCAAGATCGGAACACCTGCCCTCCTGCTTCAAGAAGAGGCTGTGGAGTTCAATCTCTACGCGTATCAAATATTTACCGCATACATTCACCAATTGGATAAACAACCCACGTATAACTCACAGTTCGCAACATCCGTTCTCTGAGCTCTGCACGCAAATTCAAAACGAGAGCAACTTGACGATACTCAGTCTTTCTGGAGTATTAAACGACAAGAAATCAAAATGCCAAGAGCTTTTCTCGTGCGCACGAAGTCTACCGCAGTTTCCAGCGAGGCTTCTCACCAGGGTGTTGAAAAGGGAAATAAACAAGGTAAATACCTGGTTGTGATTTTTCAGTCAGGTTTCCTTTGTTATGAGTTATGCACATTTCCAGTCAACTTCTTTCCGGTACCCGTAGACGTTACGCATCAAAGATTCCAATTTCCATCTCGCTTCTGAGCGGATCATGTATTTGACGGCAACACATGCGAGCAATTCGAGATTGCTTCGAGAATCCCTCCGTTGGCCCTTATTCAAAGTTTGATTTATCTTAACGAAATTCTATGATTTAGAAATTTGAGTTTAAAGTAGTATGCCTATCCTGTTTTGTCTGGCATTTTAGGAAAACAAAATTCCTCCGCGCGACATTATGAGATCAAATGTGGTTCTCCTGTTACAGAGAGAGATGAAGAGGCAATCGTCCCACAACAAATTTCCAAAGATGACTGTTACTCACCGAATACCTCCAACAGCAACACGGACCTCAAAGGTACTTTTCGAGGCATATGGATATTTTTGTTTTCCTAATCCTTCGAATTATTTTAATTCAGCTGATCTTCTGGTTCTAGAAATAAAGTACTCAGGCGCAACCTCTTTCACATCAGAACGCGTAAATTTAAGTTTGAAAATTTTGACAAATTAAATTGATATGTGACAAATTCGTAATCTTGCTTCCCGACTTGTTCCCTTCTCCGAATACTAATGAAAAGAGAATTTCTTGAAGGCGTTTTCGTTTTACAGCAACCCCAAAAAATAGAAAAATCTCTCTACCTACTAGAGAATATCGGTAAAATCATTGGCAAGGTAATTGCCTCTTTTGATTTCAAGGCCAAAATCTACTGTTTATTCACAACTGGTGGCCATAACTTATGTGTCGAATTTACAGTCGTAATGCCTTTTTCGATGCATTTTATCCGCGCATCATCAAAAACGAATCGTTTCATGTCATTTTTTCTTTACTTCTTTGCCTGTTAGGGCGAGAAACTTCGAAATTCAAAAGCTTTTTTATTGGTGCTCTGATTCCGTTAAAACATCATCAATTTTCAAAGTTATGCCATTGAATTAAATCTGATTTCGCACGCTTAATAAAATGTTTTAAATCTTCATGTCTTAATAGAATTCCAGCGTCGTCATTTTGGTTCGCTTTCAAAGTTAATTAAATACAGAAAAGCCTAGTTGATTGAGATTCAAATATATTAAATTACGATTCAAGCGAAATTGGTGTTTTTTCCCAAAATTGGTAATTTGAAGCAATTTCAAGTTGAAATATTGTTAAGAGTTCTCTTAAAAACTATTATTATGCTTAGCTAAAATTTAGAATATGCCTGTGAACGTTCTGTTTGAGGTTTTGGGTGGCTAGAAAGACAACTCTATAAAGCTAGCTGAATAGAGAACCTGCTGTCTGGTTAAAAATCTTTTTTTTAAGTGATTGCGCAACTTTTGCAATTTTCTACCCCCGTAGCCACACCTAATAAACATCTGTTTAAGCTTCCTCCTCGAAAAATTAAAAAAAAAATGCTTATTTATTCCATTCTTAAATCATAGTTGTAAATTCAATGAAACAGTATTTTAAATCTCTGTTAATCAGTAGTAGATTCGTATCCTTGACAGCTAACAGTATGAGTTCCTCTGAAAATCACCTTGAGTGTTAAAAAAAAGACGAGTGTTTGCTAAACTCTTAAAACTACAGATGATTTTAACGGCTAAGACACGGTATATCCTTTTTTTCGGTCATCCGTAACGAGACTTCTTAAAGACTTCTTAAAATCATTTCTTGTTCAAGAATTTTGAAAGAGCATTTAGACGATAATGCATGTGGATTGAAAAGAAACGCGCCATGTTGCAATTCTACCCGCGGTTTCAAGCAATATGCTACAGCAGAGAGGAAGACAAAAAAAGTGTCTACTCACGGCCAGTTTTGATGAGTTAAGTTGTTGTATTAAGTCATTTAGAGTGGCCCTTAACCAGTTACAGTTTTTTGACAGAGAACCTAATATTGAAAAGCTTCATTCATAATCAAAATTTAGTATTAACAAGTCAGTTGCAGCAGCAGGATTGAATTTGCAAACGAATCTTTGTTAAACTTAGAAGTATTTGTATAAAAAGTTACCATTTTGCTTTGGAACGCCCTGAGTTATATTTTGGCGCAATGCAGTGTAAACTAAGCAGAGCCTGACAGTTGCAATTTTATAATTTTGCAGTTGGTCTAGATAAGAATATCTTCATGTTCATCGCGTATGCACGCCTTAGCTTGTTGCTATATTTTAGCTGGATGTGATTTTGATTATGTACAACTTGCACGAGTAGTCTTTTTGGAATAACACATTTACAATTAAATTAATAACACACACGAAAAAGAATTTGCTTACTCCTGGGAGATAAAAATTGTTTTCTCACACTTCCGTAACATAAAATGTATAATGTTGTTGGTTTTTTAAAGAGCGAAATAAACTTAAGTCTCTTAGCAAATAACTAACAACGTCCTTGAAATCGTGCATACCATTACTTTAACTGTTGTGTCACTAACAATTTAGTTGGACTATGTCTTGATAAATTTTTTGTCGTGAAGCTACTTGAAGGAACGTGAACAGAACATCTTGCGTAGGGTTTAAACAGACTTTCTTTATTTTTTTTTCAAGCCTTGATAAATTTTTACTTGTTATGTTTAAAACACAAGGCAGAATAAATATGAGGAGTGAATTTCGTGCAATAATCTGTGCTGGACTGGCTAAATTAACTAGCTTTTAAGGTTTAAGTTGGGGATAGGATTTGAAATTCTACACTCCTCAAGCTGAGCCTCATTCATAAATTAAATTGAAATTTTGTTAGATTCATTTTCTACTGAGTCCCGTCCACTCTAAAAGCAAACAGATTCCAAATGACTAACTTTGTGCTGAAACATCAACCGTATATATTTCAATCTCTCTCTGTTTTCTGAATGCTTCAATTTTAATTTGATTTTAGGCGAATTTTATCACCCATTTCATTTTCAGACTTACTTCCTTCCACATTTGTGCACTGACATACTGTTTAGGTCGCGGTTTCCAATGATCATTGACTAATAATTTCTCAAGTTTTTCTTTACCACGGAGTGGGTGTTTCGAACCTTTTTTAGCCTTGTTTAATGTTGACCAAAAGAAAAATCATTAAAACTAAGAATGCAAATTATTTGAGTATTGGATTTACCTTTTATCAATAACGTTGTTGTGTTCATTATCAAATATAATTTGCCCCGTTAATGCTGGCGGCATATTGTCAAAGGATTTTCCTAAAAGGGTTTTATTGGCTGCGAGCCATTTTACAGCATGACGTTGCTATTAATCAGTTTTTGCCCAGATTTCATTTTGGATTTCCAAACTTTCAAGTCAAGATTTTCACCAACAATGCATATAATCCCTGCAGTATTATTGTATCGATAAGTTTTCTATACCCAGGTGCTTAGATATAAAGTTCTCTAGGAGCATGTCACTTTCTGAAGCCTTAAGGCAAAAACCGTTTGATACAAAATTAATGACGTTTTTGACATTTAAAAAGGCCTATCGCTCGAGAAGTTGATAGCAGACTTTCGTTCGAGAACCTTCGATGCTCGTCACATTTCCCTCAAGCACACTTCAAGTAACAAAAGAGTTCTCTTGTGTGGATAAATCCTGCAAATTTGATCTTGGAAATTGTGCATTTTCTTCGAGAACGTGCCTTAAATCATAAATCCTTCATTTAAAAAGCGACTATGATCATGCTGTTTAACGAAGACTCTCTTGTCCGTTTGAGTAAAACAAAATTTTAGTTTAAAACGTAAGAATTATTTCGTCGAAATCTTTATTTCAGTGATTTTCTTCTTGAAATTTTCATGATTCTCGACATGTGTTAATCCATCAACAAACATGTCTTAGGAAATACGATTCTATTTAGCACCTGTTCTGACGTTAGCAAAAACACAATTTGAAATCTTTCCAGCTAATCATGAAAAATCTAGATAAGGGTATTTTGGAGAGGATTTCGGTATTTAAGGTGATATCGACACGACCTTTTTCGTAATTCAGATACCAGGTTTTCGATAAGAAGATTCAAAATACAACAGTTAAACTTCAGAATTTCAGTGATAATCTATGTATGTCATGTTGAGAGAGGTGAATTGTCAACAAAGCGAGTGTTTTAATGATAATCCAGAGCCACAGAGAGAGATTTTACTGAATATATATAGATTTAACCATTTTCCGAAATTAATCCTTGTATTTGAAGGGAAAGCAAATTTCTGCTCTGCGCGCTGTTTCCCTCTTTGATGTGCATATTCAATCTCAGCAATTATTCATGCGTGTTTTCATGCGTGTTTTGTCCGGCTTTAGTTGAGTAAATAAAATATTTAAACCCCTGCAATCTATATGTACTTTGTTTATAATGGTTTGGTTGAAATTCACGGTCCATAGCAAATAAATCTTGCTTATATTTCCGAAAACAACGTCGCAAGTTTTGTTGACATTATGTTCCAGTAGAGTTTTAAAGGAAAAGAAATCGGAACCATAAGTGTGAATGGTGAGAACTGCTCTCGCTATCAAGTGGATAACGCCCTAATGCAACACTTCATCGGTAAAATAGCCTTTAAACAGCAAAGAAAGAATAGTTTCAGAAAGCTTCTCCCATAAGTAAATCTGATCCCAAAAACTCAGTGTAAAGTTGGTTTCAACCTAGAACTCTCTTGGATCGGAGGGTTGATATGAAAAAATTAATTTTCTAAACAAAATGTTTATAAAATATACGCAACGACCTCTTAAGAATAAGCATTCTTAAATTTCCTTCACGGAATATCGTATTTCATTTTTCCTATAGCATTATTTTGTTTTATCCTGTTCATTATGGCGTGAGATAAAACTTTAATTAGAATCTTTTCAATAAACACCTTCTCCTAGTGAGTCTATGAGCATTTTATTGAATGTTGTCGTCAGCGCTAGTTCTGCCCAATTATGTGAAGCCGTATGTGTGTAAAATCTCCTCAATTGTCGCTGGTGTCCACGTTGGACCACACCCTGTCGTAACGGCCCAATTGATATGAAGCCCTGCACAAAACAGCACTCTCATTTCGTGTCTCGGTCGCTGCAGATTCGTTGGCCATGCCAAAATCGTTCCTCATAAAACCCAAAGTTTCATCGAAGGCGGAAAATGAAGATGCAAGCCACAGGGAGTACAAAGATGGTAGGGAACTTTCCCCCGGGAACTTTTCCCAGGGAGCATTACTAGTGTAGAATGTTAGCTTTACCGATAAAAGAGAAAATCGAAGACATATGTAAAACTTTTCCGCGGGAACGTTCTCATTAATTTCGCGAAAGGTGCTATCGAGATTCTACAAGTGTTCAGAGCAGTCGATGTTTAGATTTTACAGCTTTGAATTCACGCAAAGAATCTATGCGGTGTTTTCTATCGAATCTTTGCACGAAAAAATCATACAAAATAACACTCGAAAGACTTCAACGCACTTTTTAAAAATTTGACCTTTTAGAAATCTTCAAAAAAACGGATGTTGTCCTTCAACACGATTTCATTGTAGGGCTACAATACATGTATAACAAGGTTATTTCCAGCTAACAGAAGCTACGTTAACCTCTCTAAAAAGGAGGAAAATTCAGAGGCATTGACAAATCGGTAAAATATCATTAATTCGTGTAAGAGTTAAACCCAATGGCTCATTGAATTTGATAATTTTTTAATTTCATTTCATGCAGTCAGTATTAATATTTGTAAAATTTAGTTTTTATGTCTTCTTAATCAAAGAAATACTATTTTCTTTTTTTTCCAATTTTCAAACCGTACGTCAATCACTATAAGTCTTCGTTTAAAATTTTCTTCAAGATAAGAGAGTGTTCTATGGTTGTTACAGAAGAAGGCAAATACAATCAAACCAGTATGAAACGGTATCGTAATAAGCGGTCAGTTTGTTTTCTCTTAATCACTGTAATTTTCACCTTTACGAAACGGTCATCTTTATCAAACGTTCCTGATCACCCTTTACTAACTTCTAAAGGCCTGTTTTTATTGCTCTCCACCTGTATTGAACTGTCACCGAAAGCGACACCACTCGTATAAAACTAAGGATGCTACTTCGAGTAACTCTTAGTCCATGATTCACTCCCAAAAGTGATATTTCTGAACAAGATTTTGAATATAAAATGGTCAATTATGCAACACAATGGCGTTTTTTACGGCTTTTTTTTTTTTATTATTTTTTTTTATCAACCTGTATTAAGCGGTCACGCCGAAATTCCCCGAATACAGGTTTGGCTGTGTTTCTTTGTTCACAAAGTCGTACCAGAGAACACTGAACAGAAAACATTCCACGCATCAGTAAGCTGTTCGCGTTGCAAAATATTTGAATGGTGATAAACACAATGGACTCTACTGCAACTAAATCGGTGAGCTTCACCCTCGGAAAACGTTTTGTATCCTGGAACAGATAAAGTCGATCCGTGGACAAATATCTGTGCATAATTCGCGCCAAATAGGGCCTATTGTTTTCACCTTCACGCGAATCTAAAATGGAAGGTATTTTCCGTCTCGGCGGCTTGCGCGTTTCTATTCTTTTACTTTTGTTACATTTTTCTCTAATCACAGAAAAATATCACAGCATATTTCCTATTCTGCCACATCGTGTTTTCCGCTGATTCGTTCCGGAAGTAATCTCTTGGAACCTAAAGGTTCAATTGTTTCATTTTCAGTGTGACAAAAACTTTGTGGTTTTCTTTCTTTTGGTTTAGTACTGTTTGATTTTTTCCTAACTGAGTTTTGGGTTCTGGGATAACATTCAAATAAAACTGAATCTTATTTAACAAAACAAGCTAAAAAAAATAATTCGTACCTTTCCAAGAAGTTTCTTTAAATGACATCATGACTGATATAAAAAGGCCATTTCCCTCTGAGGTCTTTGACTGAAAGGCATTGATTCACATAGCCGTTTCCTAATTTTTGCTCACTTCTAATCACCCTTAACCTTAGCTTCTAGATCGTGTAAAATTCACATGGAAGCAGCCCCGCTCGGAGAGTTTAACCTAGTTTTTATCAAAAGGCAATCATGACACAAGTTAATGACAGCTCAAAACCTGAGGTTAATTGATACCTGTTAAAGGGGCGCGACTTGAGTGTTATAAGAACTGGTGAGTTTTTGAAAAGGGAGAGGGGTAGCATTTCATTTTCAGTATTATTCCTTTAAAACTAGAGCTAAGACAACCATATCTTTTTTGTTTGTTTATCTGGCGATGCCTTTCTGTGATGATCGATGAAAAGCGATTGCTCTGGAATTCGTGAGAGACAATGGCCGGAAGATGAAATCATGTTCTCGACTCTTTTATTCAAAATTCTTGGAATTTCTCCGAGCAATTTCAGGAAAATGGCAAATTTTCTCTCAAGCGGGTCCAGTAAACAAGTGTTATGTTAGACTCAGGTTGTTGATGAGAGCAACTATATCGGTGTATCAGTGCTGGTGGTAATCACTGCTTAGATACCAGCTTAAAATCAATTTTTTTATTCCTAATCTTGAAGCAACATAGATTTCATAACTTTGGGCCTATGAAGGTTTATAAACCGCGACAAAGGCGGGAAGGTATTTACAACCGTAGATTTTCGGTTTTGCCTGTGGAAACTCCAAGACGATAGCAATTCAAGTCGTGATTATGCCCACAAGTCTGTATAGAGATCACTTCTTTGAAGAGCTATGTAATTCATTTTTTTATGTATATATTTCTTATTTTAGATGAAAGTGACACTGATGAGAATGGAAATTACAAGGAAAACCCAGATGATGAGTCCAGTTCCGAGGAGGACACAGATGATGGGAACAGTAGCCATGGAAGCCAATCACAAGGCAGATACCCAACTTATTCCTCAGGTGAAATAAGAGTTGCAACATGTTATTGATGAGAGAATTCGTAGCCATTTTTGCCATCTCATCCCTTAGACCATTTCCTTACTAGGTCTCACTATAGTCGAACCTGTATTAAGCGGCACCGTAATAAGCACTCAACCTGTGTTAAGCGGGCGGTTTTCAAAGTCCCGAAATGTTTACCCTTTTATTACTGTAATTTTCATGTTTCTATGGCGGTCACCTCTGTCAAGCGCTCGAGGTCACCCTTTACTGAGTTCAAAAGGCCTGTTTGAATTGTCCTAAATCTTTCTTGAACGATCACTCACTCAAATAGAACTAACAATAATCGTTCGAATTTAATTCACATTTATCTCCCGAAATCAACGTCAGTAGTAATTTGGATTTTTGTACATTAAGTGGTCAAATATGGCATAATAAGGCTTTTTTATTGTTTCTTTATAACAACCCTATTCTGTGAAAATAGTTGTAAGCGGTCACCACGCCATTCCCCATGGCTGACCGCTTAATACAGGGTTGAGTGTAAGTCTGTAAACCGATGCAGACCTCCATCACCTTCAAGAGTAATTATTAATCTGATTATCTGACTTTCCCAATGTTATTTTTCAATTTAAGCTATACGTATTGGATCTGGTCTAAGATTTCTGCAAACATTCCCCCCTTCCACCGCTAAAGGACATGAAGGCCCACACTTGAAATTCCCACAGTTCCCTCTGTGGAACTGCAGGCAGCAGCCTTACAAAGGACTCGACCCATTTGCACGGTGGATGCAGCAATGGACGGAGATGAGAAGGCTTCAAAGCGATCCATCCGCTGGCTTGTATCGATTCTACCATGCACCTATGTCCCAGGGAGGACCAAAGTACAAATTGAACGATCAAAAAGACGAGGAACTTCAGAAAGAAAATGGCCACTTATTAAACGCAAGCGGAGCTGAATCGAAAGATATTGCAAAAGAAGGCAAAGTAAAAATGCCTGGGTCAGTAACAAGACAGTTGTACAACTGTCAAGTGTGTGATAAAGTATTCAACAACTCCATCAGCTTGAAGCAGCATATGATAGTGCATTCGAACAAGAAGCCATTCCAATGTAGGGTTTGCGGGAAAAGCTTCAAACGCTCCTCGACGTTATCAACACACATGTTGATTCATTCGGACACGCGTCCGTTTGAGTGTCACTTTTGCGGCAAGAAATTCCATCAGAAGTCTGATATGAAGAAGCATACGTACATCCATACAGGAGAGAAGCCTCACCAATGCAATTTTTGCGGGAAGTCGTTCAGTCAGTCGTCAAATCTGATCACACATTGTCGGAAACACAAAGGCTTTCAACCATTTTCCTGCGATGACTGCGGAGTGTCCTTCATGCGAAAAGTTGATTTGAGAAGACATATGTACATACACGAACTGGAAAATTAAAACGTTTTTCTTATGGTTTTTTTTTTATTATTATTTTTCAACACTACCTTCCACATGTCGTTGAAACTCGGTAAATGCACCCTTTCCCATTTCATATGACACTAAGCTAGGGTTTTCTATTTTGATCAATATCAAAAAAAATTATGATATAGCCAGCTGCAAAGAGGCGAACATAACATCGCTGAAACTGTAAAAACGAGCAGTTATTTCTTGATGCAGCCGCGCCATAAGAAAAAAGTTTCCTTCGTTTGAGACTGAACCCAATATCTTCGTTCCAGAGCAATGTCAGTTGTTCCCTTGATTATAATTGGCTTTCTTCAATTCTGATAAAGTGCATCGAAAATTTCTTTTTACTTCAGTAGCCTTGGCTTCTCAGAGATACTATACCATTTAGAACACGAGAAACGTAAAATTGACCATCAAAGAAACATTAGAAAGAGAAACGTGCAAGCATTCCTTCATGTTAGTATTGCACCATATGGGGACAATAAAAGACCCAGATACGTAAGCAGGGACACTTCGAACAACATTATCAGAATTTTATCCTTGACTAAGAAGCTTATTTGTAGAGAAAATTTATATCATAGAAGCAAATCAAGAAGGAATGTAAATAATTTTTCTCATTAAGATGCTACGATGTCCCTAGTGAAGGACAGCTTACAATCTATTAAGCCTAAATTCATTGTATTCTGAGCTGCATATCTTTTAAACAGTCCAAAAGTAAAAATATCTATATCAGTGTTAGCAATTTGACAATGTTAAGGAGAATTAGAGATTTTTTCTTCAAAAGTCGTTTTAAGATATTATTTATTAATACAACAATTTAGATAAATTTAGCTAAAATTGTATAATATATGTCTGAACGTAAATCCATGATGATTGTATAGGTGTAAATAGATAAACAATTTTCAGTAAAACCGACTTGAAGTCAGTTTTATTTCTCTCTTAGCCGCTTTTGTACCACCGGCTAAAATCGTAAGATTTTTGTAAAACTCTTCTATATATTACGTTTGGAAGTTTATTTCTCTCAGTAGTCCTAAAGCAGTGCAGTTCAGTAAAAACTGTTTTTAGCTTTGATTTAAATACTCAGTGCTTTTATCATTTATAAGTGTATCCAGTGCAAAAAAAATGAATTTAACTATTTATACTGTTATATTACTGCTTTAGGGTCAATACTTGTATAGACTTTGGTTTTATAGACAAGCTACATATTTTCACTTATACTAAACTTACAAGCCTATTCCAAATGTAAGCGAACGTGATACAAAATAATCATGTTAAGTGCTTCGCGATTTTTCGTTTGAAGCACTGCATGCGAATCTTTTCAGTTTATAGCCTCGAATGATTTAAGTTTCTTGTCACAATCGCATTTTTACAAGACTTTTATGGCCATTGCTACATTTTCGTTACGAATATTTGCATACATAAAAAAATTACGCAACCCAAACAACCGTTTACATTGTTCTTCTGATAGAAATTGGCTGTAAAACCCACAAATCAAAAATGTACCAACATAATAAAGGAGACTGTTCATTAAAATAGCATCATTTGAGTGTGCCAAACTTTTGTAGTGGTTCTTGCTCCGCAGTTCATTAGAACTTTGACGAAAGAGCTTGGATCGGAAAGTCCCTGTAACTTAACCCTGAAAGTCCCTGTAACTTGACGGGCCCGTAAAGCGGTTCTAATTTTCATTACAGATTGTGCTTTCAAAGGTTTTGAGAACGATACAAAAAAAAACTATCATTTTAAGAAACAAAACGGACTAGTTAGGCCGGGTGCCAGAAACTGCTTCTCTATCAGTTAAATTTTGGTTTTAAAGATTGGTTTCGGGACCGTTAAGTTAACAAGACTTTCGAGAAACGAGCCCCTAAATACCTAATCCTTAAGGAAGGATTCTTCCGCCTGTCAAGAAATAAATTTTCTCCTGTTTTTCCTGTCATTTCTATTTTCTCGTTACCATCTGCTTGATAATACGTTTTAACTGATAGAAGAAAACAAGTATTGATCTCTGTCGGGTGGGTTTAGGAACGAATAAAGGGGACTTAGATTTAAGGGGTGCAGCCAAGAGGTACTTTGAGTAATAAAGTAGGCAAGTTGTACGAATGAGCATGAAGGAGAAAATAGTGTCATCAGGTCTTTAAATGGGTCTTACGGTTGACTAATTGGGGTATTCTTTGACCCTGCTTAGAAAAAAAGTTAGATTTAGCTGTTCCATGTATACTGAATCACACAAATCGCATCGGTTCTCTCTCTGTTTTTCTATTCTGTTGGCAGCACAACATACATCAGGCTGAAAATGGGTGAAACGCTTCTAATTAATAGTATATTAAAATTCAAGCAAATAACTTGATATGAATTTGCATTTCGGGATTATCCCGAATAAAATTCTAACAAGTAAGCCCTCCACTTCTCAGCCTTATAACTTTTCTCATTTCCCTCTTGCGTTTCGCAACTTTGTTTTTAAGAATAAAAATAAAACAAAATCTCTTATTTCATACCTTCTGTGTTGTTGCAGGGAAGGGATGAGCTGTAATTTAGAGGTGTAAAGCTATATTTATGAGTTCTTATTGCTTGAGAAGGCAATTGACGCCTCCCCTTCCATTCACATTTGTTTCCATTGTCCGCCATCTTGTTACGTCTTCTGAGCGACCGCTGACCAAAAGATAGGTTTTTGGGTAGAACTCTTACGGCAAATATTCTCTTTCAGATTAAGTCAAACTCTAACAGAGAAAGTTTCTCTCAATGCTGTTTTCGATAGATTAATCCATATACGCTTTGTATCTATCATGAAAATTTGCTTAAATGACACAATTTCATTGCATTTCGAACCTGTTCACACAGAACGCATTTCTCGGACAATAGCGATTCCATGCACTTCTAAATCTAGAGATCGAGAAGCAAAGCCTTATTCAGTCACTGAAGCGGCTAGATATAAGTCTAAAATGATGTTTGTTCATATTTGTACAATATTAAAAATGCAACTAGCGGCTTTTTCAATTTTATTTTAATCCCAAAAATTACAAAAATATTAGAATGATTGTTTTAAGGACATGAGTTCTCGTTTAAGATAAAATTATTGTTAATTTACAGTCAAATGTTAGTTGTTGTTGAACAGTGAAATGCATGTTTGCAATGTTCTCTCTCGAAGTTAGATGTAAGACTTTCATGCTCCACGAAACGACCTTTGAAAGGTTTTACGCAGAGTGTTTAGTCAGGCCGTAAAGACTACCTGTATCACCATGCAAGCACATTCGGCCACACGGAAACGCTAAGCGATCAGCATACAACGTATTGTTAGTTGCAAGGACTCTGTATTGAACGCCCTTAGATGCTTTTCTATTCACAAAACACACAATGCTTTACTTTTGCGGCTAGATAGAAGCATAAAAAGATGTTTGTTCATATTTGTACAATATTAAAAATGCAACTAGCGGCTTTTTCAATTTTATTTTTATCCCAAAAATTACAAAAATATTAGAATGATTGTTTTAAGGACATGAGTTCTCGCTTAAGATAAAATTGTTGTTAATTTACAGTCAAATGTTAGTTGTTGTTGAACAGTGAAATGCATGTTTGCAATGTTCTCTCTCGAAGTTAGATGTAAGACTTTCATGCTCCACGAAACGACCTTGGAAAGGTTTTACGCAGAGTGTTTAGTCAGGCCGTAAAGACTACCTGTATCACCATGCAAGCACATTCGGCCACACGGAAACGCTAAGCGATCAGCATACAACGTATTGTTAGTTGCAAGGACTCTTTATTGAACGCCCTTAGATGCTTTTCTATTCACAAAACACACAATGTTTTACATGGCCTAAAGAGTAAAGCACGAAATTTCTTCACGTATTAATTTCCCATGAGCTTTTTTCAGTGTTAACGGAAGAGTTCTTTGAAATATTTTCCCTTATTAAGTGCCACGTGGATGGATCGTTTGCAACACTTAATAGAGAAGAAAGTTTTTGAATGCGGAAAATTCGAAATTTGTCTGCATAAGCTACGGTGTCCATTAACGACAGAACAATTGCCTTAAAATGCTGTTAAAGCTTGGAATCAGTACTGAAGTAATATATAAATGGTACAGTTCTTGAAATAGTCCATTATTATTTGGTAAGATCCGTTTCTGCCGAAAGAAAAGACTCCGAAATGGCCGAAAACTTATTTCGTCTTTTCTTTCAAGATGATTATAATGAAAAACATGACATCTCGACTGTCTACAAGCCACTGCCTTAAATTTGACCTCATTATTTGACTTTTTTTTGTTTAGATAACAAAACATCAGAAAATTACCCTAAGTCTTCAAGTTGTTAAAGGATGATTTTTCTTTACGAATTTTCCAGTATTGGAGTGGTTTTTTTCTTATTTTAATTTTTATGGATCCTATCTAGATACTTTTTCAGAACTCGTAGTTATTCTCGAAGACAAAGGTTGTCTTGCAGTAGGACGACGTAGGGTCTCCATTTACCTAGAACTTTTACATTTTTGTAAAGGTAATTACGCTTAGCAAACAAGTGTGCGTGTTTGCCCAGAGATGTATAACACGTGCAAAACACCGGCTCATTGACGTTACCTCATCCTTAGACGGATAAATAGACATTTTAACTCTAGACCCTCGTTACCTACATTAACAATTAAAAAACTTGCCAGAAAAGAATTAATCTTAAGCCGCTTAACGACTTCCTCCTTGAAAAGTTTCCTTCTCGCTGAGTTATCTACACCACCGAGCATTGTCCTTGATAAAGTTTTCAGTACGTTGACATTTCCTCTTGTTCAAAAACTACTATTTCAGAGAGTGATATTTTTTCCCGTTTCTTATCCACCAAAGAAGAGTGCGACCCTTCCATTTTTCAAGGAGAATTGTCACCTATCTTTGCTCAAGTTAATAATTATGCATCAGCTGCCTCGTCGTGTTAACCTAAAACTCGAAACCGCACCATCATTTTTGAATAATTGCGGCAAACTACAAAGAAAACAGTGATCTTCCTATTTAACAGCAAAGGTGATCATAAGTTAGCAATAGGCGCCGGGAATTTAGAGCGTAAAAAAGTGTTGAATAGCTCATCACATTTACAAAAATTCGGCTGTTAACTGCCGTTGTTCATAATTTGTTTGTTTGGCCAAACGGGCTTAAAAGCAAACAATAGATTAGTAATATTTCGCCATCAAATTCACATGACATCTAATATTTCATTTCAATTGGCTTAAGAATGAGGCTAGGTCGGCTCATCAAAAAACCTTGAGGAAAAAGCTTTGTTTTCCCATACACGCGTCCATTCCGTAACCTTCTTTTATTCTTTTAGAGTTTACCTAAATTGCAGCCGGCCTTTTCTCTCAAGGTACTAGGTTGTTTTCATGACCACACTTACATGATGCTGAAAATATTCTAAATTGGTTTTGAAGGAGTATTTATAATCTGCTTACGTTTCAAAAACCAGGCCTAAAGGCGTTTGAAATCAGAATATCGTGAGTTCTCTGCAGAAATTAATACGTTATGGGTTTGTCCGAACAAAACATTTGTTTTTTTTCTACGCCAACATCAGGAAGGTTTCTTAATGAAAACAGGGGGAGGTTAAACAAATCTTTTTGAGCCCATAATCAAAGAATTGATGGCACGGCAATGAAAGTCTCGTCCTGTCTTGTCTAAGACCAAGTCAATTTTCCGCGGCGTTCATGTTTGCACTGCTCGTGGGAAGTTATTGACAGTTTTCATTAATAAGGGCGCCTGTGCACCTGACGAAAACTAAGTTGGGGAAGAAGCCGCAAAAGAATATCATGTAAATATTGGGAAGCATATTCATGTAATAAATTGACCGTGGGTTGCAAATACTGTAGCGTGCGTCAGCGATATGAATCGCCTAACAAGGCTGAAAATTGTAGTCACATCTGCTTCCCAAAACGCGCACCTGCTATGCGGGTGCTTAGGAAAGCAACATTGCGTAACAAGTAGACTTCTGTCGATGCCTTTTTAAACGATTAAACAAACTGAAGCTATTTTCTGATAATAAAGCCGATTAACACATTTTCCAAAGACATAACAATGTTCTACACCTTAATCTCCGAAAAAGCGAACCCCTAATTTTAACACTAACTATCACTACTACTTAGGATTTCATTGGGCAATTTCAACAAAGATGTCTGTTTCGTTTTATGATTACTGAACTGTGTAATGAAGCCTATTTTTAAACTCTATGATAATTAAAAAAAGCTCTAAACTTGTCACGACCGCAAAGTTATTAGCTTATTAGCCTTTGTTTACCAACTGTTATTGATAATGACACATTTTATTGGCGTAGAAAAACGAGTGGCTTTCGCATTTTAATGATCAGCTTTTAAACAGTAATTTGATATTCAAGACCAACTGGAAGATGTATTTGTTTCACCGTTGTCGAATGATCATCAGATTCAAAAAATATTCGCTTGGTAAATCTAAAATTGCCTAGAATTAAAAAACATTTTAACCTACCAACAACAAAAACCTTTACCCCAAGAAAAAAATAAATTTCTTTCTTTCGTTTCATATGATTTCATATTCCTGTTTCGATTAAGTTCCTCGAAGCTTCGATTCTGAATTTATTACGAACCCTGATCGCGGTTGCCATGTTCAAAAATTAGCATGAAATTTTTCTTAAGCTA